CATTTAAATTCCGCCCACGTTGTTTAAACAGCGGTCTATTCCGGAAGCTTGGGAGTCTTGTTGTAATTGTAAACCCTTGAAAAGTGGATTATCCGCCAATAAAACCCACGCAGTACGCAAAACATGGGCACGTGCGATCAAAAAAGTTTCCTTAACCTACGTGTTGGATATTTCATGCTTTGGAAAACAGATGTGGTATATTTTTGTATCTTTACTCGGAACTGACCTTACTTCGCGTTGGTGTATATAAACCCCGCAAACGGAAAGATTTCCGTATAACCCCATACAACTTTAAAACAAAGCGGTAGTCGCAAAGCGATCTGGCGGTTTCGCTATTATTGTCTTTCTCCAAGAACTATATGCTTAATGAACAGTGGGCTGTGTAGAAATCTTGTCCCACAAACCATCACCTTTCCGAAGAACCTAAAGAGTTTTTCACAGGAAACAGTTTGATTTATTTGTGTTATATCAAAACGGCAAAAAAAACATGAAAAAAGAAGGCGAACTGAGTGTCATATTAATATTTCAGTTATTCATAATATTTATCTTTGAATTGTAAAAAAAATATATTGTTTATTGTGTACAGAAGATAAAGAAGGTCAAAGTGGGAATTGTCGCTGAATTGGTTTCCTTCTGTGAGTATGCACAACGCTAAGTTTCGCAATGATTTTTCAAGCAATTTCTCTGAATTAAACTGGTAAAAAGGTAATGACTCTTTACGCATCCAAAAGCATCGAACATCTTCTCACATTTTGCAGCTTCTTCGCGCACAATGAAGAGCTGAGAGCTTATATGTAATGTCAAACAATGTCTCTTGAGACTCAAATGGACGTGAATCCTGTCATCTGACCTCAACCAAAGTTCTCTCACGTACAGCAAACGCCCACACTACTAAAACAAAAGATTGTCAGACTCAAGGAAAAATTTGAAAGCCGACCTATCTGATCTTGGTTTTATGTGGGTCGCTTGTCACATGTGCTGATTAACAAGTTCTGAGAGGTTCATTTGATAGAAACCGACCGGCAGCGAAATTGTAATTGAAAAATGTTTGAATCTTGGTTGGAGAGTCGATCGTATTTTTCTCTGTTCTAGAACTGTGCTGGTGCCTCAAGTTTAACTTCTCTCTCAAAACACTCATAGTGCTGACAAGGTCATGACTCAAAGAGTTTTTTTCTGAGTGGATTAAATTTAACACTGATTTCTATTTTCGTCGAAGCAGTTATGCGGAAATATCGCTGCAGACACGGTTCCTTCCTTCCACGATTACATATTTTCATCTTTTAAAGAGAAATTATCCATTATCCGAGAAACACATTTTTTTCTTTTGTTCTCTCTGCTTTTCATCTTTTTTCATGTGTTCCAACCGCTCTGCGCGAATAAGAATATAAAAAGCAATTAATTTCCGTACAATGTGGTTTATGGTTTCAGACCGGTCTCTCGTCTGCAGTATTTAAAATATGTAGCTTGCCAGTACATAAAAAACCACAATCACGTAAATTACTCAGATCACTTTTTGGCTCCTGGCTCATTCTTTCCGTTGTAATTCAAGATCATTCTTGAGAATAACCAATTTACCAATTCAAGTTAGACCCATAATTTCAAACTGATATGGGGTTTTCTTTTCAAAATATTCGTCTGTTTTCAGAGACCGTAAAGAGAACTAATCCCACAGGCCCTTTTACATTTAACCGCAAGGAAGCGAAAATAGATTATCATTTTATACTTAAATTTTTTTAGAAAGATTACGACACCAAATTTGGTATTTTTGGCGAAACATTTATTTACGGCGGAAACTGCACCCCGTTTTTTTGTTCGTTTAGAATGAAAAAGAAAATGGAACGTTTGAAGAAATTTACAGTAACATGAAAAGTGTAATAAACAGAAAGGCAAACTCAGATTTGAACTTATAGTGCAAAGTTTTAATAAAATTGATCCTAACGTGGGCTTTGCTAAGTCACCGAATAAATAATTTAATTCTCTAATTTATAATGATGATGTAATTATTCCAGTTTAATTCATGAATATATAGGGTAACCCAAGCATAGTATGCCATTGCGTGACTTTTTTTGATGATGGAAACCATTTGAAAAACACTTACTGACGCCTTAAGGGCTTTAAGCTTCTCTTTGAATGGTTTTCTTCAAATGATGCGTAAAAATTGATTTGTTTATTATTTTATCAGGTAAAGTTCAAATCACTTCAAAACTAGTTCGTATACTCAGTTAAATTACATTTTATATTCAATTCATGACATTAAAAACGAACTGGATCAAAAACGATGACTCAGTCATTTTCCCGCGCTTGACTCGAATGGTGTTATACTTGATGAAATTAGAATTCTGATTGGTCGATCGTTTCGGCGCAAGTTTACCGCTATACGAGCTCTGACCGAAGTCAGTCGCACCCTGAATCATACATAACAGCGATATTTTAAATGCCTCTACGTACTTTTTTTTAATTTCCCTCTAACTTTACAATATCTGAATTATAACGATTGCGCGCAATCATCTCAAAACGTGTCAGGGTCTACTTATTGCACTGCTGCACGCAAATGGCATCCACCCCTTTATGTGTTCTAGTCACAAAACTCTTCGACATGACATCACGAGTAAAATTTTCTGTTTCTTTTACAAATGTTTCTCCTTCCAAAGAGGGTAGAAGGGAAGGTACAGGGCTGCCGCGCTACTGATCCAAGACCATCTGAGAAGACTAGTGGTCTAAGTGAGGTTTCTGTTCTCACTGATCACTTTTCCTCATCAAGGGCAACAGAGTTATCTTGCAAATGTGTTTAAGGACGTTGCGCAGAAATATTCGTTTAGATCCAGAAGTGTTTCGGTAGAAACGACACGCGAGATATTGTGCTAACCATTACACCGAAGTTCCGGTTCTTGAAAACTTGTACACTCAGCACACGCAACTTTCCAAAATCCTGTTTTGATCAAACTTATGCAGCAAGAGAAACTTAACTTTGGAAAAGCTACTTCAGTTGCCCCCCCACTCCTTTTTTACCTAATGTCTTCACGAGATCGTCTTTCCAAAATATTCGCTACTTTTCACACCTGTTATTAAGCTTACAGGGCAAGCCCGTCTCGGACGGAATTACATCGCATTTGTTCAATCCCATCACCTGACGCCCTTTTCTTTGCAAATTCCTGCAATCATTTGTTCTAAGATCAGACTTTTCACAGCGTGCATTCAGCTGAACAGTCTAAACAGAAATCACAGCATGGGACTTATTGTCTCTTACTGTCATCCAATTTTCGTACCTTTAAACTGATGGACTTCACCACTTCTCGATCTTAACCTGCCACCAGTTCCTAAAATAATCACAATTTTATTTTTCGGGCTGCTTTGTTTGTGCATTGTTTGCGGTTGAAACTTGAGTTTCGATGATCACTTTGGCGCCTAATATTCCAACCACTCTATCCGATACAATGATAAAGCTCGCATACACGAAGAAAAGGTGTTCTGGCAAACATTAATGATATTCAGTTACTTGCGTTAGGTAGGAGGTCAAATATATCATTATTTTTATATTTCATCACATCCTAACGTGTTGGCGGAGAAAATCAATGAAAAGGCTTTATTAGACTCCGACGCACAAACGGCAAATTTCAGTTAAAATTGCAGTGAAAGTAACCACTTACTCTGAAAATTATATTAGATTCTTTGTCTTCATTATGTTGTTAACAGATAAGGGATTCGTCAAATTTCAATAACTCAGCGTGGCACAACATCTTTAACTTGTTTTGTCTGTATAATGCGTGGAGGCAAAGTTTATCAGCAGTTCACCCCCCGACTCAGTCCGACAGACATGTTGTTTCTCTGCTGTCTCTTTTGTCGGCGTCCAGACCTTATGGCTGTAGATAAACTCTAGAAATGAAAATAAACAAATGATTCTGAAAAGAAATTGTTTTTAGCTTGCTAAGGCGCTAAAAAAACTCAAATGCGAAAATATTACTTTTCTTTCAGATGCCGCGCGCATTAATACGTTCAAAGTTTGACCTAGAAAGAGGTTTACATGCTTTTTAAGGTTAAGGCGTTTATTGTACGTTTTCTACTTTATAAGCTGCGATCTCACGGCCAACCACAATAGTATTAGAACTCTTTGAAGCCCCTTGTGGTCAAAGTATTGAAAGCTTAAAACCACGGTGGTCCGCTCTTACAGTCCTTAAAGTGTATTCTTCAATTGCTAGATAAGGAACTTCGTTTTCCGTCGCATCCGTGTGTGGATTTTTGGTGGGTAATATCTCCTCTCTAGACCGTGCCTTTTCTTCGGGAGAAGAGAGACGAGACTGATTAGGGTGAACTTAAACTGTGCAGTAGCTTGCCTATGACTACATTTTGGGGTTATTTTTAGCTGAAGCAGATGAATCATATACAAGCATTTTGCGGCGAGGCGAGATAGCGATCTCTTATTTCATCAACAAAGAAAGCGCACGCGAATTTCGTAAACAATTCGAAAAGTTTTAAGTTGGGACCAAATACTGACAAAAAGAAACTTGTTTGTGAGTTAGTTAGTATGTGGACGTGAGTAAGTGAAGTGTGCGATGATGTATGCGTTATATAAATTGCGAGATCACTCGCGGGAAAGATTTTTTGACTTCCGAGGCATGTGCAGAAGTCCATTCCCAACTCTCCTGCATATTATCGATTATTATCGGTCGGGTTCTCTTCGGACATATCACTTCGCGCGGTCTGGAGACGCCTACTTCTGGAAATAATATTTAAAAAAAAAGTTTATTATTTTCCGGTGAAATCCAAAACCTATGAAATTTGAGTTTAGTCAGGAGTGATTGCGCAAAAAGTTTCTTCAAGAGGCTGAAAATATTAATCTTTTCCTGTCAATGACATGAATGTCTATTAAGCATAAATTATCATACGTTCGTTACGCGTGACGTCACATGTCTACAATACCGGGGTTAGTAAAAAATGGCTTCTCCCAGCGAGAACTGTCATCGTAAGGTGAATAGAATGAAGAACGAGTTATGAAAAAGGCTATGAATACGCCAGAACGCTGGTCCACTGCCTCTTCGGACAGTGATCTGTCCTCGATATTCGGCTCAGGTAAAAGTTTTCCAGACTTTTCGGAAACGCCGGGTTTTTGAGAGTATATTTGTTTTGAGTAGTAGCTCACGCGGAGAGTAAATTTTAGATTCAACTTTTTTAAGCTGATGTTTTATCCAATACGTTTCTCCCTCTCTTTTATCGGATTGTTCGTATTTACTCAGAAGGAAGATGGGAAGGATTGAGAGCTAAAGACGTTCTTGACTTGTTACAGCAAAGAATAGCATTTTTCTACGGTAAGAAACAATGAGATTGGACGTGTGTTCTCGCTCGCTTTGAATACGTTTGAACTGTCCTCTTAGCATCACTGAATTTCAACGGTTTTACGTTGTAAAATGCCGGATAACACTCACCGTTTCTTCGTTTTAATCGATTCTCCTTTGGTATGTTTGAATTATCTAAGCAATAATCCATCACTTCGTATATCGCGTAAAGCAAATAAATGTGCAATGGAGAGCGTCTTATAACTATGGTGATATTTCAATAAATTTAGTGCGCGACCACAATCTCTAATGGTTTTTGATAACTAATTTGTATGCGGCTTTTGTGATTCGTTGATACTCTTACCTCAAAGGAAAGTGCTGTCAAAAAAAATCTTCTTTTTGTCGTAAATTATGGCAAATTTTGTTTTTCAGGTGGTCGTGATCGAAGAGGAGGGCCTATTATAACATTTCCGGCGCGTTCTAGGGCAGCAGAAATCGAACCTTGTTCTTTGGCTCGAGTTCTCACATATCTCGCCAGTTTACCCAGGTGGGTTATTTTTTAGTGATACCTTGATAACTTTTATTTTCATTCACTGTTTTGTCTGGTTTGTTGTTGACGAGATAGCCGCTGAATGTTCAAAAAAACAATCGATGTAATCAAAGAATCGTGTTCGTTGTCTTCACCACTTTTGCCGATCGCAGTATTGTTGATTTTAGACGGAAAACTCGTCAGTTGATTTTACGTGTCAGTTTGAAGAGCATTCGAGTCGATTATAATGATGAGAGATAGAAGACTCCGATATGGAAAGTGGTTATTTTAATGGCTGTTTTTATTGTGTGGAAATCATAGTTCAAAGATGTGTTCACAAATTTGTCACGCGCACCATTAGGCTACGCATCTGTCTCGAGTAGAGGACCACACTGAAATTTAAGCGATCCACTTGAAGATCATGCTATTAAAAAACTGTGAAAAATTTCTGTGACGCTGTCATTATTTCTTGTAGGATCTGGTTTCTACAAGCGAAGTAATGCTAATAGCATAAATCCTTCTTTGTAGAGTTGTCAGAATTTTTTGTTTGAACTGTCAAGTTTACTTCGAGGCAAAGAGACCCTTTTCATCGGTACATATTTCAGATATCAGAGGCTTTATATTTATTCTTTGTGCAGATTATTAATGAATCGAGGATGATTCAGTGATTGCATAATTTCGTCGAGAATCAGTGGTGGAAAGTGCTCTACAAATTTTATCGCATGACAGCAAAATTGTGGATTGTGTAAGGATCGAAGTAACTGTTTACCGTGCGAGACTTTGTTGTTTTTAAGAGCGTTTACAACTCAATGGAGCTCAAGGAAAAATGCGATTATTGAATAGTTTCTGCCGTATTTGTTTTGTTTTACGTCTGCAAGTGGTTTTAGTAGATATATCTTGCTCTTTGAAATTTCTGTCATTAAATAATTAACTAGATTTTTTTCAACCAATTCACGCAATCAATCATTTTTGTCCTCAAAGTTGAATCTAACTTTGTCGTGTTCGTCCGGAATGAACATATGGTTTCGATACTTTAGTGAAAGCGAACTAGCTGTCGACTTTTGTGTTTTTATCCTCATTGCATGAGCTCTCCATTTGCTTTTGTTTTCACTTCACCATATATGATAGCCAGTATTTTGTGAATTGTAATCATCAATAAATTTTGTTGTTGTCTGAGAACGTTTCCGAAACTTTTCCACCATTGGGTCAAATCACAGAAAATCATTTATTAAATAAATTTATCTTCCGCAAGGTTAATGTCTCCTGTCACTAAGAACTTTCTCAGCATACGTATGATTTATTGCATTAATTATTTATTCTTGGAGAACCTTTTTCCCTCGTACAAACAACTGTAGTAAAAGGTTTTTTTAGAGGAAAGTGTTGTTGATAAACAGTGTGGGTAAAACTGTAAGTTTTATGGCCGACGAGGAATTTTGCTTGTAAATCACGGAGAGTAGTAAGGACTTAAAGTTTCCTTGATTGTAAATGTAGGTAACCAATATTTTTGACAAAATATCAAAATTTGCATGAAGAAAAATTTTCTTAAATGCACCTGTTAAGTGTAAGGCATTTGTTTAGTCAAAATCGTACAAAAACATTATTTTTGTTGCTTTAAAAGTGTGTTTTTTCAGTCGCAAGAGTGTGTAGGTCTGATGTTTTCTGGGGTATCTTTGTAACTTGCTGATGTGTAAATTGAGAAAGAACTTGGTGCTATGTAGGCCTCATACTGTTGCATACATCACCCAGAGGCTAAAAAATCTGTGGGATATCGCTGAAACCAACAGTCAATAGTTGTTTCATTCAAGGTTTTTTCAAAACAAAATGTAACTTAAAGTACAATAGCTTTTCATAGTTTTTATATTTTATTACAAGTAAGGAGGAATGTCATGGAAAATTTCTTGCAATTTGTATGATTTATTAGTGTCTGTTCTTTGTACTGCCTGAACACATTTTAATGATGCTTTTGGAGAAGAATAGTTAAGGTGTCAGTGATACTTTTTTGGCATTTTGATGCTAGACATTTTTTTTAACAAAATTATATGAGAAATTGTGATTCCAGACACGCTTTTGTTGAACAATATCTTTGGATGCGTGGGCTCTTTTCCACGTTGGAGATTTGCCAGGCTGTAAAATATGTGTCTACGTATTAGCATTATGTAATTGGATTACAACACCTCTTGTGGCTGAGAGCACCTTGATAGAATTTAAAACTTTTTTATAAGAGTCCAAGGAAGAATTGTTTACATGTTTTCCATAATTTTCAAATTCTTTTGTGTGTAGTATTTGATTGAAGCATGCTCGACAAATATTGTGTTGGCAGATTTGTTAAAGTGTTCTTAAATTTCATATATTGTTTTTTGTTCATAAATACCTCTTCCTAGAATTCTTTGCATTCATCAAAATCAGAGAATTCCATATTATCACAGTGATCATGAAATTCTATAAATTCTAAACTTAAAAGGATACAGCTGTACATAGGTTTTGTCAACAGAGAAGATTTAGGTTGCAGAGTTGAAATTTTAAGATAAAATTTTATGGAATTTTTTCAGAAGTTCACCAGTTGGAAAGAATCCGTAGCAAACTTGTAATAGACATTCTTTTGGTTTGTAAAATTGACTGAAATGCACCAAGTCCAACTTATTTTTGTTACACGCAAAAACTGAGCATGCTTGAAAGGTTGTGAAGACACAGAACTGATATACTTTGTGAGGTTAAGTTTAACTGTCTATCTAAAAGGTGAATTATTCTGTCATCCCAGCATTTTGTGCTATGACTATTTGGTGACCATGCCAAGAAGAGCAAGTTTTGGCAAGGAAGTAAAAATTTTGATACTCAAATTTTTAGCACTATAGTTATCAATGTGCATTAGGCAACCTGTAGTCTGAAGTCGGAATGAGATAGAGCTTGAACTGGACACACTGCACAAAGTAGCTGAATTGATTCAACTGGTTAAAATGGTCAAACAAGCTGATTTCCTGCGACTGAATTGGGTTATATAGTTTTTCATCAAATAGTGATTTGAACATAGATAAGCTTGGAGCTCTGCATCGCTGTTAGTTAGTTAGAAGGAAAAAAAACTCTGCAACATGACAACATGCATTCATATAATGATTCACATACTTGATAATGACGTTGATCATAGTGCTGCACACCTTTTGTAAAAAATTTACGGAAGTTTGAACTATATACTCAATTAAATGCATACCTTGAGATTAAATGCTGTCGATGATGATGGATTAGTGTGTGCTAAAATCTCTTAAGGTCAGACCTGAGGTCACCGAATGACGCATATCAAGGTGGGGGGGAGGGGATAGGAGGAGTTGGGGAAAGGGTGAGAACACGAGAGCTGATAATTTAGGAGAATCTTTGTTTAAATTTTTTTGCTTTTTTTAAAAAAAATTTTCCATTAAGCTTCAAGTGAACATTTAACTTATGTTTTTCCTTTACCCTTTTCACCTCAACATCAGTGTGCATATTCTCCATACTGTTCTCTATACATTTCTTAGGGTACTGACAAGGAGAATTTGTATTACAATCAAGAGCCTCTTTACTTGGTGATCATCTCCTATAATCTCCTGACCTTAGCCTTTTAACTACCATGAGTGACCAAGACAGAATTTCTCCTTACAATATCAATACAATATCAAGCAGAAAAGTAACGAGAATGAAGAAAAATATCAGTTTGGGGATTATAAGTTGATCCAATATGAAATTCTCCAAACTAACATTACAAGAACTGTATGGAAGACAGTAAGGAGAATTACTAATGAGATCTTGGGAGTTAAAGGGTTAATGTTTGATTCAGGGGTGACATTGTGGGAAGAAATTAGACACTAGTCATTCTAAGGGGTTAACAGAATAAAAATTGTATACTTAATCACGTGCCTGTGCATGAGAGCACTGTATTCCACCTTTGATATCCTCATGGAAATTATCAGGTCAAGAATAACTTTTATTGGTGATTGAAATTGTTTAAAACTTCAATCTTAATTGACAATTTTTTGTCTACCTCTATCAGTGATCATGAAAGGGAACTTGGTTTCAGTCTTGTACTGGACATGCGAGGATCTACATGGCCTTCTGTTAAGCCTATGCTAAAAGCTTTACAGGTTTGTTTCACTTGATATTGAATGAAAAATTCTTATTACTCACTAAAGCCGGCGACACACTTGGCCATTACATATGGTAATCCTGTTGAATTTTGATATATGATATATGAATGATATAATGCAAAGTATGTTGCTGGTCTAAGGTATATAATCTAAGGTGACATGTGGGAAATATAATGCGCATAAGCTTATCCTCTCAGTGAACATTGCTGAATATCAACTGCATGCTGCTTTGAAGAAGTTTATGATACATCTAAGTGTAAATCAAGATATCTTCTGTAAAATTAATACGAATTAAAGATGTTGCGCACAGGCAAGCACTTCCTTATCATGAATGGTTAATAACTGGAGTTCTAATGATTTCTCTAATTTTATTGCCCAAACAATCCAGGTTAAAACTGAATAGTGGTATTAATTTGAGCGTTTTAATATCATGTGAACAATGAAATTTCGTTTTTCATTTACATCATTGCATGTGCAGCCTGTACATATTATGCTTTTATCCACATGGTGGCTTTCACTAGAAACAATTGAAACGTCTTTAATAATCAAAATGCCATATTCCTGAATTATTTCCTCTCTGAAATATTGGGCTGAGATATTTTACAAGTTACTTTGTGGTTCAATTTTTGTCGTCATCTTCTGTACCTGCATGAGGATTGGTACTTTGGTGGCCAACGCGACCTTTAGAATGGCATGTCTATGTTCCATACAATTACCATAACAATAGATAGAGGGATTTAATAAAATTACTCCCAAGTCTGAGTATTACACTGAGCACTGCATGATTTCACTGGACTGGATGTTGGCTAATACAATTTGTTCGTCTCCTTTATTGAAACAGAAGCACTTCCTACAGCCCCTTTCTTAAAAAAATATGAAAAGTTGTGTAGATGATCTCTTACACTGTAAGATATGTAAATAAATGCAGCTGCATGTATATGTACATAGAAAGCTTTGTAAAGTCAGCTAAATATACAAATTACATTCAGGTGGTAATAATCAATAGTTATTGCCAGCAGTATCTTTTATTACCACCTAAAATCATGTGGAACATTAGAAAATTCAATAAATAAAAGATTGCTCTTACTAATGGTTTAAAAATTTCCTTTAACTTGTCATGCTTAAATTGAGGAAGAACACTGCTATAGTGTTTTTTGAATTATGAAATTTCCCTTTAACAATGTTCAGTAAAATCAATGAACTGACCTTCAACAAAGGAGAATGAAGTATGTTTTGAGTTATTAGTCAGTTAATTAATTATTGTTGTTGGTAATTCAACCAGCTATTGTGGTGTTATTTGATAGGTTAAAAAGAGATCTCTCTCTGTTTGATCATTTCCAATCATTTTTCAATATATTCAGATATACAACATGATAACTCAGCAAATCTCTTATTCGAAATTGATAAAAAGTGACCTAACTACTGTCTGTCCAAATTTGCTCAATCAACAAATACAATTGTATCCTTGAAAAGCCAGTAAAAAATTAATTAACTGAAAATCAGGATTTCCTTTGAATTTCAAAGGAACCTGTCAAAAATGACCACAGTATTTTCTAAGCCACTTTGATTAATTTTCTGTAATTTATGATGGCAGATTGGATGACAGTGACAGATAAATGTAACACAGCTTTTTACTGTTCCAACGCCTGAGGTATTTTTCCCCTTTGCAAAAGGTATTCATGGCAGTGATACTAACTAGGGTTTAATTTTCTTATTCATCTTTCAGGAGTGTTTTATTGCTAAGATTCATACTGTTTACCTTCTGAAACCTGACGGATTTTGGGAACGAAGCAGAGTGTCATTTGGAAGTTCAAAATTGTTATTTGAGGTTAAGTACTGAAATTCTACCAAATTGTATTATTCTGACTGTGACACAGCATGGTGGAACTTCAATACACTGATATTGACAATTTTACCACAAGATACCTTGCCATATATTAACTCAAGTTATGATAACTGTGGTTAAGAATTCATGTTGTATCATTGCTTTCTGTAAAGAAGTTCCAACATCTTTGTTTTTTAAAACATTCAAGACCACTCTAGAAGGTTCCTTGTGAACTGATATGTAGACTACATATAGTTTATCTATCCATGTAAAAATGCAAAGGTCATGTATGTGTTAAAAATACTTTTCCTCTTCCAAATTTATCTTGTTTTGTTTCACTTCATCAGGCATGTGAAATTATTGCTAGTTATCTCTTAAAACAACACATTACTTCAGTATTTTACCTTCTGGTTTCTCAGTACATATGCTATCCAGTTGATCCTGGCAGCTTTGTTACTGTCAAATCTAACATAACACATCTTTATTCTGTAAAATGCTCTATAAGGTCATGTGATTTGATGTCACACTGCCTTATAATTCTGTCACCTTTAGCAATTCTAGTTTCATTGCTTGTCCTGATTTCTTTGATGACCTACAGGTGAAAAACAATGGCCTATACATAGTGAAATTTGAAACTTTTATGTCAGACATATTGTCCCAATTCATCAGAGTTCAAACTGTCTGATTTGAAATGTTCTGTCACAGAAGTCTTCCTTTCAAAAGCCTTTCACAAAGCTGTGGTTTTAGAACATAAACGGTGTGTTGTTATTGATTGTTTGCATATTGTTTGCTTGTGAATTTTGTGGTTCTCTGTTAGATCTGAGATAATTTAATTTAAGGACGACTCCAGCTCTGAGGGATTGCATGACATTTTTCAGATTTTTGTGGTAACAACTTCTCTATTGAAAGCTCCTTATTCATTTGGTTATCATGTCTCTGAGAGATGAGATTTGCCCCTCTTAGTGTTACAGGCTTTGATTTTCTGCCGATAAAATAAACAAATATGTGCAACTGTATGAAAAGTTCAGACCTCTTCAACAGCAAGAATTTATCTACCAAGGTGATAATGTGGGAAAGCCTTTATGTTAAGTTATGATGTGTGGTTGGTACAACATTTAAAGGTTTCTATTTTTTACCTTAAAGGTTAGTATGATTTGCTCCATGTGAAAATGCTTTCATGTGGATGGTTTTGTATATGGCTTTTTTGTCTCTGTTATTTTCTTGTACACAATGTATTTGTTACAAATGGCAAAATTATGAGTCAAGAGAACAAGTGACACCTCATTGTTTGTATGTTTGCCATTGTTTGTTCTTGATTGTGGATTGGGTGAATAGAACAATTTTGGTGGCCAACTTCTGTTTTGGTTTTTAGAAGGGCAAAGCTCTTGAGAGGCAATTAGAATTGATTGAAGCCACATTGAAATTGAAATTTGTTGATATAATTCCACAGATTATATATGTTTCTTTTATGCAGAGTATTTTGATTAAATCCTGTGAAGGCTAGTTTGCTATTTCAATTTGCTGTTTATGTTTGTAGATGTGATGTTTTATTATACATGCTGTATATCTTTTTACCATGCACAGATATTACATAATGACTTACATGTATGAACAGTAATTCATGTGTATAAACCATTTTAGTCTTTTTTTATTTGTAGATTAGTTAAGATAGCAATTATTTTTATTGTTTCCTATAGCTGTTTCTATAGAGTACATCATATACATCACCAGTGAATCAAATTTGTAACAATGGTTTTTTCAGTTGCTTTGTGCTAAACACTATTTTAGTTTTTAAAAACACGTTTTTTGTATCTCTCTCTAAACTCTTCTTAAAAATTGCTGTGTGAGAAATAACTATTGTGTTCAAAGGACAAAATCTTACTAGAAAACTAAGCTTGCACCAAGATCTCACTTGAGAACATGTAACTACAGTAAGCTGAATATATTTGTTTTAAGTCATGATGATGGTGTCTTGTTTTCATATCATCTTGTGACCTTCATTTTTCTAGTAAAATGTAGCATATATTTTTTTGAATTTAAATTTCCTTTTTTTAAATTCTGATCTATGTATGTAAATATATTTTTTTTATCATCAAGTGTTCTTGATAGGGCAAATGTCAAGTGTCTTTATTTCACTGAAATCTTTGAAATTCCTATCTGTCTGTCATGGCTTCTTCTATTTAAATAGTTATTTTTTCCTATCGTCTGCTATATGAATTCAAGGCCAGAACAAGAGTACTTCTTTAAGGCTTAGTCTAGACTTACCATATTGTTTTTGATATTTGCCTGTCTAATGTGAAGTGGCAATGGAATGGTTTCAGAATCTGCGTAAAAAATGACCTCTTTAGTAGCTGCTTCCAACCCACAGAACATTCACTGCTGGTTATATACATGTAAATGCTGTACTTTATTATTCCTGTGGAAAAACACATGCCGAGCTGGCATTGGTTATGATTCATTAATTTTGGTTCCCCGAGGTTACTAGATAATGACCTTTCTTAATGTAAAGTTTTCCATTATGATGAAAACAAAGACAAATCAACTTAAATTCGGTTTATGCAAATGGATTTAAAGGCAGGAAGTCACATTTAATGAATCAGACGGCAGTCAAAAACCATTTTTGGGGAGTTTGATTTGATGATCACCTTTTGATGTGGAACTATTGATTTATCAATCCTACTACTGTTGCTGACCACTTTATTTCTGGGGCAAATTGGGCAGAAATTTATTCACTGTCAAGTTATTGATCGTTTGGTACACATAAACACATATGTTTGGAGTCTTCAAGGCACCTAAGATTTTATAATGTGTTCTTCAGGTTAGTGGAGCATGACTCATCTACAAATAGTAAACAGAGAGATATTTTATCACTCTTTCTGTATACTCTCGTTTTCTGACTTATCAATCAAATGTTACTATTCACTTTGTGTTACTCAGAGTTTCGTTTTACTTAAATTATTCAAGTTCAAATGAACTTTTTCCATTTGCAGTATGTTTAAGCCATGTTCCTTTGTTTATAAATATTTTTCCTAGTCCTTTGTTGATGGTGATGAAATATTGTGTATTTTCAAACTGTGTTTGCCTGTCCTGTTGCCATAAGACTTCATTATGACAGTCATTTGGCATTTTAGAATGACATACAAGGTTTGCACTTGATGGAGTGTTCTGTTGTATTGTTGTGTTATAAATACAAGTTATTGAACAATCTATGTTTAACTTGCAACCGGTGTAAGTCATGACAGTTGCCCTAGGGCAACACAGTGTATTTTGATGACCTCCAAGACCTGTTTCATTTCCCTAAGATATTCCACACATTTAAATTTCAAACAGGCATTGCATTTTAATCAAAGATTCATGTTATGTTCAATTTTGTAATATTTTTTATCTCTAGGCTCATTTAGTAACATGGATTTTTCAATGTTAGGAACATTTGCAAACTCAATGGCTTATGACTAATTGTCTACTAAATTTCACTTTCACAAATTTTTCTTTCGGTGAACGTTTGATCAGCACTCAGAATATCAATGCTTAAATACTCATTTTTTTGTGAGCCAAACATTTTATCCATGTCATACACAATTCTGTGAGTGCAAGTTTTTTTTGAAGTAAGTATTTTTTTAGCTATTCATTACAAAAATAAGTTATATCTTGATGGTTTCTTGGCTGTAAAGATCAGTAAAATTTCAATTATGATAATTACTGGTTCGTGGCACAATAGATATTTTCCACCAGCTGGTTTGTGACAACACTTTCCAATCTGACAATCTCTTTGATGTTCAAGCTTTTAAATGGGGTGATTTAAAATTTTTTCAAATTGTGATTTTTGCAAATTCTTCTGCTCAATACACAGATTTAAGTTTATTAGACCTGAGTGTTTGTCTTTTTCGGTGCAGTGTATACCAGTATGTAGAAACTGTTTGAACACATAGTCTAATTAAATAAAATTTCACTCTGAAATAATTTTTTTCTGTCTAGTTACTCTTTACTGTTATGATGTCTTGCATGTACAAAATTTATTCTTTGGTTTTAGGCATCAAATTTTACATGCAATAAAATTTGTTATGAAATATAGTACAGTCCCTAATAAATCCAGATAAGATATTTTTGGTATCACCTCCCTAAAGGTACAATTTTTGTTATCTTTAAAGCAAAGTTACCTTTTTAAGTAAACATACTGACATGATTTTTTTGATGATTTGATTGAGTTTGAATTTGTTGGTTTGTCACACATACATGTGAATTAAGTCCAGAAATGACAAAGGAAATCTCACAAGTGACAATCAGCTCCCAACTAGAGTCTGCGAGGCAGGGGTTCAGCATCTGTCAAACCCCCTGAGTCTTTAAGGCTTCTTTTCTGCAATTGCTAAAAACCTGTAAGGATCATTTCTTGCTTGTTTAATTGCATTTGTTATAAATGTATTGTCAAGGTGTACATTTGAGTGTTAAGGCTGTAAGGATTTTTTTTTAAGTCCCAAAATATATTTTACTGACCTGAAGGCAATGTAGCTTTGTCAAGTTATATGTACTTTGTTGTGTCAAGTTATATGTACTTTGCTGTACCAACTGCCTGGACAAGATCGGGCACTAAGCTTTTGCCAAACTCAGTTTATTATAAGTGATGTGCACTACTTTATTTCCAGGTTGAAATTGTAATAATTTAAAAGGCAGTTATATTTTTAAAGAATTTCCTTGTTGTTTTTTTTTTTGGTATTGTTTGGTGGAACCTATATTACAGTTTTTGTGATGGATATCTTCTTTTGACCCTTTGACTCCTAGGACTGACTAGCATGTAATTTCTCCTTACATCACTTCCCTGGAATCAAAAATTAAGGTTCTGAGAACGAAGGAAGTGATCACTGACTAGCTCGTGATTGTCAAACAAATTCTCCTTGTCAGCACCTAAGAGACTGTATAGAGGGCAGTATGGAGAATGTGGCCCTCATATTGTTTACCACTCTACTGTATGTTGTTGACTGTAACAATTTAGTTGAAATGCAGTAGGGGCCTAAGATCTTATCAGTTTAGGGTAAATGATGTCTAGAGTTTAATTCCTGTTCAGATTAATTATTCTCCTTAAGTCTAAATGAGATGACTGGGAAGAAATTTAAACTCTGTAATTACTTGGAACATCCAGTTGTTCATTAAAGTTGAACTCTTTTGAATGAATCATTATCACAGGAGTTGATTTCTTGTCATATCCTTCCAATTGAAAGTCACACTCTTTTTCCTAGAGAGTTTGAAGTATTACGCACGGATATATTTGGGTGAAATGTAGGTATCTTTAAAAAGGAGTCCTTTTGGAGAGCTTAAGTTGTAGGTTTTTTAAAAAGTATGTTCTCAAAATAGTGTGCAGTTGATTACATGAAGCACCTGCTCAAATGTGTAGAAATCAATGTTCTACTGATTCTTTCTACAGTTCCATTTCCATGGTTGCCATTCTCTTCATTTGAGCTTTCCAAAGGCTCACTGAAAGTAGAAAGCAAAACTATGTTAAAAAAAACTTGTTTTTCTTCCATGAGGATAAGGTTAATTTTTAAAAAGTGTTTTCAGACTTTCCCAGCATGTGTCTCAACATTTTGGTTATTGTTGTGACCCACTAGCCACTAAATATTGGAAACAATTGATTGCACAGCAGGGGTTTTGCTGGCTGTTCACAATTTATAAAATAATCAATCAGGCTAGATTTCCCCAATTTTTCTTTTTAGCCTTCTTTGCATATTATCAAAATTAACCTTTGCAGGTGATGTTTGTTAAATGAAAAATGATTTGCACTGGAGATTATGTGTTCCTTTGATTTTAGTGATGACTTTCTCAAGGCATGTGATGATGTTTGATGTGTATCATATGATCTCTCTTGGATTAATGTTGGTGTATCCTCCAGCAAGGCTTTATACATCATGTATCCTCTCATATTTTTCTCAGCATTGTAAGAAATATGGTATTGTGCCGACTTTTATTTATTTTTTGTGGTGTAATATTTTATTTTCGATGGTTTGTGTGTAATGTTGTGTGTCATGTCTTGTTGCTTTAAATTGAACATTGATGTTAAAACTTAGCTTTAATCTTTAATCTCCTTAAAGTGGGATATCTTTGGCATGAAAAGGAGTTATTTTTTAAGTGGGTGTAGTCATAATCTCCACATTGTGGAGATAATACGTGATGTATTTCGTATGTGCTATTGGCATTTGACTACAAGTTCTGAATACTACAATAGGTACAAAGATTGAGGTTTTTCTATCTGGTGAAGAATTTTGAATGTTGGTTTCAGCATAGTGATGATGACAAATTACTCATAGTAACTGTTGGTTGTACATATTTCATTGCATAATAGTAAAATACTTGCTATTTGATTTTTGGTGTCACTACACCACAGATCAAGTTCATTTTATGTTTAATTTTCTTTCAACTCTATGCTAAATTTAAGTTTTATATTTCTATGTTATAAATTCACTTTTACGCATTACCACTCGTAAATCAAGGTAAATGTATGATGAAAATTGAACAATAGCTGATACTTACCACTAAAATTTCTGTTTATAGCAACTCATGTTGATATGTTCTGTAAACTAAGGTTTATATGTAGATGCTGTTAGTTGGAACATATTTGTTCTTGAACTAATTAACAATTGGTTCATGCTTTAGTGTGCACTATCGAGTTATGGAGCACGTGGGAAGTTTGGAGAGCACTCAAGAAGCTAGAGTTGCCCTTGGCTATTGCCTTGGGCGACTCTTATGCTTCTTGAGTGCTCTCCAAACTTCCCATGTGCTCCATAACTTGATAGTGCACGGCTAAAAGCATGAACCAATTGTTTTATAACGTAGCTAGTCGGACAGTGAAGCAATCGTGATGGCGCTGATGCCGAGTCTCCTTTTCCGTTGTTTTTCTCTTTTTCTGCCTCAACTCTAGCCCAAGGGAAAAGGTTGGAAAATTGTCTTCGTTTTGGGACTGGTGGGCTGAGTTTCTGTTTGTATCCATTATTGTTTTTCCCCGCACTAACAATGGCTGCTCACATGAAAAAAACAATTTCTGGAGAAGTGATTTGCTCACACAATCAGGGTACACTATCGGATTTTGAGCATGCTTACATATACTGAATTTGATTGCACGGCTCTACCAGCTATGTTATAATACTTAATATAACTGATATAAAAAGACTTCTGGTGGGTTAGATGTGCACCTGTTATTTACAAGGGCAGAACAGAGTCCAGTTGAAAAAAAAAAAACTTCATTTTTCACTTATCCTTCCTTTTTCCCTTTCTTCCTTCTCTCCTTTATATTTACACTGTTCATGTTAAATTGTTTTTTTTTCCTAGACATTGACTTGTGCACCTTGTAAACAATTCACATTAATGTTTTTACCTCAAGCTGAAAGTGAAATGAATTATCTATTGATGACTTTTACATGTTATTATTTTATCTCTCAGTTTCAGGGTGCACTATGATTGGTCAGTGAAATATGGCTGACTTATCAAAGTGCACCTTGTTATACTGTTAAATTAATATAATAATAATAATACAAACATATTTATGCAGGATTGCTGCTTCAGTTTTAAGGAAAAAAACTGCTATCAATGCAGGTCCTGTAAAAACTTTCTTAGGAAATATTTCACAAATTTTAGATAATTTTGAAAACATCTTTCGATAATTTGTTTGTATTGAAATCTCCCCCTCTATTTGAACTGAGAGATATAATATTTATCTTACTATCCCTGTTTTCTCGGCCTACGTTGTAAGTTACGGAACCTCAGCCCATAACTTACCATGCAGACCTTGAACTCAGTTTTTAAGAGGTATTACAGCATGCCTTTAATTTTGAATTGTTTCGTCGTAGTAATTAATTACTGAGACGATGATCACATGGTAATTTGAAAAATGTGATATTTCATTTCAGACTGCCCTCACATCTCTGGATGGTCTCGCAAAATTTATCGACATTGATCAGCTAACTTTAGATCTGGGAGGTACCTTTAAGTATGATCATTCCAAGTGGATCAACATGCGAATGGTGAGTTACAAACTTTACCAAAGGCTTAGAATCTCACCAACCAACTGGCCAATCTCTACCTTAGATGCAGATGCATGTTATCGGTTAATGGTTCTTTTGATGTTGCGTGTCTTTATTGTGGGCATCTATGTGGTTCGTAAATTTCTAGAACTTAAAATATATTATTGGTGTATTTCTTGAAAGGAATTCCCAATTTTCAGTAGATATTCTCTCCTCTCTCATCATTTGTTGGCTTGGTATATTCATTGTATTGAAAAATGTACATCATTGCAAAGGTTTCCAAAGAATATCACAAGTGATGAAGAGTTTCAAGTACATTGCAGATCATAATATCCTATGAATGTTTTGATTTTCTCCTCAGAGTTAATGAGATGTTATATTATTATTATTGTCAATTCCTAAACGAGACATGACTGAAATTAGCAAAAACAGTTGCAATAATTTAAGTGGTTTTTGGGTGATCAAATTGAATGCCTTTTTATGAAGAAGTCCAATTTTCCTCCTGATTTAGACAAGTATCCAAGTTTGCAGTCCTCTTTTATATTTTTGTGTGTGAATTTGCATTTTATATATGAGAAAAAGCAAATTGACTGAATTTCTGATGTAATACTGATAAATAAGGGAGATAGCTTGAGATCAGGCCTGAGATCAATACCACCTGTTGACACACAGCTGAAAGTTACAATATCCTGTTTTATTCTTCTGACAATTCACAACTAAACTGCAGTTAGCATTATGTTGACAGAGGTTACTTTGAATTTCTTTGGTTTTTAAGATAAATTCTTTCATATTTTATAAAGAGAAAATTGGATTGTTTTATCTCCCTGAAACACTGATTTGTATTCTGTAGACTCACTTGAATTTAATTAAACAGATAAGATTAATTGATTGGATAATGGGCTTTGGCTTATAACAAGATATTCCTCAGGAACAGGTGAAGGAGACCTATGGACAGGCATTGGGAAAATAACACTTGGTCTTATCTTCCCAAAATCAAATCAGTTGTACCAACAAATATGATTAAAACATGATGGTACATAGTGACAAAAAGTATGCTGTCAAAACCATTTTCAGTACATGGTTATTGAGGTTGTAAAGAAATAAAATCATGCAGCATGAGCTTGGCTGTTGTTTGATGAAGAGTTTTGACGATATGTATAAGGTGTCGCTTTTTCTCTTTCAGGCACTGGAAAAATTTCTGTATGAGGCCTCATCGTTATTAGCCAAGTTAGAAGAAATTCAAGATGGCTTAGACAAGGAAGATTTTTCTGATACTCTTGAGGGTCTCAAAGATCAAATTAAGCATAATCAACATGTGAAAAAATGGATTATCAAAGCACCTGTGGAATTATTGCAAGAGGAGGGGGAAAAAATTCGCAATACTATAAAAAATCCAAGCTATGAAGATTCTGAAGATAGTTTAACGGAGGACGATGTGAAGAAAGCAGAACTACAGATACAGGAATTAGTGGAAGGCTTGCATACCAAGAGGCAAAAGTTGAGGGAATTATGGAACTTGCGGAAGATGAGACTGGATCAGTGTTTCCAGTACCGTGTTTTCCAACAAGATGCTGAGAAGGTAAAGACATTTTTTGACAGATTGTATTTGAAAATCTGTACAAAATATTATTTATTCCTTTTCCTTGAATTTCTTATTTGCTGAAAATTCATCTCTTGTTTGCACCATTTTTTTTTTCTCAAGCGATTGCAACCCACTTCTTATTTCCATTAAGGTATTCCTTTGTTCTTCATGATATGGGTATACTTCACTATTAAAATTCAGCAGTATGCAAATTGAAAGCATGACTTGGGGTTAAATTTCCTTCTCTGGTGTACATGTTTAAGGGCTATCAATCCTCACAGAAATATTACGATTCAGTTCATTTGTTCTAGTTGAAATTTTTATTAAGTTATGTGGAAAGACCATCAACTGAAATAGACCAAGTGATTTCGATTCAAAACTTCAGCTGACATTTCCTTTCTTGTTAATGATGTATATCAGCAGCATCAAAACAAGCCAGAATCATCAGAGCACATTTTTATTTTGGTATTTTGACAGAAGAAAATTATGAGGATTAGGCTATGGAATACACTAGAAGGAATTGCTTTGTATGCTATTGTTTTTATTGACTTTTAGCAACAACAATGTAGTCACTGGTCTCACAGATTTTCAGTTTAAAACAATATGTTTATTTAGAGACATTGAGTGAGTCAGATGTTTAAAAGTGGAAAATTTTACCATTCTTTCAGTTGGACTTGCAATACAATGTTTACTGCCTTACTGCTCTTCCTGGGCACAGCTCCTCATTACACCTTCACAGCCAATGGGAAAAAAGTTATAGAAACCCAACCATTTTTTCAACAGCATGACGTTATCACTATCACAACATAACTATACCATCCCCTATGCTTCTCATGGCCAATTTATAAACAGTGCACTGTGGCTTCTGAGTAAGAAGTTTTTAAATAAGAAAAGCGCTCTATTTCTGCCTTAACATCTTTGAAAAGTGCATGTGGTTCTCAGGAGGTGCGCTGTCAATACCATAGTTTAAACTTCAAATGAAGTGTACTGCTTTGATATGAAGTAGAGTTTCTCTGTGCAGTGACTCCTGATTGAAGAAATTTGCTGCAGACGTACATACTTAATTACTAGACAGTTGAGTGGGACAATTAGGAAGCCTGACATTTAATTTGCAAGGTAGCTTCAGTAATTTTTTTGTGTCGATGCATGCAAATGGATTATGTCTCTCTCTACATCAAAGGCTTCTTGACACAGGTTTAGTTTTGTACCATTACATGTAATTGCACAGTCATGTTCTCTAAAGATTCTGATCGTAGAAAATGGCTTTTAATCTTGGAGATTGCCTGGGGCTTAATTTATTGTGTATAGATACCTTGTGATAAGGCTTTTCTTTTGTTGTTGTTGTCTCTGGTCTGCAACAGCTTGTGAAAACTGTATGGTAGATAATATAAATTTCAAACACCAAAACGACAGGCTTGTTGTGATAAGTGGTTAATTTAGAGAATAAAGGAAGGAATTCTTTTATTCTATAAATTCATTTTTGCAGCCATCATTGGGAAAAGTTTTCCTTAAAAATTTGATGTTATTCAGTATTTTGAAATACATGAAAAAATTGTACTTATTTTCTATAGAGGAAACTTTTTAGCATGAGAGTGTATGCAGCTAGGTGCACTATTTTTTTTCCTTTTTATCATTGTACTTGTTCAAAAAATTCTGCCTAGACTTAGTAACTTTAGAAAATTATTTGCCCAAAGATAATTTGATAGATACAAACTCTTCTTTGATGTCATAAATTTAAATACTTTTGATAAGAACATCAAAATAAAATCTTAACACTTAAATGGCTCTCAGAAAATGTAGTAAAGTGGCATTTTGAGGTTTTTACCGATGTTTAAAAACCCTCCTTGGTTAATTAAGTGAATCCTGTGGTTTATTTGCTTTTAGCTTGGTTCTATTTCTTAGCAGGGGATATGGTGAGTTGTCATAGTAAGGCTTAAAACAGATGCCATTGAACCTTTGTTTTTCTTGTATAGGCCTATCAGAGCTTCATGATCTTGCTTTTATTCTGTAAATCCTTTAATCCCAATAATGGCATTTTCATGTGATAAAACTGTGGTGTTTTTGTGTTCTTTGTGTAGCTCTGGAATGGTTAATGTGAGACTATGCAGTTTTAACACCGATCAACCCTTTTTAGCTGGATTTTTTATTTATTTTTGTTTGTCATGCAAAAATGTCATGTTTGGAGTTTTTCTAATTAAAATGGAGAATGATAGATTGTGGTTTAGTTACTGATGTTATCATTGTCTTTTATTTTTGATTCCTGTGGGTCCAGCTTGATTGATAAGGAGATTGCTTCTTTGAAATTGAGAAAATCTGTTTTGGTTTTTCAATGACAATGATTTTAATTTGTGCTTTGTGAGTTCAATTGCGACATTACCTGCAGCCTCAGTGGTTTCAGTACCAAGTGTAATTTCCTTTTTCTCCACAAACCCCAGGACATTATTATCTGATCTGTCAGGATCTTCTTTCTATCCTTTGAGAATGCCGTTTATTAAACTCAATCAGCACAGAGAGATTGTCAACAAAGTACAGAAATTTGCAATTTTTCAAAAACAGACAGAGCTCATTAAAAATTTATTGGTCGTAGTCTGCGATCAGACAGCTAGTCTGCAAGGCAGAACAACACAGATTATTTATGGTGATTTTATTGTGAAGAGGTTTAGGAAGCCAGAAGATTGTCGCTTTAACTATAGAAGTGCACAATATTTACGTACCAGTTGGTCAGTAAGCAGTAAAACCTTCTGTATTCTTGTCAACTTATATTTAATAATCCTTACACGAAAGGTTAAACACAAGGATATCAGAGGGTGGGTAGTGTTAAACCAGAATTGAGCCCTGTAACAAGATCTTTGCTCATAAGAGATTAACTTGAATGTGCAAACCTAACAGGTGTTTGAAGTATTGCATGTGAAGAACAAAAACCCTTGAAAATTTGTAAAATGTTTGCAGTAATTTTGCAGTTTAATTTCATGCTCTGCATGAGCCATACTTTGAGGTTGGGTGATTGTTGCTGGTGCTAAATATTTTTTTTTTAAAGAATACTCTGCCTTCAAACCAAGCTCTCTTTTATTTTACAAATCACAGCTATTAAACTTCATGGCTCTGCAGTCGGGGGAGTTTTTGTTTACTAGGTTGAAGTGAATTGAAATTTTGTGCAAAGCCATGGTAACCTAACTATTACATCCTGTTTGCTTTGAAGCTCATGTGGATTTAGGATGTTGGCCAAAGGTTCAGGAACTCTTTATTTTAGAATATAATAAGTTAAATATTTTTCTTTTTATGATCACTACAACTTTTCTAAAAATATCCAACAATTGTAGTGATTAGAAGATCAAGAGGTTTGCAGTAAAATGTAGTAGAGGAACCGACTTCAAATTTAGTTTTCTTGATGGGAAATTGGTCAGGTGTGATACAGAATTATGTCTACTGAAAAAAAAAGAGAAGCTCTTTAAGGGCTAATTCTGCTTACTCAGTCGTTCATATAGAAATGTAAATTTTATGGCAAAATTTGGCTTTTTATTGGTGCACAATTTGCCAACAGCTGCACTCATAATATTTTCAAACTGGTTAGCTCTCTGTTTGATCAGCGGTGTAATCCTTTCGAATATTTCTGACATTATTTGACAAGTAGACAAGGCCATTTCCTTCTGAAATTAAGTTTCTTAACTAGCCAGCTGATTTTTTTTTGTGTTCAGAATTTATAAGTTTACTGAGACATCAGTTTTTTCACTTTTTGTTGCTTTCTTCTGGTTGGTCTTGTGTGTGCAGAGCAAAATGGCTCTGCTTTCACAGACGTAAGTGCAATATTGAAATATTATTACCATGAGGATTGGAAATTAGCTTGGTCAGGACTCATCAAGTATTATATTGAAACTGTCACAGTGAACAAATCATCCTGAGGCAAAATCCAATATTTCAGCGGTGGTTTTTTTGCCAATTTTGTTTTTCAGATGCTGGTATGGATAAGGGAGAATCATCAGGAGTTTTTACTGAATTATGCCGAAATTGGAAATGATACAACCTCTGCTGATGAACTTCAAGAAGAGCATCGAAATTTCCAAGGCAGTTGTATGGTAAGTCAAGTCTTAGGTTCTAAGCTGAGGAACAATGATATTATCTCCAAGCAATTTAGTTGCATTTATGTTCAAAATAAGTCTGTAAGGATATTTGAATCTTGTATTTCAAGAGCTTGTCTGTTTGTAGTTGTTATTAGTGTTCAAACAATTTAGTTCCAAGAGACCTTTAAATGTATATCACTGCTTTTTGTGGTTTTAACTACCAGTGCTTCATGGCTCTTGAAATGTGAAAATTTCAAATCGGATATTCCTACACATGTATATAATTACATATAAATAATATAAGGAAATCTTTAATCACCTCTCTTGTAATCTTATTATGTTCTAGTTAAACATACATTCCATGGTCAGTTTTGTCTCTATACAGTATGTTGTTTTCCAAGTTGTCTCTTGTCCATAAATCATTATTCTTTTGCAGTGAATGTCTGGTATGGCATTTCAAGTGCTGCACCCACTTTAGATGTTTCATTTTCCTTTTTTTGGAATAATAGTGTGATATTGTTTTTGCACTTGAGTGCAATTTTGTTATGCTTCTGATTCAAAATTTTCTGTGGTTATTTCCTGTTTTACTAAGATAGGCAAAGCGTTTTAACATAAACTTTCTTTGATTGGCTCAAACTGTGCCACGTCAATAAAAAATTATGCTATTTTGAGTTTGCATGATGGAGGCCTACACTCCCTTGATATAATATTATAACCACACATAATTATATTCAAAGAAAATCTTCTAAGCTGTTTTTTAATCATTAAAATGCAATTGGATTGAAATTTAAATCAGTTACAAGAAGTTTGGCCAGTCTAAAGTTAAGTCTTGACTCAATTTATTGCCTGGATGTAGCTGTGCCTTGTGGAAGAGAAAAAAATTAATTTTTTCAGACACAACATTTGCATAAGGAAAAGCAATATTGTCAAACTTGACACTCATATTTGTTGCTACTTTGATTAATTTAACAACAAGAATGTAAATATTTAAAAGAAGCAGGCTTGTGTAGCTTTGTTTATAATTTATGCATAATTATTTAAAGGCTATGATGTATTATAATGTAATTTTTTCAGTTTTTTTTTTTGCATGTTTTGGTTTCATTTCTGGTACCTGTTGGATCAGTCTCAGAAAATTATCCAGTGCTGCCAATATAATCTCTCAGTTGTAAGCATTTTAAGTGAAATTTTTATGTGAATTATTTACAAGATAACATCAGATGAAATCTATCTGATAAGCCAAGGTTTATGGTTGAGGGATCCTTTTTTAAAGAGAGAAGATGCTAAATCCAATATCATTTCAAGGTATCGGTACTTGATATTTATAAGTGTGGTTTAGAATTACACCGCTTGGCCTGTAAATTGTTGAAAGTTGAAGTTGAACTTAAAGTTAGCCAAAGCCAAATCTGAGGTAAACACCACACCTGCAAAGATCTTATTTCAGCAAGATAAAAAGTTTACTCAAAAGTCCTAATTATAAAAATGTTTTTATGATGGTTTTCTTCAAGGTTTTCATGATAACTTTGACCCTAGTTGTTGGATACTTAACAAAAGTTGAAACTGGAACAATTTAAACTTTTCACTCTGGTGTATTATTAAGCTTTCTTCAACTATTTTCTTTGTTATTGTCACAAATGAAAACAAAGTATGAAATTTAAAAAATGTTACTTATGAGGAGGAGTCTTAAAGTAGGAGGAGGACAGGGTGTGTTTGTGCTCAAAAGCTGCCTCTTTCTTTCAAAATGTAACAGTGTTGTTTAGACCACACAAACACAGTTCTGTTTGTTGATTGATTCTTAGGATAATAAGGGTAATACATGACACTTCTAAATATGGTGCAGTAGAGCCATTTAGCCCTATCTCCCTCAACTCAATTCTGCCAGTTATTATTCTATACATGATATAATTCCACTGGGCTTGCTATGAGAATTCGTATCGCCTTTGTGATAATTTTGTTTGCATTCAGTACCTTCCTGCTTGAGTGTTTTTTCAAATGAAATGAGAATGTAATATACACTGGATAGCTTAGTTGTTGAGTTTTTTTTCCACTTGTCCACTGAGTAATGATTGCTACATGCTGCAAACATATGGTTCTTGTACTCTAGCTCAGTGTCGTTGGTCTCAGCACAATTTTTAACAGGGTAGATGAGTAATGCCATCCAACAGGTAAAATGCCATCCAGTAGATGAGTGATTACAAAACATACTGCTGTTCTATCCACTGGATAGAGGTATATTTAGTGCTTGGCATTATCCAGCCTTTAACTTAACACAGCTCTAATTCCAAACCCTTGCATCTGGTAAGGCTCCTTCCGTTAATTAGTTTGCATTTATGTGGAAGAGAAGTTACTCTCACATTGTTTGATTCATAAAAATCAACTGTAATGATGCAAGTGGGGGGGAGGGGGAGGGGGGAAAACCATATCCCTTTTGCTGTGAGAAGGGATCTCTTTATTTGTTTTTGTCACACCATAGTCACCCTCAGAGGTTTCAACAACTTTTTCTATAGAGAGATGTGGAAAGTGTTATAGGGATAGGCCTGAAAAAATGGCAGTTTGGCAAAACCAAGACACAAAAGCCAGTTCATAAGCTAAAAGGACATCAGGTAGAGATCTGATAAGCTGTGGTAGACCACTGATAACTGACTTCTATCATAGCCCTTGCATTCTGAAGTCCTTGCACCCTGAAACCCAGGTTTACTCACTTCCACAACATTAATTTTTCAATAGTTTCCTGACCAGCACAGAAGAAAATTGTAAACTTTCTTAGGTTACTTCGTAACTGTTTACTTTTTTATGCAAAGAATACTCTGCCAATGAAAGAAGTTTTAATTTTTTATTTCTAATGATTATGAAACAGTAAGAAAATTTAGGTTCTATTTTATTAGTTTTAATTGCTGTCCTTCTTTAATGATTGGAAGCAATTTTAAGCCATTTAGAAAAGTGTGAAGTGGAGTTTGTTTTTTTAATTTACTTTCTGTAGCACAACCTTTACTTTTAAATATCAAGGGTTACTATGTGTGAAGAGTATTTGAATTTAATTTTATGGTGGCAGAGGTAACAATAGACATTTTATATGTCTCCATCCTTGGAGACCCAACGGAAAATAGTTGAATGAGAAGAAATACAACAGCAGTTTCATTTCAAGGTTACAGTTTAGTTCAATCCTTGCCAAAGTCAAACCAAAACCACTGTTAGTAGTAATTTCTGGCTACTTTATAATTTGACTTCGGGTCTCCAAGGGTAATATTTCTCTTGGGTGAAAAAACCACCCAAAAAAATAATTGACGCAATAGATCAGAAAAGGAATAATTTTGAAGCTGTCAACAAATTGAATTAAATTGATAAGATGGAGAGCTTAAAATACATGAATCTACTACCTTCCAAAAGAATGTTGAAAAATTTTTGCATGAGACCTTGAATAAACTGAGGCAAACAGTATTAGCATTGAAATTAAGGAAAATTTTGCCATTGTGTGGTCCATCATATTTCAGTGTAGTCAAATTCAGAGTGCATGGCAGTCTTTAAGTGCTGTTTTTAACTTTTTTAACCAACAAGCTGTCCTTTGATACTGTGTCTAATCTTATGAAGAGTTTGATGTTTTCAGTTTCTTAAAAGATGCAATAAAATATGACAGATCAATTTTAAAATCAATTTCTCATGATTCCTTTTTGACATTGATGATACCTTTACTTCCTGTGTTCAGATGTTTTTTAATTACTTTTGCAATTTTATTCTGGCATATGATAACATTTGTTTGCTAGTAAAGCAAATTCTGTTTGAAGAAACAGAGTAAGTAAAACACGTTCTAAGGTACATATGGCTGTACTTCTTGGTGAGTTGGCATGTCACATTACGTGCAAAAGACTTATCCTATTAGGTCTAAAAAACACCTGTATCATGTTTCTTTTCAATGAAATCCCCAGAAATCCTCATTTTAATTTTAAATATGAAGCTTTGTGGCCTGTTTATCAAGGGATTCCTGACACTTCTGAGGATGTTAATTATTAAAGGAAATTCAGTGACTCATGAATGACAATACATGACTGTGATCTCTTATGATCCTCAGTTTGGCTCTTAATGTTAATTGCTATTGGCAACTTTGCTTAATCTTGATCTGATCTTGAATAATGACAATGCTGGGTGTAGTTTTACCTGCTTTCTTGTTGGGGGGTTTTTCATTTCAATCAAAAAATGTTTGTTCATGGGAGAACTTGAATATTTATCTGGCCTGAAGGAATTGGAAAGGAAGAAACAGGAATTAGCATTCACACATGGTAGGAATAGTTGACTAATAATTATATTTTAAGAACCAATTTTCAGGAATGAAATGCCTAGTATTTCACAAACCAGAATTACATAGAATTTTGTATTTTATTGCTGGGAAATCTGGAATTTTGTATCTTATTTGCTGGGAAATCTGTTATGATTTCTTAAACTTATACATGTAGCTAAATAATGTTTAAAAAATGTTTTTAAAGCTTTCAATGACACAAAATGACAATTTCAATGTTCTTATTTTTAAGTTCTAATTTTCTTTTGGAATGTGAATCTTTTCATGTGGAAGTTCTCAGCTATCTGACAGTGTTTCTGTGTTTGAATGCTTGTACACTACTTTGATTACATCTACTATTGCCAATAGATTTGAATTTCTCCGAAATATTCAAACATGTAAGGCATTTTAAAACAGCATGAGTTAATTGAAATTGAGTGTAATCTCTTTCTGATTTACTACAGATTTTAAAAGAGGTCTACATTTTATTCCAGGTGATATTCTTCTACATTTTTCTTATTTGAATACAGGTCTTCAACAGTGAAATACTTTTTGCAACAAGCATTACATGTGACAAATGTAGTAGATGTGTTGTGGATTAATTCATGCTAATTTATACAGAAATCTCTTAATACTAACCAGAAAGCTGCAGCTGGCTTGATGTATTAAATTTCTTTCTGTTTACTCAAGATTACAGTGTATATATTAAGTTGGAGGAAAAAGTTTTTTAGTAAACATGAAACTGCATAGAGATCTTCACTCTGAAGACGATATGGAGGTAGAATGTGGTCTTTACATTACACCTTCTGCAATCCAAATGAACGCGAACTTAATTGGTGATACAGTGTAAACATGACACCAAAGTTTGGTTTTCAGGTTAATTGGCTGTCAAGGAATGAAAGGCTTAATTGATTATAATGGAACACTGTCATTACACGGACTGATCAAATGTTTCAAGCTTGAAATGAATTTTATTTTATTGCAAAAAGTAGACAGGCAGACTGGCTGCACAGTTTTGGTTGAGATAGCTATTTTACATGTTTGTGAAGAACATTATTATATTATGATGCCATTGGTAAATCTCCTTGTGAGGTAATGCTGTCTGTTTCTTTGGTTGTACCTATATTTGGGGTTACCCCTGTTGTTGATGAGTATGAAACATTGATGTTTGATATATTTAGTATTGAAGGGCAGATGCAAGTTCAGATTTTAATGTTGCATTGATGTCTTTTGCTGCTCATTCAGTAAAATATTTTTAGAAACATATCAGGCAAAGCTGTTTATTATTTCCACCTTTTTATAAGGTTTTCTGTGAAAATTGATGCTCTCTCCTGTAGCTGCATTCTGTATTCTTACATTTACGGATATTGGGCTCAGTGTTAAGTTGTAGCTTTCATGTAAAATATGAATTGGGTATTCTTTCAGTTTGAATTTCATCATACAAAAAAAAAAAACATATCAAGTCTAGCTCTCTCTCTCCCAATAATTTTTGCAGATTTCATCTTTACATTTGTTTACATTATCACCCGATCTCTTAGCATATTTCTTGGCATGTACAGAACACCTCTGGTTGTTTTGGTAGCTAAATACACATCATAAACGGTTTTGTTTTGAAACATATCACCAGCTTTTATATCATTATTTAAGTATTTCTGGGTTATGTGTTTTTGATTAAAACATGTAAGAAGTATTTCCACCTCATGTGTTTTAAAAATATAGCCAATCTGTAAGTTTTGGATCAAAATTTGATGTTGACTTTGTGAGACATGATTTCAAGAAGAGGCTGAAAGTTACAATTTATGATTTCATGGAGTACTCAATAAACATGGAGAGCTATCAGGAAACAACAGAGACTGTGTCGGCAAGGGTGCAAATAAATCACTGTGTAGGTGATAATTTTGAAATTTTATGCCTTTCCTAAATTTAGGTCTTTAAACTTTTGAATACTCCTCTTGCAACCTGGTAATTGACAGTATTGTGATATATACTATAGCTTCAGAAAAAGTAGAAAGTTCTCCATTTTATTTCATGAGGAGAGAGTTTTTAATTCTGTTTTCTATCATGACCAGTGTTTACTCTATGATCTCTTTCCACCTATAAATATATATTTTTTTCCTTCTTGAAAGAAAAACAGAGATAAAGGAACCTTCCATGAGATGCACTAAAATCACTTTAAAATTTATATTCTCTACCGAATGTTGAAGCATGGCACATGAAATTTTCCTATTTGCACCAAGTATGTAATATTTTGTTTTATTCATTTTCCATGTTTCTTTTATCTAGCAACCAGACATGAGTAGAGAATATTTATTTTGCAAACATTTTACATGTCACCTTGACTTTGTATGGATGCATATGATTTTGGCTGAAGTGGATGGTTTTCATGTCACTTCCCATGACCTTGGTATCTCCTACAAGGGTGAGAAATAATTGGTGCTATAGCAATTTAATTCAAATTTAAAACATTTCAGTCAAAATGTCCAATTTTGCTTGAGGACCTTCTTAGAAATGAAATTTCTTGACATGGAAATTACATATGCCTTGGCGTTCTAATGTGCCCAAACTTATTGATTAGATTGTTTTACACTGATGTACAGGTAATCAGCTGTTCTGAGGAATCTTAGAAATTGAGGACAAGTGCCTATTCATTTTATCCTCTTTTTATTCAAAGCACCAAGTTGATTGCTTGTTATTTTCCTTGTCTGTGTGGCCATGTCAAATTAAATGCTGTGGCAAGAATTTAGCTTTTGATCGTTTGAACATCAAAATGGACCATTAATTTTAGTAAATTACTGCTAAGGGTTTCCAAGAGAGGGTTTCATTGATAATGATTGCTTGAAAAAGGAGAGGGTGGGGTGAGATGGGAGGAGTTGGGGGTGGGAAGGGGGGTTAGACAGAGTTGAGGGGAGTGAATGAAAGGTCTAGGTTAATGCCTCTGACTCCCAGGGTAGATCCAACTTACAGTGAATCACATTTATTTGCACAGACATAAAGATATTAAGATTAAAATGAGCTTGAAGAGTGTAAAAAAGTATTTGGTAAACAGTTTTCAAAAAGCTTTTCTTTTGAAGACAAATTCACCTAGATAATTTGGATCGTTGGCCCTATTAAAGACATGTTTTTTCCTTAAATTTATCAGAGGTAGTGTTTGTGTGGTCTAATGTGTTGAGTCAAGTAAATCTTTGAAATTTTGACCTTAACCCCTTAACTCCGAGGATCTCATTAGAAATTCTCCTTACTGTCTGCCATACAGTTCTTTTGATGTTAGTTTGGAGAATTTGTATTGGATCAACATATAATCCCCTACTTGATATTTTTCTTTATTCTCATCACTTGTCTGCTTGATATTGTATTGATATTATTAGGAGAAATTCTGTCTTGGTCAACCATGGGAGTTAAAGGGTTAAAGAATTTAGGCAATACTAGTAATATTTGTATTTGTCTGTAATGATTTGTTGTTGACAAAGCAGTCCTTTAGAGGAGATTTTAATTGTCACTGGTTTATAATGTAATGAATTTCTGTCAAGGGTTACTTCCATTTTTCATAACTTTTTCACCAAATACTACAGTAGATGAAAAATATTGTAGAAAAATTTGAAGTTACCCCACATGCTTTGATTTCATGTTGTTTATGCAGTGGTTGAAACATATTTTTCTAATTGCCAATTTTTTTTTTCATGTGGAAGCAATAAATAAGGCATAATTAAAGTCAAATATTACTTTTTGCAGACCTCATTCTAAATACTTCAGTATCCTAAATAGAAAATGCATCTTTTCATTATTATGATTTTGAATGCAAGGCTCATAAAAAAACCAATTAAAGGATTTCAGCTGGATGTGACAGTGATTTTTTATGTCTTGTGAGATTTAAGATGTATCCCTTTTCCTTCAGCTTCTGTTTTATTATTTTTGTTATGTCAGTTGAAGTTTTTTCCTTAATTGTCTTATGGCCAAATAAATTTTCTCTGAGGTGATCAGAAGGAAAGTAAATTTATTGTATTGAATCCATTATTTGTAATGAGATGAAGCAACTCCTACAAAGCAAATACAGACATTGTATGGGTTAAAATTGCCTAATATATTATGTTTGCAGTCATTACTGATCATGAAATGAGTGATAAGCTTTTTGGTCAATTATTTTCTGGCAGGAATTTTTCTTGTATTTTTTCCTGGTTGAATAATCATAGTTTAGTACAACCACACATGATTTAACCCATTAGACTGTGGTGTTAAGATGCTTTTTATTGTTTAATTGGGAGGAAAAAAAATGTATTCAAGTCATTTAGTAAGCAAGTGTTAAAGGATATGGGGAGGAAGTGTGTGTCAATTTCAAATTTAGGGCTGAGTCTATGTGTACGTGGAAAAAATATTTATGTTGAGAGGAGAGATAAACTTTTTTTATCAGCCAGAATGGATAAATGTTTATCTGGTAACCCAAATTAAAACCTGGCAAATTTTTATCAATTTGCACCTGGATGTGACTACCTTTTCTATTTCATAGAGGTCTGCAATATTGTTTTCATTATCACTGTTTTTGTTTTCCATTTGTAAATAATGGCAATTCTTTGTCTGGCTTCTCAACTAACAAGCAACATGATTTGCTCTGGAAATTTCTCCTTGGTCTCATGAATACTAATATTTGGATGTCTGTCATGCAATCATTATGGACGTAAATTAAAGCTGACAAATGGCATCGTGTATTTTCACTGATATCTTCATGAAACATTTGATCATTGGCCTTCCTCTATTTGAAATGATTTCTTAGCTATCCAGAAGAAATTTGGTGAGTTTTGATGTTTAAACTATCTTTTCAAATCTTCAGGTTAAAATTTAAATTGTTAAGTAAATTATGTACTTCTTTGAATAGTGTCTACACATTCTAGACAATTTCATCAGCACCATTCCCTCTGCCATCTTATTTTGTGTAGTCTTGTTGGAATAGATATTTAACTTTGGTTTGGAAATATTCCCTTAAGGAAAGAAAAAAGTATTTAAAATATGGCCATTTTTGTTTGATATTATTTTATCTTAAATTTTCTGTATTTTTATGAGTAATATATTATTATTTGAAAATTTTGTCCCAGTGCAGTGCAGGTGACATGACGTTAGTGGCTGTAAATTTTTTAAGGGCATGTCCCTCAAAAATTTATTTTTATTAGTTTATTTGATAGACAGAGACTCTTTCTGAAAATGTATTTTTGTCAGAATTAATGATAGTATTATTTTATTTCAGTGACATAAACTATTGGATAAAAAAAACTATAATTTCATAACAAACAGATGAAGGAACCTGTAAAGTTCATGTTAAGAACCACTGTTCCATTTTTTTCAGCTCCAGTAACTTGGGTAATAGAAAATGCATTGAAATTGAGTTAATTCCTGTCCAACAAATGCAAAACAACTATACTACTTTTCCTACAGAATTGTCTATGATAGCAATCTTCACAATAATGATCACTCCTGCTTAATTGAGGCCTGAAGAAAATTCAGGCTAGTACAGGATTTGAACCCATGACCTCCACAATAGCGGTGCAGTGCTTTATCAACGAGTTAACAAGCTGAACACCACTACAAGAACACTACTGCCTAATAAGTAGTGTTCATTACTGGGAAGATTGCCCTCATATTCACTTATTTATCCACAGTTCACATATGATTTTCATATATTCACAGTCATTTTTTTCCTACAGAATCTGCTTATCATATGATTTAGGGCAATTGCAGTTTAATGCTAATGCTGAATGTAAGGAGATAAACGTTGCAAAATTTGATCCAAAAGAAATCTCTAATCCAATTAATTGTGAATAACTGTTAGTTAATTTTTTCATTTAAAATAATGAAAAAAATAATTTTATCATTTTCTGGTGAAAGATTACTGGTAATTGAATATTATTTTTTTCTAAGTGCCATCTTTCAAAATTTGAAAAGATGTGAAATTTCCTCCTAGTATGGAAAAAAATGTAAACAAATAGCACCTTATGAGATTGAGGCTCACACGATAGCCCTTTTAGGTGTCTGATTTATTGTAATTCAGGATTTCCTTTTTATGCAAACGTTAAAGACACCCTTTCCTTGCATAGTTAGATAGAAGATTCCCATAATGTTCCCCTGAATAGTGCTCATCAGCCTGCATTTAACCAGTCACACACCCCAAAACAAATAAGCTAGAACCACTTTGCATACTAGCATAATAAACTGTTCCTCATTGATTTTCTGCTTTTTAGCTGCATTTGTATGGTCACACAGAAGGGTGCTGTCCACAGAAAATAAGTTAGAGCATCTTCATATAGCATGAAAAACAGTATCATATGAAAGTACTGCTTAGCCTAGTTCTCATTTTAATGGCGGCATACTAAAGGCTTCAACCACAAAAATAAAGCTAGTGTTTCCATTTGAATGGACACATTAGAACCATCTTGTCCAGTGTACCTGTAGTAAACAGCACCACATGGAAGGAATTAATCTGCTGGAAAACATTTTATCTGAATAATGTGAAGCCCAGGGCCCATTTTTTTGAAGGCAAACCCAGGGTGAAAATTTTTTTTCTTGGTGTCTTTATTCCTCTTTTTCAAAAGCCTTTGTCAGATAGTTTTCATATTCTATTCAGAGCATCCAATCATCAAATTTTACAAGATCTGAAACCAAATTTTGCACTTACCCAGGATTATATTAACCCTGTTTTTAACATCCTGGCTCAGGAGTGCTGTGAAAGATTTATTTGATTGAGTTTGTACAATCAAATTTTATAGGAAACATTAGTCAGTTGTAGTTGCATATTTACAAAAATTGGCAAAACCAAATAATCTCTATGTAATACACATTACAATTTCACTCAGCAGATCATCAAGGTGAAGATAGCAACTCTTCTCTTTGTTACCATATATGTATTATATTGTTCTTTGTGTAAAATTTTTTCAGGTATCCGTCTCCTTTTGTTGGTTATGGATTATTACTGTGAGGTCTTTTCTGACACTGAACTGTAGAATATCGATAGCAACTGATTTTCAATATTTTCTCCTGCCATCTGGCTTTTTTTTTATCCCTTTCACTGGCTGTCTTCTATACATTTCTTCTAAATTAAGCTCTTAGAATTTGGAGTGAAATTTTACAACATACATTAATTTATATTTTCATTTCCCCTTGTTATTTTGATGCTTGAACATGTATTAATACTCTAAATAATTTTTGGTCTCTCCCAACAGTGCAAGGGTTAATTTGACAAACATGAAAAATCTGAGATGGGGGAATCAAGAGTCATTGGAAAAAATTTACATTTGTTTTTGAAAATTAATTATCAATAATCCAGGGTGAACTTTTTCTTTGTCTATTTCCATCAAATTTTGATTCACATACAGTATCTCTCTACAATTCTAATACATTATTCAGCAAGTAGTAGACGAAAATATTTCAACTTCTCTACAATAAAATGTAAAATTGCTAGAGGTTGTAATCACCAAACATGTTGTGAGAGTAAAAGAGGGCTATTGTTTTACTTCTTGTGGGAAGTGTTCTTTTACTTGGGAAATTTTGTTATGAACATGTGCATTCATTTTGTCATTTGATGTTTCCCTTACATTATGTAGGTGGATATGTCTGTGGTGGTTTTAAACTATCATATGTGGCCATCTTCCCTGAGGGTATTTGTATTATCACAATTGAGGGAATATTTTAGGATTTATGAAAAAGCCTTTATTTGGAATTGTTATTAGTTTGTGAGAGCTGTAGATTTTACTGCCTACAATTTGACTTTTTATGTAAGTTTTGGAATTACTTGAGACCATTTTTGTTCAAAATATAGGGGTTGACTTTTCACATCAGATTCAAGCACAGATTTAAAATTTTTGTTACATGCATTTGCACAGTTTCTTTGTCATTTTCTTTGTAAAAGTAATTGAAAATATGTCAAGAAAGTGATTAATGGGTTTATGCAGATAACAGTTAAAAGAGCTATTTTCATCATTTATGTTTATTTTACTTTTGGCTATTTATGTGCCCACAGCTGCAGATTTAATAATTTTCATATTGAAAATTGAAAAAGTCTAGATTTTAAGGTGACGTGAACAATAACAATTGACATGTATTGATTGTAAGCTTTTTAAAATAATGTCTGTTTCTAGATGTACATTATCTCAGTTAAAAAAAAAGAACATTAAATTCATTTATAATACAGATATTTGAATGCCAAGGTCTAGAATAATGTGGCTGAATGATAAACGTTTCAGATCTTTTGGTGGCCAGATTGACATATCAAAAGCTAAGTTAGGCTCCCTAAGGGGGAAATAAAAATACCCCATGTGGAGAAAAGAATGTCATGATTATCAAGGCAGTTCCTCAAAGCCCGTAGAGAACTAAATCAAAATGCAAAATTATCCTCCTTTGAGGAACATGGTGACCATTCTTGACAAAAGAAAAGGGATAACATTGTTGTGATTTTTTTTTTACTGTACATGTAAGTGATATTTGGTGAGTATTAGTACTAACAGACTGCTGCATAATTCTAACAACAGTGTGTTAAATTTCAGAGTGTTTACACCAATATCAGCCGTGTGCTAGAAGTGGCTGACCAACTGAGTGAGGCTGTACACTATGAATCAGACAGAATCGAAGCTTTAGCACAGGCTGTTAGTCGCGAGTGGAAATCATTTGATATGAACATAAATCAGCGGAGTTGTTTGCTAGCATGCTCAGTTGCATATCACAAACACAGCGAAGAGGTAAATACTGACTGTAAATGTATGAACAGTAAATACTTGACTTGGGAGGTTTTGGTTGTGTATGTTCATTTATTTTGCCTTTTTATTGTAAATAATGTTATCTGTGGTTTTTGTGTCTTGCTAATTCCTCATATTGTACACTTTTGCAGTGTGTTTGTAATGGAGTTACAAAAACTTGTAATGTGCTTGCAAAATCCTGCAGTTACTGATATTTTCATTGTAGCTTTCTTAATGATTGATTAAAATTTAGTGATAAATTGCAGTTGAACTTAAGCTTTTAAGTGTTACTGAGAGGCCTTATTAAAAATTCAACAACAACCAACCATTTATTTGTCTTCAGAACAACAGAATACATGTGATTCATTCAGTACTTGTAATTTCATTCAGATGTGTACCTTAATGTACACTATCTGAAATATGTCTTTCTTCTGCGTCAACCCACTGAAATCCTATTTAATTAATTTATTGACATTCTGTTTATGGGAGCTTTGCCATGACAAAGTGTAACAAAATGATTTTATTGTTTTACATAGTTTCTTCACAATGTGAAACTCTGGCAAGGAAAGCTTCAAAATGATGAATACCTGGATATCAAGGAAGTTGCTGAAGTAGAAAACTTATTAACAGATCTAAATGATTTACGGCAAGAAATTGAAGATTCATTTGAGACTGTTAGCTCAGACAGCAAGGCACTGCTAGCAGAACTCCAAAAAAATCCTGTTCATGTGGATAATCAGTTTCTGAAAAATCCTCAGTTTTCTGAAGAAGCTGGATCCCATGTGATGGACATTTACCTGGAAGTTCACGAGCAGCACAGACAATTAGGAATGTTATGGGAAAAGCGCAAGGCAAGACTTAAAGAATATTTACACCTGTGTATGTTTGATCAGGACAGCTCCCAGGTAAAAAAACTTCTTAGTGTACATGCAATGTGATTTTAGTTGGTTGTGCAGGGTCATAGTGTATGTGATAATATGTATTCTTGCCTAGCAAGCCAGTGAGCATGGGTGAGGGAGAGCAAATTGAAGGCTTGTGAGCAAAGGGAGGCGACAAGGGACCTGGATCTTTTCACTCATCTCTTACAACCTTGCAGCACAAGCTGCAGCATTTAGTTTTTGGTCTTTGTTTGGTTTTGACATGTAATAGACTCTGGAGGAGAGAGTAGGTTGTGTGGCTAGACCAAACAATGACTGCACATGAGCCTGTGTAGGGATGAATACTGTTCTTGTGACAATGGCAATAACTCCAGTACATATGCAGACATATTTCAGTAATGGATGACACCTGAAAAGCAACTGCATCTGAATTTGAAATTTAAAATTTGGAAGCAGTCAACTTAGGCTCTCAAACATTGTTCATAAAACAAACAAACAAACAAACAGGAAAAAAAAATCTTCTCTTTCAGAACTCTTTAATTTTTATGACTTTCTGACAAACAGCAGTCATCTTCAAAAACCCATTGAAAAGTTGTGACTGTTATTTTTTCTTTTATATTTTTTTTAAACTGCAAATTTCATCTATTAATCATAATTTAACTTTTTTCCAATGACTTGTGCATGGAAGTCAGATGAAGGCTATTGTCAAGTTTTATATTTAGCTCATTATTCTTTCCTGGGTTTCTTTTTGTTTCCTTTTTTGAAACTGATCAAGACAAATATTTTGTTAATTGAAGTTGTCCTGATTGAAAGCCATATTTATTAACTTGATGTCCTTTGAATTTGATTTAACTCCAACCTTTGCCAAAGTACCTGTATTACTAAAAATTAAAAATGTGCCAATCACCTTTTTAACTAATAGCTCACAAAGTTAATTGATGATTTGGTTTTATCAACTAAGTTGATAATGTAGGTTGGCCACCGTAAAGAGTTTAAGGCTGACGTTTCGAGCGTTAGCCCTTCGTCAGAGAGAATGGGTTTCTTTATAATAGTTGATGGTTAGTTAGGTATTATTTTTATCAATTTTTTTGTATCCCTTTAAGACATTTGAAATTTTTTTTACAATTTTTTGAAAGGTTTTATGAATAATTCCCTCTTGATAAGTTGTTTTTTTTGTCACTTCTAAGGATATTTCTGTGTATGTTGCGTTTTTAGTTGATAACAGTGTGTCGTCGTCTTCAATGATCAGATTATTGATTTCTGAAAAACGTTTCCCAGGGGTGGGTAGGTGGGCCTTTATTTCTTCGTTACCGATCCCCGGATGAGACAAGTTTGTTAACCTGTTGTGGAGAGACAAAACTTGTGTTTCACCTGTTGAATGGTTAACTCTGTGAATCATTGTGAATCATATTCACCCCAACTAATTGTTTGATTTTTTTCTTTCTTTCATCGTTTTCTCCTTAATTCTTGTTCAATCTTAAGCAACTAAAAATACATGGACCTACCCTCACAGGTTTTCGCTAAACTATCTTCGTTTAGTTACAATGTTTGTTGGAAATTTTTCTAAGATTGTAAATTATGCAAAAGCTTGTCTTCATCACGATTTATCGATTTATTTTTATTATTTAAAAGGTGTGAATGGCGTGTGACATTTCCTAAGGGAAAAAATTTCAATTCTATGCTTTTAAGATTAATTGTAGTTAAAATCATTGCTCGTCGAGAATCATTTTTTGTGTGTGTCCTTTTGCATACGGAGTTTTAATCTGGAGAGTTTTCCATGCAAACTGCTGTATTAATAGACATTTGTTTCACACCCAAAGGCAGTAACATCCAATCACATTCAAGCTTGCTTATTTCATTTACAACGAAGCATTAGAAGTGGCAAAGAATGATTGCTTTCCTTGTGTTTCACCTGTATGTCGGGGAAGATTTCCCCTCATCGTCGTTTTAAATGTGTGAGGTTTTACTGGATTTGGTCCTGTGTAAAGATCAAAGAAATGATACCGCTTTTAGATACTGGATAGGCAGAATGGTAAGCTAACTTGTTTAGTGCAATTGGTTGTGAAATATATCGCTACTAGCCTAGCCGATATATTCAAATACCTTGGGTAATAAATTTGTATTCATGGTCTATTGTGTAAAATCAAGTTTCGAGACGTGAACAGTTTTATTGGAACATCCTAAGAAATATTTTTTTTTACGTGATGGGCGATAGTGTTTGACAAGGAAACTAAGCCTACGAAATTGAAATGAGTATTTGTCTTGAATTTTTCATGTCACGAATATTCTGTTTCATATTCATTACTTTAGTATTTGTTTTGTATTTGAAAAAATATTAAGATTATCTGTACTTCTTCCGAAATCAGAATTTACTCCAAATTTATTTTATTTGTTTTGATCGCTGTTGTATGTAGTCGCTATTCCTTTTTTCCCGTTTCTTGTTATCATATACACGTGTCTTGTGGGATAATGTCGCTTGTGTTTCAAATCGAAGATAAAAACACTAGCATCAAATGCAATTATTTCTTTAGCGTTTTGCCTCTTCCAACCTAGTCCTGTAAACTCGTTTTGTCGTTCTCTACTATTTATATTGAAGAAACTAAAAATACGTTTTGAGCTGAATAGGCTTTCATTGCTTCAACTAAATATTTGGTTCTGTCCAGTTAATATACTGCGTTCTGTTTATTAGTAATTTGTACCTCAGGTCATTCACTAGCTTTAGATATTCTTTGGTAATTTTTTTTCCTTGGAAAATTGCATCGAACGAATTGTAAGCTTTCAAATAAATGTATTTTATTTTTGCCTTAGCAATATCTCGCCGTCGACGTTTCTCGTGTTTCGCCTAATTTTATTTCACTTTCGATGTATATGATAGGTCTTTGTTTTGCATTCAGTCTTCCTCTTGTTCAAGGCATGTTTTTCTTGTTTAAAATTCGTGAATTTACCATAGGAAGCGGACGTAAATTTAAAACCAAATGCAAGAGAGTAAGAGAAAGATCCTCTTTATTCAACAGGTGTTGAGTAAAGAATAGGGAACACTTCCAAGATGGTTTACATTTAAATGCTCAAATTATGCTAACTTATGCAAATTTGGATCAGATATGCAAACTGGTCTTTGTGGTCGACAGCAAGCACACTAAGAGTGGAGTCATTGTGTGTAGGAAAAGCAATGCATTGTTTTATTAAGCTTTTTTATTTCGTTCTTCGTGTGTCTTCTTAAAGAGATTGGTTCGTTTCAGGAAGATGGTGTAAATTAAATTTTTTTGATTGCTTTCCCCAATTCAGACAAATTGAAAGGGAACCTACTTTAAGTTCAAAATGATTTGTAATTGAAAGGGGAAAAAACCCATAGGGAATTATTTTTATGCGGAATTAGATTTGACAGGGGCTTAGAGCAGGTGTTCTGGCAAAATATTTTTAAATTTTAATGCGCTTTATTTCTAACTGTATTTACAAATGCTGAAATCTCCTCCAATCTCTTAGCATGCCCGGAATAAAAGTGAAAATTTGTTACAGCAAAATTCTGAAGTGTTAACCTTCAAGATTAGGAAGTTTTGCTTTAAGCATTTTCTTGTGCTACTATCGGCAAAAAACCTTTCAGTCCTGCATCGGGATGTTTATGATGAGGTTTGGTATTTTCTTAAAGGAGAATTACTGCAACAGAAACAGATTGAAAGGAATGAAGATGAAAAATTTCTCAGTGTAGTTTATAGTTTCTATCATGTACTTTAAAATGGTAGGTACCTCTTTCATAATTATGTTTGCTAAACGTTTTTCCGGTCATTTTGGTGACAGTGTTTTTTAACGACTGATTGAAGTTACTAGGACATTTGTTGTCAAAATACGCCAAAAAAAAAAAAGTAATGAATCATTTTATTGCTTAAGGTCATGGAGGTAAAAATATAATTTTGTACCTTTACTAATGTAGATTGAAATACATAATATTTTAATTTAAGTCTTGAGGCGTTTGTGTGCATTCCAAGAGGAAATAGTTACTTCTTTAGCAAAACTCTATGCACTATGGACTACTTAGCTTTTTTCAGTTAAAAATTGAATAATGTACTGTTTCAACTGCTCTACATTTGCTTCCTGTTAGAGTAGCAGCTTTATCGTTTTCCCTCAGGGTACATCCATTTACAAAAATCTAACCAGTAGTAAAGTAGTGTTTAGTAAAGTTACTTTTAAAAAGTTTGATATTTATTAGGCTTTTTATCGAAAGGTACATCATGGACACATCAATCACTCGATCTTTGTCATGTTCTTTCCAATGAGAAACAGAAATCTAAACCAATTACTTATCCTCTTTTTTATGTTTTGTATCGTGGACGGTTGCGAAGGCTGTCATAAACCTCGTGTAATGGGTTGATATTTTGAGCTCGGTATATCAATTACAGTGTTAATACTTTTTTTGTTGCAGAATTTGCAAGTAAATGTAAACATTGAAACACGTTTTTCCCTATTATTGAGTTGATTGCTTTGTGTTGATGCCAAATTTTTAATTCAGATTTGTCTGTTATTTATTTCTTTATTATAATATTTTGTTGAGTTACGGTCTGTGAAACATCGTATTTTATGTTGATTATTACCAAACATTACTTCGCTTTGCAAATAGATAAGAAAAATGGTAATTTTTTTTGTTTTCACTTGTTTCAGCGTAATGTAAACTGCACTCTCTTGTTTACATATGGATGTTTCCCTTTCTTGCTACGTAGCTGGGCCATATGTTTTTATAACAGACTTCAATAAACTTAACAACAGCCTTTGTCGAGGAGGCCAAAGTATACCAAATCGCTGCTTAAAAGCAACGTGTTTATTTATATTTTCTAATCTCAGATAAGATAGGTATTTCAGGTTTGTTAGGAAAAGGGACCATTTTGTCGTTGTTGGTTTTTACGGTCACGGTTCGAAATTCTCAGTATTTTGCAACGAAAGGCGAGCTTGGAAAACGAAATTTGAACGATATTGTGCGAATGTGGTCGTAAGCAAGGCAGTAGCCATTGTTTCTGTTTCGAACAACATTTACTCATTTATGTAATATTGTTATTGATACTTATATGTATGTGTATCCGGTGGGAAAAAAATCGATGCCTGGATAAGGTTTTCATTAGTACGGAAAGTTAGTCGTCATTTTAAAACCTCTGCAAAGACAGAGTAGAAGTAGCTAAGGCGTTTATTGTTTTTTATTTAACATATTTTTAAACTTTGAGCACGTTGATCGTAGGTATATCGCATTTAATCTTTGTGTAATTTTCGTTTTGTTTAAAATCTTACTTTCTAACGTTGATCTCTCCGTGAGGGAATTTCCTTTTCATTTCATTAAATTGATTTTAAATCTCGTGACAACTCTTTTGAAGTAAACGTGAAAAGGCTTCCGTGGAAAAGCACGTTCGATATTGCATCCACAGTGAAATAATTATCGTATCAGCGTGATATGTTTATACCTGTGGTCAAATGCCAGTGTTGTCTCGATTCTCATTGTTTTATAGTCGTGCAGGGGTAAGGACAATTTGTCATCTCTTTTTTTTTTTTCTTTCTTTTTTTTTTTTTTTTTTTCCCAAACCACTGACAAATAACAATATTGCTGAAGTCAAATACCGGTAATAGTAATATCATCTAGTTATATTTGATTTTAATATTGTGTACTAATTTTAAACCAATATTTACATTTGGGTCACGCAACTTCTGTAAGGCACCACCTCATTACTTGACTAAGAACCTTCTACAGGTGTAGTTTGGAGAATGAACATAATTTTCCAGTGTATTTCCTCTGACGACTGTCATTGGTGGTGAAATTGGCATTGTTATGAAGGTTCAAATAATTTGTTTCACAACTAAAAGCGAAATAATCTTTCAAACGAGAAAGACTTAAACGTATTAGTTTGTTCGGTTGGAGGAAAAAAAACACGCGCACACAGAAAGATAGTAATCCGAAAACAAATAGAGATGGCTAGGAATCGAGAATAGAGACACGGACTGTAAACGCCAATTCTTTAAAAGCAAAATAAGTTCTCTCTACAATATCCATATATTATCCAGCAACGAGGTGAAAAGAATACTCAAATTCTCTAAAAGCGCCTCCGAGAATTGATTCATTGGACCCGATCTTAACAGGCTAATATGTATTACGTATTTTAGAGTGGTTTTCGATTGAGTGTCGTAGAGCCAAAACCAAAGGAATCACAAAAGCCAATCAGAACTGAGGAAATATCACAAGGAGCCAATGAGAGCTGAGAGTAAAGACAGGCTACCTGAAGCGCGGGAAAACGCGGGTGACCAAGTCGCGATTGGTTTTAGTTTGGAATCTGATTGGTTGATAGAGTGAGGTTGAGAAATCAGAGCAATCCTGGAGTATTTTCGACACTGGATGGAAAATTGCTCTCTGCCTGTGAAGAACTTGTATAGATTTGTAATCCTACGTTTTTTGCTCTCGTTTTACCAGGTTATAAAATGGATTGAGGAGCACGGAGAGACATTTCTGTCCAAACACACAGGTGTTGGCAAGTCGCTTGTTAAAGCAGAGGCACTGTTGAAGAGACACGATGAGTTTGAAAGCATAGCACAGGTTAGAAACGTGGGTTTTTGTAAAGAAATGTTTATGTGAACCTCTCTCTATATCTCAATGAACAACAACCCTTGAAAGTATTGCTCAGTAGCTTTCATTTGGACTGTCATAGCGTGCGAGCAAGCCCTCATCCTTAACGCTTCAGCGCGATGTTTCTACGCCTGCCGGAAAGTAATGAGGCCTTTAGCGACGCGAGCCAGCGAGAGGTTTGCCAGTGGTCTAGCATTGATTATTAGTGCCAGATCCCGATAAACCTCTCCCGACTCGTCTCAATCTTCCCGCGGGTGGAGAAAGGCGCGTCCTGTAGCGCTATTAATGAGGGCATGCTTAAGTACTGTTTTGAACGGTCACATACCAGAATTTCACTCACGGACTTAAAATAAAGAACGAATTTATAGAGCAAAATAAACAGTACGAAATTAAATTATAATACAGTAGCTTCCATTTGAATGGTAACGCGCTAGGGATCTTTCATAGACTTAAAATTCATATTCGTTTGCACAACATAGTGAGGAAGTAGGAAAGAAATTTGATTTTAAATTTTGTAATCGCATGAGTTTATGAGACATCCATGAAAATCAAACGCATTTTTCAGCGAAAGATAAGGCATCATTTCCTTCTCAATTTTATGATCAATTGAATTGATTGCATTTTGACTTCATTTCCTACTTCTTCTGGAATAATACAAAGTACTTAGCGCGATTTCCTGATTAGATCAGGAAATTTTTTTTGTGACGTCTTGTTGGGTACCCCTTAGATCGAATTTCTTAAAATGATGCCGAAACCTTATGTTCCATCTCCTTCTTATTTGTCGAAATTCTGTTTGAAATAGCTTTAAACTGTTCATTGATTCTGCTCCCTTGTGGTATTTCTTTTACAACAATTTTTCTTTTTTAACGAACAGTTAAGCATCTTCTCTCTCTTTTATCAATTCCTTTAAACGACTTTATACCAGTTTGGAACCGTTACAATTTATTCTCTACCCCAGCGTCTCATGTCTGCCGTTATTAATTTAAGGGGGCGCTGACTTGTATAGTCATTGTCCGCTTCAAGAGTATCAGTTGTCTTAGTGACTTTTGCGATCCGGAATACACAACATCCTTTGTCTGAAGTAATTACATAATGCTATTAAGGAAATTAATCAAATTTAACAGGTTTGAATTTTCAGATTGGGGTTTTTTGCTCCTTCCTGAAGTGTAGTTTTTCCCTTAACAGAATAAATAATTTCCATTGAAGGGTTTCTTAAGTCTTAATTTTTAAATTTGTTGTAGTTTTTCCTACGAAAGTGTCTCTTGACTCGTTAAAGTCTCACATAAAAGTTGCATGTAACAATTAGCGTGTCATATCTCTCACATCTGTAGCCCCGGCGAATGAACCCTGTTGTTTTATCCGTTAGTTGAAAGCTACTGAGCAGTATCTTGATCAAATTCTGTTCGTCAGCTTTCAACTTTGGAAGAGTTTTCTAAGGTGTGAAGATTAAAATTTTTGTGTGACAGCTGAGTTGAAATAAATTCTTTATTATTTCAACCACTTTTTGTTAGAAAGGGAAATTAATTTTTGCCGTGTGCAAATTTGTTGATATGTTCTCTCGTTACTAAAAGGGTAAATAAGGTTAAGTTAAATTGGTTGTTAATCCGTAAAAATTCATTCTTTCCTTGCGTGTTTTTGCTCACCACAAAGTCTAAAAGTGTTGAACTTTGCTCCACGCTAAGTGCTCTTTGATAACTTTGATTTTGTTTTTTTATTTGTGCCGATTAGAGCGTGTTAAACTGACGGAGAAAATTTATCCGTTTTGTGTCTTAGTCGCATTTCTTACAGCTAAATGTCGTCTTTCTGTAAAACATGAAAGACGAGTTTTAATTTTGTTATCTTGTTGTCCTATGAAAATAATGTTACGCTATAAAAATAACCTTTCCACTTGAATATGTTTGTACTTTTGCTAATCTATAGATTACATTACTGTTGACGTTGTTTTACCATATTCTTCAATAGTTAAAGCGTAAAAAGCTTTAATTTTGTCCATAAAACGACAGACTTGTTTCACTGCTGTGAACTCAGCGATAAGGGTAATTAAGATGATTGTCAATTATTATATTAATGCTCGGTGCTAGCGGACTCACGAAAGGTTAGATGAGGCCGCGAGTTTATTTCGGGAAGTATTTTCAAGGAAATCGTGTGAAAAATTGTTTGTTATGCAGATGGGTGGGAATAGTCGCCTGTAATCTGAAGTATTGTTATCCGATTTAGATAGATCCAACACGTCTGCCTCGCGGCTTATTTTAGAAATAAGTACTTTTGCATCACGCTTCACCATGTTTGCGGTTTTATATTTCAGAATACCTACACAAATGCAGCTAAACTACTCGAAGCCGCGCGCCATTTGGCGAGTACAGGGGAGTGCAATCCGGACGAAATACAGAAGCGCGTTGACTACTTCGAACAGCGCGTCCAAGAGTTTATCAGTCGGGTGAACAGACGGAAAACTTTGCTGAAATTAGCTGTCAATTTCTATTCCCGGACACAAAAGGTAATGCTTTCGCATATTGAATTCAATCAAAGTTAATTATCAATCGATCGTTCCAGGAGGTCATATATTGTGTCATATGGTGTAGACAACAACGCGGTCGAATTTCACTCAGGATGTGAGAAACGACATGGCTTCGTTCTTTCAACGAAACGTTTTGCGCGCACTATGAGTCCTTGAGTCCGTCTGTGTGACAACACTTAGTTGCTTTATTTGTTAACATGTTTCCTACCGCCCTGATCAGACCTCTGAAAGTATGCAACGCGTGCATACATCAGGCAAGTTCATCTTCCTTTGTAGACATGTTTTCAGTTGTACGTGCTCTAAATGTCAGATCTAACATGTAAAAGGCGATCTTGTGAAAATCGTCTTCATTCAGTAGCGCGAATTCCATATTCGTCGTGGTTTGAGAACAATTCCTTTTTGTAAAGATCGTTCAGTTTTTTGATTGAGTACGTGTTGCTTCAGCTCAGTACAGGAAAGGAACGAGTCCAAATCATTTCTCCGCTTCTGTGACATAATTTGTCTTGTTACACTGTTTTATTGGTCTATTATTTTACGTCCATCTTCGTCCTGTCATTCACAAAGGTTCTGGAATTTTTAAATTGACGTGGCTGATCATATGCAATGATATACAGATTTGTGTCAGCCGCTGCGTTGTGACGATGTATGAGAAGGCCTGGTTAGGAAGTGTGGGTGCGTAGCTATCGAGCGCAGCGCGCAAGCCCTCTCCTCTAAGAAAAAAATCTGTCCAGTTATTGCGGTGTTACTCTCGACTCACACACGCGCACTGCCCGTGATCAATGTTTAACATGAGTGTGGCTGAGTTTGATACGGACGATGACTCCACAGTGGTTTTTGTAATAACTTTATCATCACTTTTTTTTCAGCTCTCTGAACTGGTGGAGCAGCTAAAAGCGCAGCTAGAGCTCGAAGAGGTTTCCGACAATCCGGACAACATTGCTACGGTGTTAACGAACTTAAAACACCAGGGGGAAGCAACTTTGGATTCGATTCACACAGCCATTGATGAAGGAGAAACGATCATCGAGGAACTCAAGCTTGCCAGCTCTGATGGTGTGGACTCGAGTTCGTTACAGCATGTGGAGAAAGTTATCAAAGAACTTGACAGAGTACGGAGAGCCATTGAACATTCATGGACGCGAAGGAGACAACAATTAGAGTGTTGGTTACAACTGCGGGAATTCGAAAGATCTGCAAAACTGGTACGGTATCTCCTTAAGCGCCCTGTAGTGTTAAATGCACGAAATTAAACTCCACTCATGTATTCTTTTAGCGAAAGTGGGCGACATTCCTTTACACTCTGTTTCGCTATCACAATGCAAAAAGCTAAAATCACTTAGCCTGGGTGTAAGTAGCTCTTGACAAGTACTGTGTTAGAACACGTAAAAGTTTGGTCTGTGTTCTTCCTGTCTTTGCATTGAGCCGGATTTGCGAACTTGTCTCACAGCGGGAACGTAGCAATAGATTTAAATCTTCGCGAATATACAGGTTTAAATAGGATTTTTCGAAGTGGAATTCTCGCGTAGAATCCGTCATAAGGTGATTAGAACGATGTTAGGGGTCACATTTATGAAATTGCGTGCTCGGATTTTTCTGTTGTTTGCATGCTATTGTTCTACGCCTCATGTTTTCATTTACGAAGCGCTTTCTCAGTTTATTAACTCGTATACATAAAACAGTTTTCACCCGAGTGGTTGAAGACTTCCTTACAGTCATTTACAGACTTATCTGTTCAACCTAAGCGGAGCGCGAGTCTATATTTAGCGGCTCTTGTTTGGAATTTGCACTACAGAACTTTTCGTACTCAAATATCCATTATGCATTAGAATTCTTATCTTTGTTCCAAGCAGCAATGTAAATAAACATTAAGTCGGCAATCGATACGAGGATTTTGGGATGTACATACACAGTGAAATTTGATACACAATACATCTTGTTGTGTGTTCCGTTTTGGAATATTTCAGCCCTCGGCTATCGCAAAATATTACTCGCACTTAAACGAAGATACTTTTGAATTTTTTCTCGCGGTTCTCCCGAGATCTTTGGGCGAATAAGTTTGCACGGCCGTCGAACCATGAAAATATACGGTTTTTTTTTTCGACCCGGCAAGTGATCATTTTACAGGTTCATTCACATTTCCTTGACCTAGAATTGTTTTTCCTTGAAAGGAGCCTTTTATGACAGACTTGCTTACTGTTAAGCTATCAAACTAAAATCTTACATTTTTAACTTCCATGACTCATTGAAATAAGATTGTTACAGATGAGTGCGTTCCGTTTTCAGCTAAGTGTCCTCTGTGGAGTTGAGAATCTCGTTTTTCGAAGCTATTAGCAGAAGAGGGTTAAATTTTGACCCCCATTTAACATGAAGAAGCTGTTTGAAGAAGCTGTTTAAACGCTAATGGAACTTTTCTAATAGAAATAAAATTTGTGGGCGGATAATACGCCGATATATATTGGCTGCGAGTTTTTTCACGAAGGCAGTTTAGTTCTTATTTGGAAAGTTTATGAAAACAAGTATTGTCTTAAGTAATCATATCAATTTCAAAAGATTTACACGTCAATGGTGTCCATTTCAAAGGTCACAATCCCTTTCGGTAAGAACCAATTGTGAGTGTGTTGTAGTGATTTTAAAGGAATTTTTAATCGCTGATTCGCTTGAATGTTTCTATTGACAAACTAAAGCTGTCAAGTTAAGTTAGCCTTACTGTCAAGTTAAATTAGTCTTACTGCACGGCACGAAGGATTCGGCTTCAGGTCAATGATTTCACCCCAAGACGTCGGAAGGTATTTTCCTTACGTCAAAAATATCATTTGGAGAACTTTTGAGAGTCTTTTAGAATTTTTACCTCTTAAAAACATTGATCTGGAGGTTATATTTGGATGTACGCGTTCTGTGTTTTTATGGACCTAGTCTCATGTGTCAAAAACTTTGTACAGCTTGGTAAACAGTACCACGTGTACAAGAGTGTAACATATCGTCAGCCTATAGTTGATGTGTCAATTTGGAGTCTCTTCTCTCAGTATTTTCCAAAAATGAAGCAATAGAATATTTAAAAAAGCTTTCATGATGAAGTGCAGTTTACTCGTTTTCCAAGGTAATATAGCACTCGAACTAATTTGGGCCAAAAGCAAAACAAACAGTTTACCTCCATCGATCGTTAGTTATTTATTTAGAAATTCTATATGATGTTGAAAACTTGAAGTACTTCTTTAGTTGGTCAATCTTACTCAACACGAAGACATTTTGGTGTCTGGCCTGGCAAAAGATGTCGTGTGCTGCGTGCTAACCTAGGTAAAGATTTCTGTACAACATGCACGTACCAACAGAGTTTTAACCCTTCCACTCTTAAATATGAGCAGAGATATTTCTTACAACACCTTTTTAAGCAGAAAGGAGTTGAAACACTCCAGAAGGAAAATTCGGCCATATGATGTAGAAGTGAACACCCAATTCTCATATTCGAAATTGTGAGCAGCGTTCAGCAGACCTTGAGAAAAATTGAATTTTGATCTTTGAAGCGAAACGATCAAATAATTTATCGTATCAGCTGAATTGTCATAACGGTATCTGAAAAGTGAAGAGTAGATCCGCTAATACAATTATTTGATCCGCGGAGAGATAATTGTTGATCTTGTGTGGCATGATTGCTACCATATGAAGATTGTCTCGGACCTCATCTGTCAACGGACTCTAAAGTTAGAACTGCTTGCTTATTTACTAAACTTTCTTCCACCCGCTAAAGCTTACTTGCAAGCGCTGCTCAGTCACTTTCATTTGAATAGTTAGGTACTAGGGTTTCAATTGCAGACGTCAAAGTCAGAACCACTTTATACAGCTTGACAAACAAAACCACTTGCAAGTGCTGCTCACCGCGTAGTAGCTGCTTTCATTTGAATGAACAAAACCTAAGGAACAAGAGCGCCACGAACAGCATGATAAACAGCGCTACATGAAAATAAAAACTGCTCAGAAGCTTTCATTTGAATGTTCACACAGTGGGGTCTCATCCACAGACTTAAAACTTAAACTTAAAACTTAAAACTTAGAACCATTTTTACAGCCTAATAAACTGATCCTCATTAAATTAATGCTCAATAACTTTGATTTTAATGTTTCCTCTCAAGACGTACGTGTGGAAGGTGTAACCTCCGTGTAGAACATAAAAAAAATGGCATAAGGAAGTATTGCTTAGAGGCCTCATCCACGACGTGATAATACCACTTGTACCACAGGTGTCCCAAGCTCACGTCTTCTCAATAGCGGACGTGTATGTACCCTAGTTATTCATGAAAGGGTCACCCGTTGTGTGATGTGTGTCCGAAACTCAATCTTTCGCTTTTTTCTTGAGACGTGAGCTTTCGACGCCTGTGCTTAAACGTGCATACTGAAGCTTTGATTAATTGTTCGTATTTTGGAACGTTTTCATGAGAAAATCCTGTACGAGGTCCATGTTATACTCAACAAATACCTCAAGAATGTACTGAAAACTTTTGTTTGCGTGCAAGAACATACAAAAATAGTCGTTGGGGACGAGAAATCTTTTTTAATCTGTGCTATTGGGGATGAAATTATTCATTCGACCGCCAAGAATGAGCTCATGGAATTCCTTGGTGTTAAATGGCCGATTAACGAGCTCTTAAGACCAAGATCAGAAAAGCCATGGCTAGACGAAACAGGTGCCTTAACATGTCAATAACTTTTGGCTTTGTATTGTCGTTGTAAGAAGATTCAAATGTTGTAAGGCTCTTTGTGTCACTTTCGTATGAAAATAACCTTTCAATATTCAGTCGTGACTTTCGAAACTGAATTCTTTGGCAGCTTTTCGAACAGTTCGCAAGCTAGAGTTTCTTTGCGTGTAGATTTTAAACTCAAGACCGATTTTATTATTTGCGAGCCGAAAACGTCGTTCCCAGGAGGAGAATGTTCACGAAGGAGCGACTTTAGCCAAAACTGTGAAGTATGTAATTTGAAATCCGATGTAATCTTTTCTACCCGTCGGTATCTCCATTCCCTCTTAATTTATTCTTTCGAATGTGTTATTTTTCTACTTTTTGATTCGCCTTCTCACTAAACTCAGTAATTATGTATAGTTTCCTCCACTATGAAAGTAATTTTGCACGTCTCAACAAACAACTCAGAGCATCGTGGCAAATCACTTTTGTAGCAGTCGAGCTCCTCATTTTCAATCGCTGTAAATCTTGTCCATCCTTGCCCATCTTAGTTACTTCTTGGTTTGTGATCGCCTCTGTATTGTTTACTCTCTCTCTAAACCAACATTTTTTGAGTTTCATTCACGATTTAGATATTTTTGCGCCTCTCAACAGAAGGTTCTGAGCAACGCGCCGTGGTGCATTTGTCGGCGAAGAGAGACTTCCTCTTCTTCATTACATTTGTAACTTCCGTAGCAAATTTTGTATTCAGCGCTTAAACTATACTGAAATTATCCCTAAAGTCGACGATGAAATTTCAAAACAACGTTTACACAGTCTCTTTCCCATCTTTGACCCCGAGCTGTTACAGAAGATCTCTCGAATAAAGCGGCCAACATCGACGTGATGGAATTTTGATGGTCTTAATCATATGATAATCATGTAATCACTTCTTGTATCGAGCCTCAATAAATATTTACTTGGTCACCGCAGAACAAGCTTCTTTAAACAACTGTTGGTTTCTCATAGCAACCTCTTATGTAACAGGTTTTTCTTCCCTTTGCTTTTCAGCTGAAAGATCGTCTGGAAATTTGCGAGGAGCATTTGGAAAAAGGAAGTGTCGCCCTGGATTTGCCTCGAGCAAAACAGTCGCTCGCCCATCTTGAGGAGCAAATGAAAGACATTGAAAATGCCGCCATGAGAACGTTTTGTCGCGGCGAGGAACTTATAGATTATTTAAAACAATCCGAGATAGAACTGCGCGTGAAGGATCCGTTAACGTTAGAGAACATAGACGCTCAATTGCACATTCATAATTTACTAGAAGTTTTACATCGCAAAAGGAGAGATCTACGGGATCTGGCGGAGGAGAGAAAGATAAAACTGGAACAGAATTTGCTCTTACGCCAATTAGAGAGTGATGCAAAACAGGTGAGAAAAAGTATTCATCATTTCACACATGAAGTGTGCGACTGTGTATAGGGGCCGTTAGGCGAAACCGAACGCGAGAGCCTGTGCACAGGCTAAACAGACGGCGGTAAGAGGTCTTATGGGCAGCGGTCAACCGCCGGTAACTAGCTTTTACTAAAACCTCTGCTTCACTGTTTCTCCATCTTGAAAAAGTACGGCTCAAGATCAGTTTTCAAATTCGTAATCTACAATCCTTGTGAATCCTCTGCATCCATAACCATCTTTATTCCTACTTGTTATAATCATGCCTTATTAATGTTTTTCTTCCTAAACGAACGACCATTTCAAGGCTCTATTCTGAGTAAAAAAAATTCCCAAGTTGCTAGAAATGACCTCCCTGTGGCCAAAAATATCGCGAGCAGCTCGTGAAAACATTAATAAGGATATTCGACCCTCTCAAAGAATAGCTTATTGGTGCACTGGACAATTTAAATGAATTATGAATATTCTCAGTGCTTCCCTCTGTTACTCAATCAAAAAGAAGTCATTGCAGTTATATCTCAAATGACATCGTTAAGACATTCAGTTTTTCTAGTTTAACGTCATGTCCGCGACTGACTCGGTATTTTCTCGGTAGGTTGTTGGCTGGGTACGGAATGGCGAGGCTATGCTTTACGCCAGTACCGAACTTGGGACATCACTCGTTGAGGCAGAGGCTCTTTTAAGAGAACACGAGGAATTTCAGAGAGCCATTGAGGTATGAAATGTTAGGCAATCTTTTAAGAAGTCTTTCAGTCAAGTTTTAATAATCTTTATTTGTGTTCCTTAGTTATATATTTTCATTCTTAGCCTTTATTGTTTTGTTGTCTTTATCCTTGTCTCTTTATAAGTTTTATTCATCTTGCCAAGGTAATATTGTGTATTGTTGTGTATTTTGCTTGAAACGCTGTTTTACCTTTTGCACCCTAACATCAGTATGCATATTCTCCATACTGTTCTCTATACATTTCCTAAGGTGCTGACAAGGAGAATTTGTTTAACAATCTAGAGCTTTTTTAGTTGGTGATCATTTCCTTTATTCTCATGACGTTAATGTTTGATACAGGGGTGTCATTGTAAGGAGAATTTAGATGCTAGTCTCTTTAGGGGTCAAAAGGTTTAGGGTAGTTTTGCTGGCAAATTCTTGTGGTTTTACTCTTCCAGCCATGTTTTGACGACCAGGAAACATGGTAAATTACGTTTAAGGTACTGATAAAACCGCCTTAGGGTCGTGCAGCAAGTGCGTATTTTAACTGATTGTTATGTTTGCAGAAAACATGTCAAAGTGCCACTGAAGTTCGGCAACGCGCCGACAAATTGATTAAAGATGGTCACTTTGATCCTGAGGCCATCCGGAACTGCGCGGGAAGTATGAGTAGACGATGGGAACTGCTCATGAGCAAGTCGGAGGAAAGAAGGAAAGTCGTCACGGCCTCGTACAGCTTCTTCAAGTCTGCAGATCAGGTAAGTGTCGCAACTGGTCGATTCGTTATTTGAACGAGAGATGGAACTCTGCCTTTGTGCATGGGCGGATATTTGGAAATTGTCTTGCGTAGGGAAATTGGTTAATTTTTACTCGTCTGTTAGTCAGTCAATCGCTCAGACACTTACTCAGTCTTTGTTTGTCTGTCTTGTCAGTCAGATAAAAATTACTTCGCGTAAATCTGATTTACCATAGTAAATTAAAGTGCGTTTTTATTTTTGTGATTATTCCTATTACAGGTGTCCATTTCAATGGACCGCCTCATTCGTGATTACAAACTAGAAGAGGGAGATCCATGTAGTAAACTGATCGAAACCGATTCGATGAAACGCCTGGAAGCTATGAAAGCCATCGTCCAAAGCTATGACGAAGACAAGGAATCCATCGCCACAGGCCTGCTGGACGTGAAGCGGAACGCTGACTCATTTTTGTCTACGATCGCACCTTTAACTAGTGAGCGTCCCGACATTACTATTGAGCGAGTTAAGGAATCACAAGAACAACTCAAAGCGCAGGAACAACAAGTGTTAGAAGTTTGGAACGTTAGACGGACGTTAGCAGATTACTGTTTGCAGTTTCTTGAGCTGGAACAGTGCGCTAAAGAGGTGTGTTTGTTAAAAAGAAAAGATGTTATTTCACTGCTTCCAGAAGCATTTGTTCTCTGGAAAAGATACAGACGTTGGTGGGAAAGCGACTGAAATAAGTTGTCAGTCCATCGAGCTCAGTCTTCGCTGTTGCTTTAGAGAACACCTCAGCGCGAGAAAACCACCTTTCTCTTAGTATTCTTAAGTATTACCCATCCACCAGTCGTATCGCACGCATAAGTCGTTCATTCAGAGCTTCAGCGAATTGGTAACTTAGAGGGAAAGTGACACCTACGCGTATTTCATAGGGCCAATCACAGGCAATAACGAACTGCGTCATAAGTTGGCTTCCCTTTGAAGTAATTTCCTCTGGATGGATAGTCCTTCCTCTCAAATCTCAGTGTTCAATCCGTAGAGTTATATCTTCTGTCATTCGTTTTCTGTAATAATTGTAACTTAGGAAAGATGTCCATTTGTCATTTTAGGCACTGGATTGGATTCATGAAAATGGCGAGTTTTATTTGTCGAGTCGGACGGGAGAAGGTGACTCAGACGCTCAAACAAAAGAGCTTTTAGATGAACACCAAGAGTTCAAGGAGGCTTCAGAGGTATATGAATTGGTGTGTGAAACCTTTTTGGTTCACTTATGTCTTAGCTGTCTTTTGCTTTTACGTTTTTTGATTTCTTTCGAGAGTAATTAATTTGGTGTCTGTTGATACAGTCACCTTACTCAAGCAACATCAGTGAGAATTGAAGGTACTGCCATTCGAGTCTTGTTTTTCTCCAACCCTAATCCTTGCAAGATCTGAGAACATTTTCTGCCAACTGATGATCAAGAATTTTTCCGCTGGCTAGTGCTAAGAATGTAGTGTTATTTCAAAGACAAATCTCCTAATTGATAATGTGCTTAAATCTCGTGACCTCATCTGTTTGGCTTTGGGTCAAAATTGCCAGGGGACTTACTCACTCTTTACAGCCGATTCCAAACAGTCAGTTTATGCCTACGAGCGGAAAAGCAAGACAAACAGAAAAGCGCGACGAGCAAGAGGTACCAAAAACTTTGCAGACCATGGATAGCTTCATCATTTTCCTTTGCCTTCTTCGTCGACTTTCGCTCGCCCGCTCAGTTTTGGCTCGTCTCAACTAATCGAGGGTCCAGCCAAGGCTAATCTGTGTTTGATTTTCACAGACAATCCACTTCATAAGCATGTCAATCATCTGTTTTACTCCAACATTGTTTTATATTTTTCCTTTTTTTTCACAGCAAATCAGAGAGAGAGTTAAGTCCATGTTACACCAAGCGGAAACACTGATAGCCAAATCCTGTTACCATAGTGACGGAATCAGGCAATGGGCCACGGCAGTTGAGAAAAGATATAAAGACTTTGCTCGACGGATGCAAAAATATCGTGCAAAACTCGAGAACAAGCTGGGATATACTGCTTCGGAACACGAGGTATTGTTTGTTTTCATGCCTGGGAACGTTTAAATAACTATTGATTTCTTAATCACGACTGAGAAAATTGCCTAATTCTGAATGGCTGACAGTAGGCACTTTAAACGGGATATCTTCATAGGAGGTACACTACCATTCAGGGAACACTTTTTTAAGTCAGTTGTATGTCCCCTGACCAGAGATCCACTCTATTACCTTTGTATATGTTACTTTTAACAAAGCGACCTCTGATTAAGGGTCGATTTTGATAGTCCTGAGAGTGCCCCTTGAGTTAAGGTTCCACTGAAGGGATAAATCTCTGCCCACTCCTTCTCTTCTTTTCTTACCAGCGGAGTTTTCGCGCCTACTTTTTTTCAATGATTTTAAACAGTTTTTTTTTTTAGATCAAAACTCTTCATGTATGTTTGTTTTTGTGTTTCGGGATCATCTGTTATCTTCCTAGCAACACCAATAATAGTTCGGATTATTTAAAGAAGCGGCTGGCCAAAATTTTCCTTATCGCCGAAAGTCCTGCGAACACTGTTTTAAAAGCTTCCTACCAGCCTTATCTCAAATGATACTCATTAAAAAACCTCTTAAAAAGAAGTCTTTTCATTCTATGTTGTCAATAGTTTGCGGTTAATATTACTAGTACTAAACTAGTCTTTTATACTAAAAGCCCATTTATTTTGTATTGCAACAAATCAACAAATTGATGTAATCGCTGTTTTCTATAAATCGTGTCAGTTTTATGTAAATTGCGGGACGAGAATTTTAACCATGTTCAAAAACAATCTCCTGCTAGAAAATTTGTGGTACTTTTCAATTATCTGCGCCGCATGACTTTCCCAGATAATTTCCGAACGCACCCAAAATTAGGAACATGAAAAAATTTCGAGAGTTGAGTGTAGGTTTCCAGTAAGTTGATATTTTTACAGATGGGAAAGCGAGGCCGGTAACTAGGGATTAAGCGTAAGCCATAAGTGTAAAAGATACTATTTCTCCAAAGCCTTTCAACGCATTTAAAAGTTTTCAACAAAGGGTGATATTAAATTTTAAAATCATTTGGCAGTGCTAAACGAGTGTTCCGTGGAATTATTGAAAATTAATAAAACTGTTCCAATGGTTGTTTTGGCTTTTCGTAAAAGCAGTGTTTTTCACGGTTAAAATATTGCGGAAACGGTCTTATGAATATCGAGTAGAAAATGCAGGTGGAGGCGCTTTAAGAAAAACCGCGTGTGGCCCTCTTCCTGTCTTTGTATTAAGTCTTCCCCGAAGCGTTAAGAATTGTCAGATCGTCACAAACCACCGGCATTCCATTATTAATTAATATTGCAACTCTTTGGCTATTGTACTGATAATAACATCGATATGTGGTGGAGAAGGAAAGGTTGTAGGCGAGACATGCCGCCATCTTGCCGGTGCCTTTACGTGCTCGCTAAAGTAAATTCCTTGAATTAAGAAGATTTGCCTCAAAAGCTCCTCAGTTTTCGAGAATACGTCGATGAGTTGCGCAGTTGTCACGGAAACTCGACGAATTGATGGGCAGGATTTTGATGGTCGAAATTTGACTCGGCCGTTTCCTTGAGCGACAGATTGTAATTGTTTTGATCGTAGTGAAGTGAAACTCGACACTCTTTTGTGGACAATTCAACAGGACTCGCGCGGCTAATAAGCATGTGAAAATCGCGTTTTAATTGAGCGAGTCGTGTTTGCTCGTCAAGGAGTGTCTGGTTCGCGAAATTGAGCGCAATTTACCAGGATCCTGAACACAAGTCCTGAAAAACATTTACTTACATGTCACAAATGTGGACCAACGCGACCATTAGATTGCGAATGAAATGGTTGTGATATTTTGCGTGTGTTTCTCGTTCTTTACTGTACGACCGCGTGATTAACTCAAGGTGGCTTAGCGTGTTGGTAGAGGTAGTCATTCGGGAGGAAGAGAAAATGGCGAACGACCACAACGACGATTACTACGATGATTTCTCCGATGAGGAGTCCAATTTATCCAGTTATCGATCACTGACTCTGTTCTCTTCGTTACTTTGTATTGATTGTCAGGATGATGTGGAATGGCCGAGCCTGCAGTCGTTACACACACAGGGCCAACAACAACAGCAAGCGTTTGCTTTAAGGGAGACTTCCAAGGACAGCGGTATCCATGAAATGACTGAGGAAAAGAGACGCTCTGCGAAGCGAAAAGAGTGAGTTGAAAAAATAGAACACCTCCTTTGTTCCAAGGGCTTTTTTTGTCACTGCATTTTTATACTGTCGCCTTAAAAAAAAAAACTAACGGCTTACAGTTGCACAATAGAAAGTATCTGGAACCAGCTAATTTTGGGTTAAATATTGAATTAGACGTGTCAAAATTTATAACAAGCTACCCAAAATATAGAAAAAGGAAAAAGTTATTTTTATTAAGCTGCTCTGAGTGAGTTTTATCCTGTAGACAATCTGGTGAATTGTAAATATTTTGTACGGTTGAGTGACGAAAGAACGGCTTAATTTTTTGTCGGTAACATTGTTTCCGGATTTTGAAAAATTATGAGAGAAGAATGGTTCTTTTAATCCCTTTTGTCAGTTTGCACAGAGAAGGTATTTTCCGGGTCTACGAGAGAACTTGAAAGTAGTACTTTTATTTTGTCTGAAGTGTTCGTTTTCATTTGACTTTCTAAAAAGAACAAAGAAAAAGTTAAATTATATTTTCAACTGTTTTGTTGTTAATTTGTTAATGAAGCTTAAATCAACACTGTCAAAATATGAAAATAACCTTTGTCAATACTTTTTATAACAAGATTAGCGTAGCTTCTTATTCTTCCAGCGATCTGCTAATTACCAAATGTAATCAAATTCTAGCTGTCTAATTGTGACTGAAATTCTCAATACTGACAAAGTTTCACCGTAGAAGCCAGTACAGAAAATCTCCGTTTTGCATAAACGATGGAAATTCTTGTTTTCTTCCTCGCTAGATTTATAATGAACGAATTGCTCCAAACGGAAAGAACGTATGTGGCTGATTTGAAGTGCGTAATTGAGGTAAGAATATTTGTCATTTTTTTCTGTTTTCGATTGTAAGCATAAGATATGCTTACGGACATTTACCAATCATTTGAGCGTCAACGAACATGTAATATCAGATTATTTGACATCTTGTTACTCCGTTTGTAGTTACCGCTATTTTTTAATATAAATCAGTTAAAGAAAGGTTAACTCTGCGATGAAGCAATTTTATGTAGCCAGAATCCTTTTTTTTTTAATTGTTCTTTTCGAAAAAAAAAAAAACGATGAAATTAGTTGCATGCATCAGGCAACGTGCAATTGGTAGCAAGCTCGCGAAAACAGTCACCTGTGGTCAGCGCCAAAAAAACTTGTAGCTGTAGCCAAAAAAAGATTTGACTGCTGCAGGTTGCCAAAGGCAGGAAAGATTTGTTACGGGAAAGATTTGTTACGGGAAAGATTTGTATTAGCTCCTTTTTAAGCACGGGAAAGAAAAAGCGGGTGATCTGATTTCTGATTCGTTAAAAGTGGCACACTTGATTTGGCTTCAGTTGCAGTTAAACCAACTATTACTTTCCCAAGTGCGTATAACAAGAAATTTGTATCACAACTTGCTTTTCCTTTTTGTTGACGCAAGATATTCTTCCTCGTCTCTTTCTTTGTAGAGCTACATCAGCGCTATGTCTAACAGCTCTGAAGTTCCACCTGGTCTTGCGGGAAAAGAAAGCATAATTTTTGGCAACATCGAGGACATTTACAACTTTCATAACAGGTTTGCATCTTCTTACATGACAAGATTACTTCGTCTCATAGTCATCCTTACCGATGAAAACCGAAGTCGAGCCGATGTTTAGCCGGTGTTGATTCGTTAATACCCGAGACTTGAGTGGTATAATGAGCATCTTAATCCAAGCTTTATAGAAGATTGCTCATGTAATCCTAAGCTTGGTAAACACTCGGCAAATGTATGTGGTGAGATAGCATTTTTTTTTACGTCTTTATCGATACCTAGCATTTATTTTTCTTCGAAATTGAATTTTCAGCACTTTTCTGCAAGCTCTAGAGAAGTTTGAAACGAATCCTGAGAACGTTGGAGATGCGTTTCAGGAATGGGTACGTAAGGATCATCATTACATTTTTCTATAAAAGATTTTATCTTTATCTCTTATCACTTTGAATTATGAGCCGATCTGCTTTAGTGTGCAGAGGTAAAACTGGTTAATGAAAATCCTCCCGGTTGGCTTTGTCCATCGTAAGGCCATCTTAAGCGCTTAATGCTGAATTTAATTTGCACATTTATGGATGTGGACAAAATGACAGTTTGGAATTATGACGTTTCATTGACGACTAAAATTTCTTCATCACAGGGAGAATCGTTTGTTGGCATGTATGTGGCCTATTGCAAGAACAAGCCTTTCTCAAACTCCCTTCTCATCGAGCACGGAGGGAGCTTTTTTGCGGTGAGTGATCAATTCATAACTCGCTACTATTTTTGTCTGTAACTCCTTTCACATGCAAATGTCTGCATTGTGGTGGTCACATCTTAAGATCCACTGTGTTTATTTTGGCCTGACGTAATTCTGCAGCCATGCTGCTCTGATCGTGGAAGCTTTGTTGGGTCGTAACCAAACTCTTGTTTCGTTTTCGTAGGATCTACAAGCCAGCTATGGGCATGGTTTATCCATCTCTGCATATCTTATAAAACCTGTTCAAAGAATAACCAAATACCAGCTACTTTTAAAGGTAAGGTAGTATTTGATATCCCTTTCTAGACGGTAATGTTTTCATTCATGGAAATTTAGAGAATAGCTAGAATTGTTCGCTTCTCTCAACTTTTTCTTTTTTCCAGAACCTTTGCAAAGTATGGAGCTCTTCAACCGTACTACAAACAATTTAGTTTTCGAATTTCCACTCTTTTCATTAATTTATCGAATGAAGTTCAAAGTAATTTTTAGAAACTTCATGTGTGGTCGATTCTTTGCGTTAAACAATGGTTTCTACCTGTAATTATTAAATGGTTCGGGACTTGTTTGCAAAAAATATTCCAGCTGCTTCTTTGTTCCTAAGTGAAAAGATTGCTCTAACTTCCTGGGTCGCTTACTTTAGGATCTTCTGACGTGCTGTGAAGAGGGATCTGAGTGTAGTCTCCAGGTATGTAAATGCAAAGGCATAGTTAGTTTACATAGCATTTTGTACAAGGTTTTTGCGCTTTACAGCTTGTTTGAACTTTTAACAATCAGATGAAACGTTTATTGATCTAACCTCGTTGATAGTTACATAAATACCAGCGTGTAGAAACGCTAATTGATCAATTTACTCCTTGATTCATTCCTTGTTCGATTTAAAAAAAAAATTTTTTTATTCTTTTTCCATATCGGAGTGAAGATCATTCAACCGCATGACAATTTCAATAAACATCTATTTTGAGGAACTCAAGAAGGAAAAGCAGATATCTTTTCTAATCAAGTGCTAGACTTGTCTAATTACACTGGAAAATTTACATCAGCCATGTCACGTTTTGCGCATGTTTAAATTTAGCTCAGCTTGATAGAATTGTCGTCTTCAATCTACTATTGTCACTTTACGGTTTATCACTGCCTCTCCAGTCTTTCTCAGCCCAAACGAATCAACGTGTGTATCATCTTTAAAGCTGAAGGTTTTTTGTGAACGTCTCAAAAAATATAAAAAAGGAAAAGAAAAAACTCGCTCAATGATATCGTGACTTAGCTTCTTAAGACATTTCAATTCTCATCTTTAAAGACAAAAGAACAGGGCGCCTTGTAAACAGTTATGCGGAATTACAAAAGCGAATTTAAACATCAATACACTTGCCATGCTGTTTCAGGCAATCGATCAGTGGAGGCGAGTGCAAAAGCTTGAAAAATCAAAAAAGGAAAATCAGCGTGGTTCTACATCCGCTGCTTGTTTTTCCTGACTCTCTCATAACATCAATTGGTTTACTCTCCATACTGATCTTTGTACATTTCTAAAGGTGCTGACAAGGAGAATTTGTACAACAATCAAAAGCTTCTTAAGTCGGTGATCGTTTCGTCTACCCTTGTGACCTTGATTCAGGGAAGATATTATAAGAAGAGATTAGGTGCTAGACGGGACAAACGGTTAATGTCGCTCCTCTGAGTGTCTCGAATAGGTTTTAAGACATTGCAGTTGGTACAAGATGGGAAGGTGAGGTGGGAGGGGAGGGGAGGGTCGCTTGCACCACAGGAGCCCCAGCCTCCTAACCACGCGTTTTTCTAAATGTTGTACTCTCTTCCCAGGCGGGTTTGGATGTGATGCTAAGCGTACCGAGACGAGCTAACGACGCCATGTACGTGAACATGCTGCACGGATACGATGTAAGTTAAATTTTCGTTCGTGAGTCGCACGTGAGCGCAGTCTTCACGCAATGTAGAAGTTGCTACTGGTGAAAATAAACCAAGCTATTTTGAAATTCTCATTATGAAACAAGGTTCTTAATTTGCTGCTTCCTTTTTGTGTCTTTTCATATATTTTAGTTTTGTAGCAGGAAAATTGAGGAGATTACTTTTCATAATCCGTCACTCGATAGAGCAATCAAAGTGCTAACAACAAAACTAGATTTACAGTATGATTATATGTCTGTTTTTCTTATTTCAGGAGAACATTGATTCTTTAGGAAAAGTTGTGTTACAGGTACTTAAAATAATTTCATATTCATTCCATAGGTTTTCAGTTTCGCGATCGTTTGCTCAGTTGTTAACTCACTTTCTGCAGCATTGAAGAATTTTGCTCATTTAAGTTCTTGTCAAGAATTTGTGGTGTGTCACGCGCGTGGCTTATCGCCATCGTGTCACGCACGTGGCGTATCGCCATGTCCCGCAATTGCTTATCGTTATGTCGCGCACGAAGGTTGAAATGTACGACTGTTTGCTAAACTTGTCTGAAGTTCTAAGATGGCGTCTATTTCTTGCAGGACTCTTTCACTGTCTTTGATCCAAAGCAGCTAAGAAGAAAGGGAAAAGAACGCCATATATTCCTCTTCGAGCAAGCGTTACTTTTTAGCAAGGAGACCAAAGATGCAGATGGAAAAATCAAGTATCTTTACAAAAACAAAATGAAGGTAAATAATTTCAGGATGTTTTCGTTTTGCATCAGCACCTAGTGGAAAATGTCATGGGACAACGAACACCTATGAGATGCTTGGGGTGCGATCTTTAGCTGGTTTATTGTGTTGTGTTCATGTTCAAGGAACGTGCTTCAAGGAAAGTGCTTCTCGCTGTGCTATTCTGCGAACTGTCAGTCAGACAATCAGTCCGCCTGTCCGTCCTGAATCAGTCTGTCGGTCAGACAGTCAGTCAGTCATTCAGTCTGTCTGTCAATCTGTCAGTCAGTCTGTTGGTCAGCCATTCATTCAGTCAGGTTGTCAGTCAGTTAGTCAGTAATTTGTTAGTTACTTTGTTATTTACTTTGTTATTTGTTTGTTAGTCTGTCAGTCGGTCAATCAGTCAGTCAGTTAGTCAGTCTGTCAGTCATTCTTTCATTCTGTCAGTCCGTCTGTTGGTCAGTCTTTTTTTTTAACACCAAATAATCAGAATTGATCAAATCAATGATCTTATAATTTACTCGTTCTTACAGACCCCCGAGTTAGGAATAACAGAGCACATTGCAGAGGATTCTTGTAAATTCGCTGTGTGGACTGGAAAACCTCCACAGTCTGAGGATAAACGCGTCATGAAAGTAAGTCAGGAATGTTTTTTCATCTCTTAAACGCTATACATTTTAACACTGGTTTTCATGTTCTCCACACTGTTCTGTTCAATTCAATTTCCTCTGTTACTGACGGGGAGAATTTATTAGACAATCAGATTCCCAAATTGGTGATCATTTCCTTTATTCTCACGACCTTTAGATATGATTCAAGGTGACATTGCAAGGATAATTCATAAGTGTGAAAGGGTTAAAGTGTCGCGTTTCATTTTTGATAAATTCAAGTGATAGCAAAGTTGAATTACATCACGTGGATTCCATCTCGCTGCATCCAAATTGGTGTAAATCCGATATGGCATCGTTCTATGTGAAAGTGGTTTTAAAGTTTGGTTGCATGCAATGTTGTTTTAATCCATTCCCGTGTTTTGAACTAAAGATTCAATTGCAGGCAAGATCTTTGGAATGCAAGCAACTGTGGGTGAAAGAACTGAGGGAAGTCATTCAGAATTTCCAGTTTGGTACCCTTAGAGAGAGAAGTAAGGACAAATACCTTTTTCCTAACAAAAAAAATCATGTAAAGCTGTAGTTATCCTCTTGAAATAGTTTCCTTAAATAATTGTTGAAATGGGATGTTAAGGAACAATGTCAGTATTGTAGCAACTGCACACTTACCCCTCCCCTAACCCAACAATAGGCAACTTAGATAACAAGTCAGGGTTAAGGGTGGGGAGGGGAGGGATAGGTAGGTAGGTGCTCAGCTAGAGACATCGTCCGAATGTTATACGGTAGAGCGAGGTTTTCGTCACCGGAGTCCACACTTCATGGATGAGAGTTGGAGCAGAGAGTTCTTTGAATGGATTGAAGTGATCACGCTTTTGTAGTTTTTATGGTCAATTTTTCCTCTTTTGATTTACTCAGTTACTAACACCGTTCGGAAATTCTTAACAGTATTGTGACAGAGTTTATTATTTCACGCCATGCACGCCTCCAGGGCCTGGTACCTATGGATTTACACGAGTTTGTAGCCAATCAGGTTTAAAATTTTCCAAAAGTGGAATTGAAGGTTTTAAAATTGTCCTGATGAGACAGCTTTGAGAGTTAAAAGAAGGCGAAAGGTAACATCTTTTCTCAATTCTGTAGCGACCTCCATGACGAGCTCGACCAGTTCTGTGACAACTACTGCCTCGATGAAGAGCCGCGAGGAGAAAGCTGCTGACCGGTATGATTGCTTTCTCGTTAATGAGCTCAGTTTTCAGTTAAGCGCGTTGCTGGTATTTCTCTTGGTACATTTTTGTTTTAAGAAGTAAAGGTTTTCTTTTATCTTGCCGTAGGGAAAGTGGTGTTATAGAAGACGATACCATCTCGGGCGACTTCGACAACTTCCCAGAAGGAAAGGTAAGAAAATTGTAGATAGGAGTAAGCAAAAAGAGAGAGATACAAAAAAACATAAAAGATGAAAACCAAAAGTTTATTTGCTGCGATTTATCACTCTTAAAATATGGTAACTCGTTAGTTTCGCCATTATGATTGTTTTCCGGTTTCTTAAGTTCCCATGTAAAGTTGTCAATTGATCGAAGTGGATATTAAGTAGTTTCCATTTCTTTCTTAAGTTCGTTATGAGATTACCGCAGAATTGCCGCCAAATTACCTCCTTTGGAGCTTTTTAGCACTAGCGCTGGTGATAGATCGAAACCTCTCACCAATCATTGTGTTCTCTGAAGCCTTTGGATGAGCATTGAATGCGGCGAAGAGACCAATTTCTCCTTTTGTATCGTCTCGTGTTTGATTGATGATGTTAGGAGAATATGCTCATGCATCTGGACAATTAAGATGATTGTCAGAAGAAAACTTAGCACCGAATGTATCGATAAGGTCTGTCGGCGAAACTTTTCATCCCAAAATCGTGTTATGTTGGAATAAAAAGACACTTTGACAGACTCTTTAATGAGCATCCCCAAGCCATCAAAACGGCTTTACAACCTTATAAGAAACGCGAGACATACCGTTACGTTTTGCCTTGCGACAAAAATTAAATCCTGATCTCTTTGAATCTTACAAATAGCCTTGAAAAATTGGGCATCCTACCAGAATGTACGCAAATCTTTAAAATAAGACTTCCCGAAGGGCCTCTAACTTCTTTTCGTACGGTTAAATCTTTCGGAGGCTTTCTTGTCAGAGCGGTAAAATTCCTTCATGTTTCGAACAAACAGATACGTTGTTGATTGCGGGAAGACGGTGACAATATTAAAAAATTATAACGGGATTTCGTGTGTGTTTCTAGTGATAAACCAAATGGGAATATTTTCTTTACCACTTCGAATGCCTCACACCAAAAACAGGTGACTGCGTTTGTCTGGCAGGGTCTGGACATGCTATTACTGCAAGATCGCGCAACAAAACCTGAAACGTTAAGCTTTACTATTTTAAGAGAGGATTTGCCATCTCCAAGTGGTCTTGTGCAAGGTTTTAAAGGAAGAATCTCGATGTCAAGCAGAACAAAAATTAATCCTTTAATTAACCGTCTTACACGATTATCGGAGCTAGGCGGTGTAACTTATTTTACGCCCTATTCGTGTTTAACATTCCATGACCCCCTCTGGCTATGACCGTGACAGACATGTAGCCTGTCACACTAATGATTTTCACTCTATCCGTGATTGGTTAATATGTGAGAGCAATCCGCTTCACGGGACAGAAGTGCTTCTTTGTTTGTACGTGATAATCTAAAAGCTTAAAAGTAATCTGTAGTAAGACGGATTTCTTCATTCTGTGTCCTACTATGCGATTCATCGGCTCTACGTGACAACCCTGTCTGCCCGATGACGACAGTCGGCAGAGGGGATTTATTTTGTGTCGTGGTGAAATATTCCAGGCTTAGTCGCGTAATGAATTGTAAGTGTTATTCCCGCCGCCATTTTGAATCAGCGATTGATTTAAGATCATGAACAGTCCACGAAATGGACGGACAAAGCGCGCATCTTCAACGTTACCGTTGTTATTTGAGCGGCAGATTTTGACACTGGACCCCAAGGTAGAGTATTTGATTGTTCTATCTATATTCCGTAGTCTTTTGTTTGTGAACGTAAGAGTACGCATTTACACCGACACGACTCCGTACTTTCGATACTTCTCGGCCTCGAAACGATCGTGCGTTTTCAGGACGCAATATCAACGACGAATTTGTACCGTCCAGTTCGCCTAAACCGCAGTTAAATTCATTTCGCTCCCCGCCGTGTTATATTGTCGGTTTCCAGTCCAATGCGAATCATGTGCAATGAGAAGAACTATCTCTTTGGTTATTTCAGTTTATTTTCCTCCTTGGTTACAGTACGAGTTGATTGAGTGCTTTTTTACTCATAGGCGTTCGTCATACCACTTAGTTCTTGAGTTTTGTCGTAGTTTCGCGTGAGACATTTCTATCCATATTGTTCCACTAGACGTCACTAGTACTTGAACTTTTCGGCCGATTCATTCGAGTTCTAAACCTTTTAAACCAATACTGAACGATATTTTATCTACATCGTGCGCAGTTTAGACTTTGGTCTAATCCGATCGAGCCAAAAATTGGCGAAAACCCATCAACGCAGAAAATTCCGGTTTGAAGTTCGAATTTAGTTATCTTTTCCTTTTGTTTTCCTTTGTCTCACATTTTTACAACGTGGCTGAATGTTCTCGTATTTCGTTCCAGAATTTTGCTTTGTTTTTGTAACTAGACTGACAGAATTTTTCCTGTTAACTTCGAGTTGAAGGAGCTTAAAGTTTCGATTTAGTTTTATGAGATAAAGCCAGAGGTTCATTTTGACGGCACATGCTGGTCATTTTCAAAAATACAGTTGTCAGTTCACATATCTGTTCTAAAATTAGCTTACATCGCGATCGCCCGATGAGAATACGTGTAACACGCGCGCGCGAAATGTAACACGCGGAGATAAGGCTATCATTTTCCGCATTGTGGATGTACTCGTATCATTTGCTTCGTTTAGGGAAAGAAGCCAACGATACTAGACCAACAACTTCCTTACACTCCCGCTAATGACTTCTGCCCCCAGGTGATTCTTCACTGTCTGCCATGAATATTTGGTTTTTTTTTAATGTAATGTTAGTACTGAGAATTTGATGTTTAACCAAATCTGTGACGGTTTCTTTTTCCTTCATTCAATTGTCAGTCTCAATATGTTTCTCTTTAAAAGCGTATGGGATGTAGTATAGAAAGCTTGCTTATGGTCAGGGGGATTAAATGAGCAAACATTATTGGATGTTTTCCTCTCAATTGGCAATTTTCTGGACCTCTTGATTCTCTGATGTAATTATCTTCTCGAAGTTTTTTAAACGAGAAACTAATGGAACAGGGAAATTTAGCAATGTTTTATATTGTTAGTATCCTATCATCTTGCGGAATCTTAGACCCGTGTGACGATGTTTAATTGGGCTTGCAATTGTTTATTCAGAAAATAGGTATTTCCTCTCCATATTTCGAATTGAAAGAGGTGTTGAAGCTTTCCTTTTCGAAGACTAGGTACACTTTACGTGTTTTTAAAAACCATTGTATTTCCACGCAATTATTTTCTTGTGTTAGGAGTCGAAAACTTTAAAACTGTCTCGTTATGTCATTTCCTAAGAAACAATTTCAGTTCATAAGCCTCTTCTTGAGTGGCTACACTTGATGGTTTTCCACTCGAAATGGAAATTGAGAACTTGATCAGTTTAATATATACAGTTTAAAAGAGGAAATAAATTCAAATCATTGCAGAACCGATCCCTGTCTTAGTAAATTCCCGATTATATTACTTTTATTTGTCATCTCTTAGCTCCCCAAAACTGAAGATATTAATTTTTAATCCGAGATTTACTATCAGTCTTTTCTCGGTCGTGGGTTTTTTTCCACGGGTGAGCTTGGATTGAGGTTGATTTTCGATAAAGCACTGTGAAATTTTGCATGCTTAAGCCGGATTTAAGCGGGAAAAAAAAAATACGTGAGCGTGACAACAAAGGATTAACACAAACGTGAAACGTTTTTTTAATGGTGGTCTTTAAATTAGAATCTCGATGAAATTTTATCCATGATGTGGCTGGCCAGGTGAAAGCTCTCTAGTAGTGCTTCGCTGTCTGCGTTCTGTTTTTTTCCAAAGTTTGCAAAATTTAAATTGCAATTTTTTTTTTAATTTTATCTGGTCCATTTAAAACTTGAACCTCTTGGCTTTAAAAGAGTATTAAAGTTTTACACGGAAACTATAAGATATGCTTACTCCCTTCATGCAGCGCAATTGGATCTAGTGATAACATCACGTTTTTCCCATTCCAATGCAGTGAAGTGTAACGTGTTTTGATAATTCGCATATTCACTCTCCCATGTACACACAACATTGCACCGCACACATCCATCATTAGCATATAAACATGCTGCAATCGAAAGGGCCATGGGTTGTTTATTCCACATCGCCAATTCAGCTAATCTCCTTCTCTCCTAAGGTGTTGGAATACAACGATAATGTGTGGTCGGTCACCGAGAATTATAAGGCAGGAAATGATGAAGAAATCTCACTGAAAAAAGGCCAGCTCGTCGAAGTCCTTGTTAAACCACATGGAAGCTCCCGCTGGCGAGTTCGCTTGCTGTTGAGCGAAGGAATTCATCCGTCGGAAGGATGGGTTCCACATAACGCGTTAAAGCGTTCAGACGAGCGAGATACGAAGAAGAAACGGCATTCGGACATCTCCCATTCGAGCAGCGAAGGTGAGTCGAAGAATTCCGAAGTTTGGTTTGTCATGTTGGTGTGTGTGACTTTCCTATCATAGCGTGCATCTATCGCCAGTTCATTGTTCTCTCAGTTTGCGTGTCTGTTTTAAAATGTGAATTTGACAAAGGTTTATAATTTCATCCTCCAGTTTCATTTGGTCAGGAGTAAGAAAGCGCGAATCGTTTTGATTTTCGATTAGCACAATGCAATAGCAGTCAGGGTTGCGTAGGTTTTCGCTTTGTTGCTCTGTTGACTTGGGCTTTTTATCCGTCCCTGCACAACAATACAGTGCAAAATTTTGTTTGAACTGGACAAACGTACAATCGTTCTAACAAGTAGCTTCTGTTTGTCGAGTTTTTTTATGCCTTTATAACTTCCCTTTCTATCACCAAAAGCGTTTTTGTCCGTGTTTTGAATCGAAACAAGAGAGATGTCTTGCACTATTCGTAAATTCCAAAGCTTTCGGAATGTGTCATGTACAAGACAACAAAGGTCGCTAGTTTCTTTTCTGTTTATGTGTTGCCTTTGTGTTTCGGGTTCTCTTTCTTTTTAAACATCTTGTCGTATTAATTTGTCCAATATAGCAACATTTTAGATAGAAACATGATAAAACAATCAATATTCGCAGTGGTGGAAAACTTTCGAGATTGATATTTCTCATTTTGATATGTCTAGATTATGGCAGCTTGTGAAATTAAAAGTCTGTTTTGTCTATCAACACTTCTTAACAGATCCATTCAACCTTAGCGACTTCTTTCTCCGTAGTAAACGTTTTGTTTAACATTCAAAATTCTATTTTCGTCATTTTCCAGCGAATATCTGCTTGTTCAGGCAGGTAATTGCGTTTATTGGCGGCTGCCTTTATGCTTCAATACGAACATCGTCTTTCTTATACTGTCAGGACAACCAATGTTTCCCAGATATCGAATTAATTGAATTTACCAACGTCGTATTAAATGTAAACCAGCTTGCAGTTAGACAATAATTGAATCATCGAGTTTCATTTCCTTTTCAAAACGGAATTTTGACGCGGTAAAAGATAAACAAAAGAAAATTGATATTTGGTTGGAACCTTTTTCGTCAGTGTTATATTAGACGCTGTCATGATGCCGGTGAACTAAGACAATTTTCTTCTAGACTCAGGGCCTTCAAATAGTTGGAAGATATCGTTATTTCTCTCAAATAAGTAATCAAATAACTAGTTATCGTTTACGCAAGGAGTTGAAAAGGGTCTTGCTCAAGTTTCTTTGACACAAGATAGTCATTCATTTATTGACGGATATGTTGGTAGAATGACAAAATAATTTGTCAGTATTCATCAGTCGCGGGTCAGTCGCACAGATTTTATTGGTGATTTGCTTCGTCGGGCCATAGAAAATGATTAAGACTTTGTTAATATGCTACTCTGTTTTTGCTGTTTGTGTTGTTTTTTTTTAAAGGTTAAAACAGAACAACGAGAAGCGACTTCCTAACTTCTGGGCGGAAGTATTGTTTCCATGCGGACTTAAAAAAAATGTGTCATCATATCTTTAAATGTTCGTATGAGGGCTATATTAGCACTCTATCGAGTATTGTCTTTGTAGTTGTTTTCTGAATGAGGATAAAATATCTATATAATCCATATGCTTAAAAGAATACGTCGTGGTTGTTTTTTTTCCGGGATTTTCAAAGACCATTTCGTACGCAGCACCTGACAACGTATTGCATTTTCTTGTCAATGTAATGTAATGCGTGGTTGTATTGACAAGTTTTGTGAGGCCACTTCAGCGCTAAGTGACTGGTCTTCTGTAACAATATACAACATGTCCCAAGGCCTACAACGATTGTACATGATTGATGAACATAAAGTGTTGTAGAAAGTTAATGTCCCTTCCAAGTACGATGAGTACATCTTTTTTAGTATGCGGCTTTTTAATCTGCATGACACCTTAAAAACACAACAATAACAACAACAATGATAGCTCGCCATCGTAGCTGAATAATACTGACAAAATATTTTAATCTTAACAACGAAACGAAACCACTTTTTTCTTGTCGTGTTTCACTTCCGATTGGTAACCCACAAGGTTTCCTGAAACTTCAGCATTGTTAGGAAGCGTCGTTGTAATATTTTAACCGACTTTTCCACTTTTTCTTTGATGTGTTTCTTTGCAGATTCTGTCTCTTTGTCTTCGTCTGACAGTCCTACCACTTCTTGGTACCAGGGCCAACCCACCAATAATAATGGCAGCTCGCCCCCAGTCCGCCGACGATCCAAATCGGGCCCTCAGCTTTCTCTTAGGTAAGTCACCTAAGACTCGCTTTTGCTTTGGCTTAAACTGTGCTTGTTTGAAATACAAGGAATGCGTCATTTAGGTGCAAATGAATAGATTGCGTAGGTGTTTACCGAGCTGTGTATTGTTTGCGAGAACAAGTTGTAATTACTATATCAAGCCACCGTATTGGTAATTAAGTTCTGGCATCCAATATAGCCAACAAAATACGTGTTTGCAACGCAAATCTAGTTTCGTCACCAATATTTTTATGTTACGCTTTCGAATTTCCGAATGAAAATTGTGTTAACTCTCAAAACCTGTAGCACTGAGTTGAATAAACATACGGTAAGCTTTCATTGAAAGCTTTGAACGTGAGAACGGTATGAAAGTGACTCTTAAGCTTTCGTTTGAACCCTAAATTCATACACACAAGCTCTCTAACACAGACTGAAAATTTAGAACCACTTTGCATAGCACGAAAAACACCACCGCATGAAAGTGCTCTCAAGTGGCTTTCATTTGAATTATCACACATCGGGTTTCATTCCCAGACGTAAAAGTAAGAACCACCTTTCACAACGTGGTGAACAGTACCACACCATAGTCACTGAAAACTAGCTTTCATTTGAATGGTCCCACACTGGGTTTTTATTCGCAGACTTGAAACCCAGAGCTCTCTCTTCCAGGGCTTAATAAACAGTATCACATGAGCTTACTCCTCAATATCTTTTATTTGAACAGTCGAACACTTAGGTTTAATCGACAGACCTAAAAGTTAGAAAATCCTCGTAAAACATAATAAACAGTACCTTATGAAAGAAATCTCAAGTAGCTTTCATGAATGGTTTTATCTTGAGAATAATTAATTCGTTAATCTATGTCTTTTTTAACAGAAAACGCTCGTGGAGTAAAATTAAAATGAGCAATAAACCAACCACTGACCAGTCTCCAGGAACACCCACACGGATGCCAAAGGGGGTCTCAGGGGGTGGGTCTAAGAAGCTTCAACAACTCCTGGGGGCCAGTGAGAGTGACATCGATCTGCTAGTGAGACCCGCTGAGATTGTATCTACGCATACACACAGGGTAAGTCTGGCTGTTACAGTTAGAGACACTATGGATAGAGAGATTCCTTGAACCCTGTACACGCTAACATCAGTGTACATAATCTCTATACTCTTCTCTATACATTTCTTTTGGTTCTGACAAGGAGAATTTGTTTAACAATCAAAGCTTTTGGTTTGGCGAACATTTCCTTTATTTTCATGATCGTATTGAATGATTCCGCGTTATTACTGTAAGGAGATATTAGATGCTGGTTACTCTCAGGTTGTAAAGGATTAAAAGAATTTCAGCGGAGCAAACAAAAGCTGGGAAAGAGAATGTTGAGTGAAAGATTTAGGAATACAATCTGAAACAAATAGACGCCATGTTTGTTGTGTGTCTGTTCTGAAATAGATCACAGATAACTGAGTCTCCTGTGTCACTTGTTCTCCTTACCACACCTTGACGTCACCTGCGATCTGTTAAGAATAGTCGCATGTTAACATGGAATCTATTTGTTTTATTTTATGAAGAAGGAAAATGTTGTTGATGGGGACGTTATCGTCGCGTCTGTCTTCCTGTAGAGTTAAGAACCAATCAAAATGGCTGTATAATTCAGCGTATTATATAATGTTCTGCAGAGCATTCCGGAGGAGCTGAGTGATTCGCACAATGGCGGTAATCCTGAAGGAACAGCATATCTGCCTGTTCAGCCTTCCACAAGCGAAGGAGAACTAAAACTTCATCTCAGCGATGACGAGGAAGACGATGATGACGTAGAAGATGACTTTGAGAATGAGTACGACAAAACACCGGAAGAGGACGGTGCGGAAGCGGAAGAAGAAGAAGAAGAGCCACAACTTCCCGTGGAGCACGATGATCCACAAGAGGAAGAAGACGAAGACCAAGAACAAATCGGAGGAGAGGAGACCGAGGAACAAGAGGTCGATATTGCGCCATCTACGCCAACCCAAGATCATGAAGACCCTGAAGCTGTGGCGCTCAAGAAAAGAACGTAAGAGGCTGATATTTGCGATTAACATGAGCCAATTTCATTTCGTTGCGTTTGTTGAGTGATGATTCTTGCCCTTAATGTGATACTTTTCTCAATTTTAGCTCATTGGGTTTTACGTGCTTTTTACTTGTTAGATTTGTGTTAAAGGAACTGATTCAAACAGAAAAAGATTATGTCAAAAGTCTCGGAGAAGTTGTAGAGGTAAGGATTTCAGATGTTCGGCTCAACAAAATTCAGTGGTGTCTGATATACGGTAAAGAATCTCAGTGGTGACATTTTGTTCAAATCGTTTGTGCAGGGTTTCATTGTTGAACTTGCAAAGCCAGAGACGCCTGAAGAACTGAAGGGAAAAACGAGGGTGTTATTTGGCAACATACAACAAATCTACGAGTGGCACAAGAAGTAAGTATGAACCAACATTTGCGTGCACGTTCTAGTTAAAGAATGAGTTGGTGACCAAATGAGAGATTTCATGGCAAAGGGCCAACGAAGAGACAACCGAGTGAACGAGCGAACGAGGGCGAACGAAGAAACGAATCCGTGTGCGTGCGAACGAAGGAACGGACTAGATTTGGGAAGAATGCAAAGCAAGCGGTTGGTGAAGGATTCCAATCAGTTTAACATCTATTTTTTGACTCTCTCTGCAGCAAATTCTTAAAAGAACTGGAGAAATGTGAGGATGCACCTGAGAAGCTAGCCTCTTGCTTTTTAACGTCTGTAAGTTACCTTCAAATACAATCTAAACAGCAATTTACACGACATAAGTTCTCGTCTTTTGGTATCTTTTAATTGATGTATTTTTGTAATTCCTTCAGGAACGTTACCTCAAATTTTACATCTTTTACTGCCAAAATAAACCCAAGTCCATGAATCTTGTCCACGAATTCCGTGATACATATTTTGCGGTGAGTTGCTGTATATCTTTTTGTTCATCATAATTTTTTCCTAGTTGATGAGGTCTGGAATTATCACAGCTTTAATACTTGTGCTAAGAAAGCATAAGTCGGTCACAGTTTTGTAAAATTACTTCCATTTTAACCGATTATTTAGGAAGTCACCGAGCGTCTCGGCTATCGACTTGGCATTGAGGATTACCTGATTAAACCGGTTCAACGAATCATGAAGTACCAGCTCCTCCTCAAAGACTTTGTCAAATATACAGGCAAGGCGGGACTGGACACTATAGAACTCAAGGTGGGTCCCAGTCCACCTTTCAGTAAAGCGATTGTATTGATTCTGCTTTGCTAAGCGCCGTGACTGGTTAAGAAAACTATCACCATCCTGCGCTCACCTACTTTTTCCCGCGCTTTAAGCTGTTTGCTTTACATTGTATTCCTTATGAAATTTTCCTGTCTTCTTATTGAACAATGTGCGGCTTAGTGATGTTGTTATGTGTTATCTATGTTTACAGAAAGCTCTGGACATGATGTACGTTGTTCCTAAGAAAGCCAATGATATGATGAACGTTGGAATGCTTGAGGGTTACACGGTAAGAAAAACAAACACTCTTGTTTTCAAAATTACATTACCTTAATAATGATTTTCAATACGTTTCGTCTTGACACGATTTAATTCTTGTTTTCCTATTTTTTTTTCCTTTTCTTTCAGGGCAAGATAGCAGCGCAAGGAACTTTGATTATGCAGGTAACTAGCATTCAAAGAATTCTCCGTAAGATGATCATCAGCGCTCTGATATTGCCAAGTTTTCCCCGTTGAATTTTGCCAAAATTCTCTTGATATCTTTAGGGAGGTTCAAAACAGTTTACCTTTTCCATCTCATTTCCTCTATCTTACCATTCCTCCCCTTCCTGAGATATCACTTTGTTGATGATCCTCCCCCTTCTCCCCAGTTACTAAGCTTTTTATTCTTGTTTTCCAGGACACACTGATGGTGTCTGATCCAGAGACTCGTAAACCATGCAAGCGGCAAGTGTTTTTGTTTGAGCAGCTCATGATCTTCAGTGAACCTTTTGAGAGGAAGCTGGATTGGACAGTGTACATATACAGACACAGCATTAAGGTAATGCGTCAATGTTAACCTTTTAAAAACTCTCCTCATATGCGATAAGCGTCTTACATAATGATAGATTCGGTTAATAATGCACATTCCTCTGTGGCAAAATAACCCAAGTCGCTCTGGCCAGGAACTGTTATTGATAAATTATTCGCCTTACACCATCACAGGTGAATCACATGAATTATATGGAAGGGGTGGGTGATGATCAGTTGTCGTTCGCCATTTGGACTGGTTCAGACCCTGACGCGGAAATCTTTACCATGACCGCGAGCTCAGCCGAGAAGAAGAAGGACTGGTTACAAGCACTACAAAAGATGCGGGAATCTCAACGAGCGTTTGCTATGGGTAAGGTTCTCGAGATTGTTTACAAGATGAAATAATCCCAGAAATCATGCGCTTTTGTAATATTCTTCCTTTTGTATATTCATTGGATATGGTAGAGTTTGTTTGATTGTAATCGTAAAACCACTTCACTTGGTTACCCATTTTCCGATTTTTTCTTGAAGAAAATATGAGCATAGTCTGATATATTTTCGCTGCATTTTTTTTCCCAAATTTTTGTTAACTTTCTTTTCAACTTTGATTTAACTGTTCAATGCAGAATCGCCTGAAGCGGGGCAATTTTTAAACCAAGGACACAGAGGTTTGAAAATAAACTTTAAACTTTGAAATTAAATTTAAATACGAGATGTGATTATATAATTTAGAATTAATTGTTCAGTTTGTAAATTCAGTTAATCAGACTTCTACGCCTGTAAAAGGCGAACGTGTTTAAACTTAAAACGTAAACTTTCAGTAACCCTTTAATCACGTTTAGTTAGTTTCTTTTGACGTACTCATGTTCTTAATGACCGTACAGGCTTGATGTTAATAGAAAGAAAAGTAATAATTTTAAAGTGCCGTTAAATTGTATTGATCCAATGTGTAAAGAGGAAATTATTTTTAAACTTCTTGTAAAACATTTTTTTTAATCGTGACATCCTTTCAGTAACTGGTATGTCGCTGTCTTCTGTTGTAACGTTCTTCAAATGTAACTTAAACTGTCAGTAACTGGTATGTCGCTGTCCTCTGTTGTAACGTTCTTCAAATGTAACTTAAACTGGTCACTCTCACGTTAATCTAAATTGATCCAACATTTCTCTTCTCGGCTATTGATACTCATCACTGTTTGTTGTCCTGATTCTTTTCGCAGCGTTAGAAAGACCAATCGAATATCAGAAACAACAAGCCAACGGCCTGTAAGTAAAATCTTACATTTTGAAATAAAAGGGAAAAAGTTAATTGCTGATTCTCACGTGCTTCTCTCTTCTTAGTCCTCCCGCATTGACTCCTGGGTCCCCCGTTACGACTCAGGGTCAGGTGACCCCATCAAGCAGCACGACTCTACCGCTGACCACCTCTGCCACTCGCGGGCACAGCCTAAGCCTTCCTAACACTGGCTCACTAAAGAAAGCTTCACAGGTAAGAAAAAGGCGCCGGAACTATTTTTGGAAGAAAAGCTGCATCTTTGCTCAATATTTAATAAGCGAAAGAGATCGACGCGTATTTATCGTTGTCTCTAGATACCAGTCCCCTCTAGTCAAACCAGTCGTCTTAAGCACATGAATCTCATCGCTCTGGAAACTGCTCAATCTCTGGAGGACCTGACGTCGCCTTTCTCGAATACTTCGGTGAGCTGAAACGTTCTTCATCTCTTCCACAAAGTCCCTGTTTCACCGAATTTAGCTCCTGCTAGGCAAAAATGTAAAAACGTTTCTTGATATCGTTAATGTTCATGTTCTGCTGCTTAACCTAAGAGTCGTGGAACCTAGTTTCTCGAGGAAATGGAAAGATCCTATTGTTGTAAAAGAGCAACGAGATTACTAGTGTTGCTTGACCTGGGATTGCTACGGATACCGCGTGACTGCCACAGATACTGCGTGACTAATGTTGCAACTGTTGCTATTTGCAGCGTACTAAAGAACGTTTCGTGGTACTGGAGGATTTCAAGTCCAAAGACAAAGATCATCTTTCTGTGAAGAAAGGAGAAGTTGTGTACTTGGTGTCCAACAAGAAACACGACAAGAACTGGCGATATGTTTGTAATTTCACCGAGGACAAACTCGGACTTGTGCCCGCCAAGATCTTGAGAAAAGAAGCCAACAACAATCTCGAAGGTTCGTTCCTGTCTTTCAATGCAAATTCTTCTCATTTTTTATCTGTTGCTGAGACTTTAGAGTGAAATTCAATAAGTTTCCCTACTCGTTGTTTTTTTTTCTTCTCGTTTCATTTCTGCTTGGAATTTTCTTGACATTTAGCTTCCGTCATAAATTCCTTTTTTGGCAATTGGCGGGGAAAAAGGTTTCATTACATTTGGTGGGTAGGAGTCGATATAACACACCAAGATTGTACGAAACTCAATAGCAACTGGGAAATTTGAACTTCAGGATCACGTGCGACGTCACTACTTGTCGTAAAATTTGTTTCGCCTTTGGTTTCAGATTCAGAAACTCCGATGTCTCCCAAGAAAACGGCCGGGTAAGAATCTTTTTGTTATACCGTTTTAGTTTTCCGTGTAGTCTTTTATTTTGTCAATTTTTTAAGCAGTGAGTTTTCCTTTTGTTATTTTTTTTAAGTAGCATGTCATTGTGAGTTCTTGACTTTCGTTATTGTGGTTTGTGTTCAGAACATTTTCAAGGAAAAAGGTTTCAAGGCATGAGAGTTTTACGTAAGTTCTCGATTTTTTCGTTTTGTTTTGTGTAATTATTTATTTTTTGTTTTGTTTTATCAGCTTTGAAAACTCCTTTGTTGTTAGTGTTATTATTTTTACTTGTATAAGGAGATGGGCATCTTACATCTGAAATTTGTTTTGGTTATGACAAACAGATTACGATTTCGGCGTTCGACAGTAAATCGTTTATATTCAATCGATAAATGATCGTCTAAGAAGGGGTAGTCGGCGCTTTAAGCTACGACCGTTTGGTCGCCTTAGCGACCTGTGTTCCGCGGTCGCGTAACAAATTGTAAAATTTTTAAACCTAATGTTAACGGTCCTAAGTCTAACTAGATGCACTGAGAAGTGCGCTTACTGTTAATGATAAAATGTTTCGATTAACTCCTACGAGCGCGCAAACGTTGAAATTGGCGGCTGCGCGGAGAATGGGAACGGGTGGTGGTCAAGTTGTACTCTGCCTCATGCTGCAAAAATGGCTTAATGGTGCTGGGTTTGGGTTGCAGCCTAACTAGATGTAAAGAGGTGAAAGTCGTGTGCATGCCAGTCGTATGGATTTAATATACCGCACTAATGCTTTGATAACGCTAATCTTACCTAACCGGTGAATTTCATCAACGTAGACAGTTATTACTAAGGTTAAGTGAAATCCTCGACTCCAAGGTCTTTCAGACCCTCATCCTGGGAATGAGGGAGCCTCGTTTCGAATCAATGATAACTTTGTTTGCGTGAAGCCGTTTACTTCGTTTCTGGGATTCGGGCCAAGGAAGGACTTTGGAAAGAATTTGTGGTCAGGTTTTTCTGCTGTGATCCTCCGTAGTTAAGGTATGAAAAATGTCTATGATGCACAAAAGACCGAAGCATCTCTGGAACATTGTCAGAAGCCACAGTACACGAATAATTGTGCACTGTTGTTTTCAACCAGAATGGCTAAAAAGAGTAAAGAGAAGATTCTTCCGTCTATTACACGTCATCGGAGCTTTAATACGTAAGTGTGCTGTGGCGTATGTTTGTGTGTGTGTGTGTGTGTGTAAACTCTGCTTCTCTGCAGTAATCAGCATTGACCTTAGTCCACTGGAGTCCTGAGATCACGTGGAGTTTTTTAACCCAATCAAAACGTTAGGAAAACTGAATTAGACCAATTAAAGTGGACGAGTTTGGAGAGCGCGGGAGAGCATCGCAGGTAGTCGGTTGTGAAGGCGGGAAAACCTAAAAAAGCGCGCGGAAACGTGTGTTCGGTGTAATGACGAGGCGAACAAAATTGCTTGATTTGTCTGAAAGGGCTAGCTCCTCTTTCTTCCTTCTGGTCGGCAAATGAATCATTGAAACAAAAAGACTGAAAACCAAACGCCCCACGGCACCAAGCTAATTGTCCAAGAAGTATGGATTTGACAATAATGTTATTCATTGGTCTTGAGGGTGGAATAAGGAAAAAGTTTTAAGCTTCCGTGAGGAATTGAACCTCAGACGTTAGGATCTTACGCTCCTGTGCTCCACCTCTGAGCAACAGAGAACTCATTGGTGAGTTAGGCCATTGTTAGGTTCATGTGTGACACCCATTCTGCATACTGCTAAGATCAACCATGTCGAAAGCATCGCTTGGATAAATAGAATCACAAAGATGGTAAAGTTCTTAGCTCGGTTGTGGAACAAAGAAAGATGTTTTGAGGTATCAGAATTATCTGAAGGACTCCAGTGGTTTCTTGCTTTACTAATAATCCTAACGCGCTTGAATTAACATTTATCATCCATACGTCTATCCAGTTAAATATAAAGTATTTACGCGTACGTGTATTCCTTAATTCTGACCGATAACATTTATTACACCCTTTCTGATCAACAAGTAATTTCTCCTCCCCTAACCAATACATTATAAAGAAGACAGGTTATGAGAATGAATATAAATCATTTAAGGATATTGTTCGATGTAGTGCACGTATTGTTATGTGCAAGCTTTGTAAGAAATGTATGAAAGACAATGAGTAGAAGAAATTTAGATCGTATGAGCGAGTTGTAGGGTTCAGTTTACTTTGAGTTTTTGGTTAGGGAACTCGAATTGGTGAGGTTATTGGGGGGTTTAAAACAGGCTGATGTTTCTTGGATGAGGAGTAAGTGACCCAAGAACCAAAGACTTTACGCTGCGAGACTTTAGAATGCGGCTTGTCGTGGAATGGTTTCCATCAGGTGATACCCCGTGTCGACCGAGGATGAATGACGCAGAAGATTGCGGGAACAGTTCTAAGTTGTTAAGTTTAAAAAATGAACTAAAAGTTCATTTATGTTTTACAGGAGTGACAACAAAGATAGACGGACACAAAAGAAACAGAAAGACTCCTATCTGAATGCCTTCTCCAACAAGATAAAACAAAATATCGATAAATACCGAACCGAATTGAGTACAGAAAATGCAAATGATAGCGAAGACATTCCTGTCGCCTCATCGGTTAGTAAATCTAACTAAATCTACCAACTTATCGAGTGATATCTTGACTTTGGTGTCTTTCCCTGGACATCAGAAAGGTCAAAGTCTACATGAACCAAGTGGCTCATTAAGTCAGAATTTATCTCTGTTTCCAGAGCAATAATACCTCTTCCCCCTCAATGGGATGCTGGTCCATCGCAAGGGTTACCCCCTCTCCCCTTAAGAATTTAATCAGACTCCCCTGACAATCCGCCAGTGCCCATTTATCTTGGGTGGAGAGAAGCACTGTGAGAGTGGAGTGTCTGGACGGAAAACACAACACAATGACGAATCGAGGTTTAGGACCCAGACCCCTTGAACCGGAGTCTAGCGCATTGACCATACAGCCGGCCTGTCTCGCACACCCTGGATGTCGAAATTGATGAACTTGTGTTTTTTTTCTTCTTGCAGAATCAAAAAGGAAACTCCGAAATCAGTACGTATCTAGTTATGATTTCACTATGATTCAGAGTTGTTCGTGTGTACGTGCGTTCATTGTTCATGTGTTTTACACGCGTGCTCTAAGCTTATCAGAGATTTTACCTGCTTCGTTCACGACTCACTTAAAGAGTTCTTTTTGTTTTCATTTTTATTTTAGTTGAGCAAGATCTGCACGAATCACAAACCACATTGCATGCCCAAGATAATCTCTAACAACAGTTAACCTTAAGCACTTTTCGTCACTTGATCCCTGTCAACTCTTTGTCTTTATCGTAAGAAAATTTAAGACTAAAAGCTACAGTTTAAATTAAAGTTTAATTGGGAGAAGATTTAAGGTCTTAAACTTAAGTCACCAAAACTTAACTTACAAGGGGAAAAAAGCACATAGTTGCACGTTTTTATAAGTTAGGTTGAGGCGAGTAAAAAGCACTGATAAAACATTGCAGTGCGTGCATTGCGCCATGGTCAGCTGTACATATTTGTTTACAATTTCGTCCTTCCGTTGGTATGTTAACTACGAAGGCAATATCATTAAATTATTTTTCAGAAAAAGAGAGATGTCACTAAACCCACTTAGGTGACTTCGCTTTGCTAGATAATCGTCGCAAAGAATATATTTTTTAAATTCATTTTTAAGACTTAAATTATGTTGAATTAATCAGAAACTTGATCGAAGTCAAAATCAAGGCTTGTGAAAGTGATCTCTTGTCAAGAAATGGAACATAATTTTTCCTATGTAGTTGTCGTAGGGCTTATTGCTTGTAGAAAGAACGCAAAAATAATAATGGATTGATTGTAAGCGCTCGACAACCGCAGGCACATTGCACTGTACTCCGCCTTAGTCGTCGTTGAATGAGATAAAGCAAAGAGCTGGCAACGGTAATGTAATGCTTATTTAGTAAAACTAATTCCTAACGTTTTATTTTATATAATTTTTTTCCGTTGCTAACCCAATTAACAATGCACAACGTACTTACTTTCACGCCGTCAGCTTTCATCGAAGTTCTTCGTGACGTCACTGTTAAAAGCGGCCACCATTTACGGCTTCAGTGCAAATTATCATCGCTCCCCACCCACCCCCTCACGGTGACCTGGACTAAGAACCAGCATGCCATAGAAAATTACGACAATATCAGGCTAGTTAAAGACGGAGTCACATATGCGTTGGACATCACGCAAACGGAGACTGCTGATACAGGTCACTACAGGTGTTCTGTCACGTGCGGGTCACGCCGCATCACTTGCTCCGCTAACGTTGCCGTGTTAGGTAAAAGCAAATGCTGTCAAATCAGGTACCCCTTGCTGCTGAATGTCAAGTGGCATAAATTGCTCCAAAATGTTTGGGAATGGACTTCAAGCGAGATGCGGAAATAACATCCTTCATTTTTGTGTCCTCGGCGATTGAATTTCGATCTCCGACGGGTGAATCTCGAACACTCACGAGTACATTTCGATCTCTCTTCAGTGAATTTCGGTCTCTCACGATTGTGTCACGGTCACGCCTTATATTTTACTTCCAACTAATTAAAAGGCTGTTGTGGGTTGATCACAGAAACGTCGAACCCAAGTTGGGACCAAATAGTTTTGGTGTGAAGTATGTCCCACGACTTACAGTAGCAAAGGGGAAGAGGGGTCCCTAAAACAATCAGCAATTAAATGTCAGAGTTATCGCCAGGGTAAATCACGGTTGTCTATTTTCCAAACTTGCGGTATTTTTAAATGTTAAACACTAAATTATTTCAAACTTTGGGAAATCTTTCGTCGTGTCAGGTTTCCGTCAAGTTGCGTAACTTCTTAAGCGACAAACGCGGCCTCACTGAATTTTCGGTGACGGAAATGTGCCGACCGAGGTCGAGTTTTTCCGTCCCGAGAATCCTAAACACTATCATTATTATGTCATTCCTCATTTGATTTCATTTTCATGTGTTACAATTGTCGTTCAGATCCTAACTTTGCTTGTTACATCATTAAGGTGTTCCCGAACCTCCTTCGAAACCTTGCGTCAGAGAAATGACCTCATCATCGCTCGTGTTGCACTGGGAACCACCTAAGTTGGACGGGGGTAAAGAAATCACCGCGTACACTGTGGAGTATAAGGAGACTGGGGTGAGTGTGTGGCAGGCGGCGGTGCCATTTGTGGCAGGAAACAGCACGCTAATTGATGATCTTACGCCGGGCGCCACGTACCAGTTCCGAGTCAGTGCTAATAACGAGATTGGTATCAGTCGACCCAGTCCTATCTCGGATTCTATAACACTGGACGTCGAAAGCGGTGAGTGTTTGAGTAGGCGCAAGTCATATGCGAGCGTGACGTTTGTTTTAAAGGTGGTCACGCACAAAAAGGCGTAACTTTTCCATCAAATTAGTCGTCGCGCACTTTTGATGGTTTCTACAAAGAGCGCAGAAACATGACAATTGGACATGTATGCACAGAGATTTTGAAGCTGTATTAAAACCTATTTTTCTATTAAACCTAAAGAGACTCAAAGAGGTTTGCGTTAATATACTTTTGTGGTAATTTCTACTCATTAAAGGATCCCTTTACCATATAATTTAAAAACTTCTACTCAATCAAATCTCTAATCTGAACTGTGTTGCTTTTTTCAGAAGAATCGTCTTAAACATCGAGCTAAATGAACATCAGTTATCTTCGTACTTCAAAGAATTAAACTATTCAAGCCACTTTAGAGATCTTCTAATTATTCTAGTCCAACCGTAAAACAAATGACAAGCGTTGTAAAATAAAACTAATTTGTACTCTTAATTGGTATATTGTTGTATAAACTTGTAAAACTTCCTTAGGACGTACGCTTTACTAGAAATAAATGATTAATTGTTAGGTAGTAGAAAATTTAACTGATCACCCTAACCGTTGGTTGTAGTATTTGAAGAATTGCTTTGTGGATAGCTGCCAAAATGAAACTATTGCCTCCCGGGAATAACAATAAAACGTATGTTCTTTACGTGATCTGCTGGTCAGCTGATAATCACGTGTTGTCACTGAGTAATCGGGCCAATTACTATCCTTGTTGAATGACAGGTCGTGCGGGCACAACTTGTCATTCAGATATAAGATCAATCACTCAAACTTTTTTGCGGGAGAGTTACTTGAAATAAACAGCGTTTTAATCAAAGCAGCCAAGAATAGTTACAGGAATACTGTTAGCTTTCAGATCAGATGAATTGATACCGCAAAGCTTGCAGAAACTTATAAATTTACGACTTGATTATTCTGACATCTACCTAAAATCTTCTGGACGCGTTTTTGTCGGCTTACCTATTGCTAAGCCAATCAGTGAATCAGTTTTTTTAGCCACTTGACAGAAGCTTGCACGTGCGATTTTTAGGTAGCCTTTTATTACTTTTTAAGTGTTAAAACCAGGTTAAGATGCGTAAATGGTCGTAGTTGTATTAAACTATCAAATTTCTTTAAGGTATTCTAACCTCGGATTATTTAATCAAATCAACTTTGCTTTACTGGTCTCTGCACTGTAGTAATTTCCCTCATAATTCAATAACTTTAATTAACCTTTAAATTGTAAAACGGTTTGTTCAGAAACAACTCGTATGGTTCATGAAACAGAGAGGATAAATTTCCCTCGGTACGATGAATAAACAGTTAAGGATAACAAATAAAATAGAAATAAAATTGAGCTCCGTTACAGAGCAATCTGTGTTCTGCTTGGCGAGGATTTTATTTTGATAATTATTTATTTTAATTTATTGACTAAATTGCAATGTACTTGTCAAGCAGACATGGATTTGCTCTTTTGGGCAGGGTCTGTAGTGATTTATAACATCATTTTTAACCTTAGTCTATGAGGAGACCCTCATTACAAACGCTGCAGGACGTGCGTTTCCCGCCCGGGGGAAGATTTGAGCCCAGATCCCATGCAGGGTTCTTGCTGGCTCGCGTTGCCCAAGGCCTCACACGTTCCGCGGGCGAAAAAACGCTGGGGCGAAAAACTCAGGTACCAAAGCGTTATTAATGAGGAGCTGTTCATAGTCTATTTTAACTTATGAGTTATGGGGACAACATGGTTACATTGAATGATGCTTAAATCAATTTAGTTGTGCTTAATTATCTGAGTAGCTGCTAATTAGAAATAAAAACCGACTGATGATGTTTGACGATGAATTAGTTGTCCTTTCCTAACCTTCGCTTTGCCTTACCTTGTTGCGAAGAACGTTGTGAAACCGTTAACAGAATTTTGAATGAGACTGAAGTTAACGAAGCAATGATTTATTTGAAAGTGAGTGACTAGCGGTAAAAATTTTAAGAATGGATTTTCCTTTTCACACCTAAATATCGTTCCTAGCCCAACTGTTGTGAGAGCGGACTAAACATGCTTCATCTTAGAGCGTCGTTGCGCGAGGCAAATTGCGACGGAGGAGGGCGCGTGGGTGTAGATGCTGTTAGGAAGAACCGCGCGAGGAATAAATGCCCTGTGATAGAAGATAGGCGAGGATGAGGGTAAGTGAAGAAAGTAAAGGTGGAGATTCGTGAGAAAAGGACCGCACGAAAGTCGAGAAGCTTTGAGGAGAAGTAATGTGAAAGACGAGTTTGATGTACGAGGAAAGAAACGCTCGAGGAAGGAGATGCGCAGGGATGTATGCGCGTGAGAAAGGAAAAGCGCAAGGAAGAAGACAGAGTGCTGAATATTTAGCGTCCTTTTTCCGTTCTTTGCAATTGTCTTCACCTCCCTACCTTTTGCTTACGGCACATAAAACATTATTTGTTTCTTCCTCTCAGACGATGAAAAAAAGAAAAAAAACAAGAGGAAAGTGCGCTCCAACTCGCGAAGTGATCCTATTGTTTGGAAAAAAGATATCGAAGATTATTATAACATTTACGCCGAGCTTGGAAGGTGAGTTGCAGATTTCTCCGATGAATAATGAGTCAGTGGCTCTCTCCTCCTCCCTTCCCTCCCTGAGTGGTCGCAACGATCTACGTTTCCTTTTACGTCCAACTCTGATGAATGGATTGCACCTTTTTCAGGGGCCGTTTTTCTGTTGTCAAGAAGAGCGTAGAAAAAGCAACAGGGCAGGAATACGCCGCTAAACTGGTCAAGAAACGAATGGTCGGCAAAGAGGAAGTAGAAGACGAGATTTATCTCCTTCGAAGACTCAAACATCCTAATTTGAGTGGATTTATCGACGCTTTCGATACAACGAAGAACTTTGTAGTAATTGTTGAACTTCTTGCCGGTGGTCGGTTGTTCGATCATCTGGTCGTTATGGACAATTTAACGGAGAAAGTTGCCATAGGTCATGTGAGGGAAATACTCGAAGGAGTTCAGCATCTTCGAGATCTTTCTATCGTGCACCTCGACCTAAAGGTGAGGCTTTGAACGTAAACAAGTGTGACGCAAGTCGTGGTCATAACGTGTCCAACAAAGTATTGTTTGTAAAAAGAGGGGTCAAATGTAATCTCTGCAAATTCTTATCTTCTTCCTTTTTTTTCCCTTTAGCCGCAAAACCTTCTCCTGGATGGTGGGCCGTTACCAAAAGTGAAAATAATAGATTTTGGTTGTGCAACGGAGATTTCCGACTCAGAATCTGTAGTTAAACAAGTGTTTGGAAATCCTGAGTGTGCCGGTATGTTTCCATTTACTTCTGCACGTATAATAAACAGTTCCACATGAATGTTACTCTCTGTAGCTTTAACTCCTAGGGGTTCATCCACAGACTTGAAAGTTAGAACCAATTTTTGCAGTTTGATCAACAGAACCACTTGATAGTATTTCTCAGTAGCTTTATTTGAATGATCACAACACGAGGTTTTTTTTTCCCCACAGACTTGTAATGTACAGCCCCTTTAACTCGCAAAATACCGATCATCTTTTCTTTCTTCAGCTCCAGAATTAGTGAACAGACAACCTGTGGACTTCACAACAGATACTTGGTATGTGTCAAGCTAAAGACTTTCTTAGTTAACTTTCTGTTCTGAACTTCTCTGGGTCGTTTATGTCATTAACGAAAATATTTCTTTCCTTTGACTGCAGGAGTATAGGAGTTATTACATACATCATGTAAGTATCACCAATTCATTTCTATGTACGAGTAGATATCTGAGCACTAAGGTAATTTCTGGAGGAGTAGGGATGGGTTAGTCACGAGAGCGCTCTTGTCCTATTTTTGTGGCCTGGGTTCGATTGTTTGTAGTTAGTTCTCTTCCTTGCTCCGAGATTTTAATTCAAGGTAACTGGTCGCCGTGATTGGTCAAGAAAACTCCCGCCAGTCTCTCAACCAATTAGCTTCTCAACCTCTTAACTAGTCAACTCCTATCAATCGTGATTTGGTCACCCGCGTTTTCCCGCGCCTCAGACAGTTTGCTTGTCCATATTTTTAGTTCTCGTTGGCGTCTTGTGATATTTACCTTCTCACTGATTGGCTGTTTTACGACACTAGAGCGAGAAACGCCTTTTGACGCTCCACCTCGCAAAATATTCACTGATAGCTAGTTTGGTTGAAATGACTCTCTCCAACTTGACTTTTATCCCCCTGCTATGCAGATTGAGCGGAGTTTCACCGTTTCATGGGGAATCAGTGGAAGAAACTTGTCGAAACATCACAGAAGTTAAATACGAATTCAATCCAAAGCATTTTGAACCAATTTCACAGCAAGGAAAGGATTTCATCTCCTCGTTACTTGTTAAAAATCCGAGGTAAGTGAAAAAGCAGCATTTACAACTCTTTGAAAAGTTTTCCTATTTGCGAAGTGCGTCTTGCGCAATTTACTCTATTCCGTGGCATTTTACTGATTAGTTCTTATTAAAATTGTACAGTAATAAACTGAACTGATGGTGCATGTCTGAAACCTCATCGGAAGAGGTCGGAAGCCGTCGGAGAGACCGAAGTCTTCCGACACTGTCACCGTTGACTTCCTTTGTTACATCTAACTAAAAAAGTCTCGAGAATGGCTCGAATTTTCAATATAATTTCTATTTTATATCAACTTTTATTTTGTTCCCATCCCAATTCTGAACTTTTTTTTTACTTAAATTACGTTTAGAAAAAGAGCAGACTGTCAAAATTGTCTAAATTCGCAATGGATTAAGGTAAGACAAAGTTTTCCTTGCAACAATTGGTGAGATTATTTCACACTCTTCGTATCTCCTTTTGCCAAATGTCCTACGTTTACTACGAGTGGTAAATGTTCGTGCGTCTGGCGCTGATTCCAGACTGGTTGTTGAGCGCTACTCGAGTTCACTTATTACGCCCCGCCCCTCCCCTGTGAGTTTTCCCGCGTTTACTGCTGCCACCACTGTCAACTGTCACCTGGTTTTCATAAGCTCAGACAACAGTCATAAATGTACCCAGCTCTTTTCACCATTAGCAAATAGTTTCCCAGTTTTGCCATGCTTCAAAGTTTTTGCCTACCTGTCTTGAGCCTCGTGTTTTTTTATCATTTTAAACCCGATTTGCCTTATTTTTTATCCAGCTCTTTTCACCATTAGCAAATAGTTTCCCAGTTTTGCCATGCTTCAAAGTTTTTGCCTACCTGTCTTGAGCCTCGTGTTTTTTTTATCATTTGTGAACCCGATTTGACTTATTTTTTATCCACAAAACTTATGTAAGAACTTTTTGTTAACCGTCGCCATTAATCATTTTGTCGTTGCGTTTCACAGATGATTAGTCCCAGGCCTCCTAGTCCAGTAAGACAAGTTAAACTCAACATATCACGGTTAGCGGCCTTCAACGCGAGGAGAAGAAATCAGGTAATAGAACTCAGTGTTATACGAAAGATTGATTCGCTTCTCATTTCTCTTTACCTTTTTGGTTGAGAATGCATCACAGTTGTAAGAAGAAGACAGAAATTAATTGCTAATTGAAATAACCGAGTGGTGGAGTATTTTGGAATTAGTTAATGTCGCATTTGGTTGCAAGACTGTTTTTCTCACAGTTAAGCTTTTAACTCCAAAGAGTGACCAGCATCTAAATTCTCTTTACAATATCATCCGGAAATCAAACATAAAGGTCAGGAGAATGAAGGAAATGATCACCAACTAAAGAAGCTCTTGATTGTTAAACAAATTCTCCTTGTCAGCACCTTAGGAAATGTATAGGGAACAGTATGGAGAATATGCATACTGATGTTAGGTTATGAATGGTTAACCCTCCGCGGTGGAGAAACGCGTGTCCTGCAGCGTTGATAATGATGGCCTGCTCACAGGCGAGTACTCCTCGCCATGTTGCTAAAGTTCTAAGGAGCAGTTGTTGAGTAAGGAAAATTGTCACCCAGTGGGTGTTGGGTTTTTATGATACTACAAGCGAATATGTCGTAGCTAGTGTGGAGAATTGCTTACTACATCTTCTTTGATTTCCTTTCCACCTCAGCACGACCTTACGCCATTACCAATGAATAAGAACGTCAAGAACACCACGACTGTATAGCATTAAGGTAAGGAAAAAATAAAAAATTAATTAATAAATAAATAGAACACTTAACCATCTATAAAGAAATGACACAGTAGCTTTTTCAAATTTTGAATTTTTTTTTTCATTTTCAGAAAGGATTTATGCTGGTCTATTCCAGAGAAAAACTTAAATGTTGTTTTTCCTCTTTTTTTTTGCAGTTTCAAGAATTTTACTTACGGATAGAAAGTTAGCCCTCTGTTTCGTCACTTTTGTAAAAAACTATTCATGTATTGAGGAAATTGTGCACATTTTAAAGTTGTACAGCTGTAATATATTTTGAGCGGTCTTGTATGTAAAAGAATAGGTTATTTTTTTTATGAAAATTTATGAAACCTGTTCAAAACAATTTGTAAATTGTAGATTCGCATCCAGTCGACCAGTGAGAGGTCGCTGGGACTAGAAATGTTTAAAAGAGAAGAGAAATTTATTGCTTTGTTTTAGTTAACTGCAGAATGGTGGAGGTTCCCACCATTTTCCTAAAAAGCTTTTTAAGGGAAATAATTTTTGTTTTCGTGGACAACCAATTCTTTGCGAACGTTTTAGTTCGATTTGCTAGTTCGATTTGCTTGTTTGATTTCGTGCGACGGTTGTCGTTCAGTTGCAGCGGCGTCGCTTCTGATGGATCGGTGCGTTGTGTAACATTGAATATTGTGTATTGGACGGTTGAGTATGTAAAGATGTCGTGGATTTATTTTCTGTTATTCAACGCAAGTCCAAAGATGCAAGTTTGTTTTCAGTGGTTTTTTAGTTTTTGTAGTACTTCTCTTTTCCCCTCTGTCAGTTTCCTTCACAAACCAATTAAAAAGAAGCATTCGTTGGATTATTTTTGCGCTAAATTCCCCTTTATTACCAGCAAAGATACTATTTTCCAGCATTTGCCAAATTGCTGGCTTATTTATTAACTTAATGACGAGGTTAATGACAGAAATTATGCATAGCATTCAGAAATTGTTTGAGAAATAAAACGTGAAGAATTTATTGAATTTGTGTAGTAACTTCACAATCCTTACATGAATTTTTACTTATCTCCATTTTACCTGTGGAAAGTTTTGCAGTTTTTCTCTTCTTTCAATCCACTGTTTTTTTAAAACTGAACCGAGCTCTTTTGCTGTATTTAGGAGTGACTTAGAGAACTTACAATTAATTAACATGCATGTTAATCTACAAGACTTTTACATCAACATTGAACTTGCAAAGCAAGCCGCGAAGTGCTTGGATCTTTCGTGACAATTGTAACCCTTGAAAAATGATAGCTTTCTCTTAAAAGGTAAAACTTAAAATGTTTTGTTTCGTTGACATATTCATCAGTCAGCTCGATGTAACATGTTTGAAGAACTCATTGCGCAAGAGGAAAACCTATCTTGAATAATTGTTAAAAACACGTAACTTTTAACTTCTTGATTCGGCGAAACGCTTTCATTTTGTAGAGTTCGCTGTTATTAAGGTTCTTCTGTATGACTGTACACCGTTAAGTTTTGCAAACGGATACACAACCGGTGTACCTCACGTATTTCTTGTGTTCTCCGATTTCCGAGTCATGTTTCTGGTGACGTGAACCACTGTTAATCTCTGTTTTGTTCCATTTTTTGCACGTACACTTAATCAACGGATCTTCTTTTGAATTAAATCTTCTTTGCAAAGTTTTGATATTTTCCGACATTCGAGTCGTAGTTGCAATCACGCGAACGAATCGTTCCTCTCTCGTTTCCTTTCAATTTTTGCACATCATACTGCGTCTATTCCGTCAGCCGTTTTTTCCACGTTCTTGTTCACACGCATCGTATGACTGTCCACTCCGTAAGAGGCGGAATGTTTTTGCGTTTTCTCAATTTGAGTGGAAGGGAAAATAACGTAGGCTATTACCAAACAGAGAAAAAAATCTAAAATTCGACTCACTGTCTGATAACCCCACCATGGCCAGTGATCCACAACATTCTCTCCTTCGAAATCATACAGTTTGTACAACGAGAACAGTGAATAAAGTTCTGCTCCGACGTTTAGAAATGCAAGAAGCGAGACAAAGCCAGAAATTCGAGCAATTTTTTGCGCTCCTTTCGAGGGTTTGTTTTGATCACCGCTCAAAGTTTTTGCCTGTTCGACCGTGACACTGTAGCTCTGCGGGTCGAGCGAGGCAGAAGAAAGCGTTGAAGCGGTTCGATCCTTCACCACTGTAGTGCTGAAGAACTTGGCTGTGATTTGCGATTCCCAGTTTACTTTCCAACCACTGTACAAGAAGCACGCTGCCAGAATGAACCACCAGGAAATTAACACCGTTTGGCATAAAATTAGCAAACGGGCGAGCTTCGGTGCCAGTGTAATGACCAAATACACAACTAACACGATCACAAAATGCGACGCTATCACCGACACCAGAAACTTGACATTTTGAAGACGCCGTGAGATCAGTCGAAGTTTGTTTACTTCGAGGAAGGCGAAGTGAATCAGTGATAAGGCTGATGTTAAGCAAGGATATCCAATGGCAAAGATGATTCTGCTCAACAACACTGGAAGATCCAAGACTGTGTGCGATTCGTAAGGATCGAGGAACAGGTACAGTGTTCTTGAGACACTAAACGTCATTAACATCAGACAGACAGCAAGAAAGTAATTCGCCAACGTCATGCCTCTAGCTCTGTGTTTGATTTTCACGACACAAATACAAGAGAACACTGCCACGCCGAAGAACAGGACTCCAAAACCGATGTAGTGAAGTTCCCAAAGATATTTCCAATCTCTCAGCGCAAGATCCCAGTCGGGAAGAGGTTCAGGGTTTGGAGGAGCAGACATCTCTGGCCAAGGTTCCGCTCCAGCTTTTGCAATCGTCACCGTTTCAGGCTCTGCGGATGGCATAGTATGATCTTGACCTCGTGAAATTCTATGCAAATTCTCAAATCGTTCCAGAACCCAGCGACCCTCTCCAAGTAACAAGCACAGTTCAATTGTTGAACGATGACCGATTAAATCGAGTTTCTGTTAATTCAATGATATTGTAACGCAAGACTGATCTCTTGATGTTTTTTTAGCCTTGAACAAGTCGTTTGTAAATATCTTCTCCTTCCAACTTATCTGTCTCTCTATGTTTTAATTATGCCCTTATTGTCACGATTAGTTTCGTATCCTTTGTGATGCAAAACAGCTCAATTTGATTCAGCTGATTAGAACAGTGACGAAGGGCCGTTTACAAACAACCTCTCCTTATCACATCCGACAATGACCTCAGCATTATTCAAATTCGCGAGGCAATATAATTCCTATTTTGGTGTTGAGTGTCTCTCTAAGAAGTGGTTTGTCGTTTACGTATCTCCGTTTCTTATTTTAACAAACTTAGAATATTCAACTTCAGGAAAAAGGCGTATATTTTTTGACGTATTCACTCAAAGCTTTTTTGTTCCCGTGACAAGCGCACGCGCCCCAACACATGGAAATCAATGTAAAATTTCCTGAGCGTAAACAGTATTAGAAAAAGTGGGGGAGTATTACGGTATTAACAGATTATTCACCTGACATAAGCAAATATGTAAGCAAGTATTGATATTTTCAGATGATTACGTCTATTTCCTTTAAGCAAAGACGAATTTTCAATTTCTTTGAAACGGAAATAGACGTGACTCATTCCGTTGTTATGGCGTTCTAGAGAGTGCAACTAATGGCTTATTCCCCCTACAGAGAAGACAAACTTCCGGCAAACCTTTTTACGAGAAAAACTTGCAATGAAAATTCAAGCTAGCATTATACGCTGGGAAAATATTGAAAGTGGTTTGAAAATATTCAGCTGTGGTTCACCTGGCTCTATTATGACGCGTGGGTTTCACGACAGAATTGCGTGTTCTTTGCCACAAGCATGGAGTCGATTGGTGACAATAGATATAAAATTTTAATTTCCTAAGAGTATCTTCCAGAATCCTAATGGAAGCTTACGATACAATGGACGAACAAAGAAAGTATGACGAGTACGGAACGCGTTAGTGAAAAACAATTTCGATAGGGAAATCACTTAGGATATTTTGGTTGTTAAAGTTGTTAAAAAAATCCATCTGAGTCGTTCCGACCGTTTCTGTATTCATTTCAATTCAGTTCCTGGTTACGGCACTAAGGGGTTGGCTAATATTAAAGGGTGTATTTTCAGCCAGTTTCTCTTTCTTGATGATCATCGTCATGCTTACTGCATACATCAGTAAAGAGCATTTTGTTCTTGGTGAAGATGATAATTCGATTAAGGCCTCTTTTCAGAAGAAAAACAATGACTCCACCTTAGGCTCTGATTAGTTTTGAAATCAGCCCCTCCTCTTTAAACCTTTTTACATCCTAACATCAGTATGCAAACTCTATAGGATAGTAACAATTTTCACGCATATGTGAAGTGAGTTATAAAATTTGATTGCCTCTCAAGGGAGTTGATATTCATTGAACTTAACCAAAACTGTTCGTACAAACAGACTCTATACCCTAAACCTTTTACACGCCAACATCAGTATGTACATTCTCCATACTGTTCTCTATACATTTCCTAAGGTACTGACGAAGAGAATTTTTTTAACAATCAAGAGCCTCTTCAATTGGTGACCATTTCCTTTATTCTCATAACCTTTGTGAGAGATTACTCAGCGTTAATTGATTTCCGGTTGACTTTTTGCGATAAGTGACAGATGATTGAACAATAGGATCATATTATATATTTAAAATGAGAGAGTCCAGAGCGTGAGACAGAGAACGGTGAGAGAGAGAGAGAGAGAGAGAGAGAGATTAAGTTGATTTTATAAAATAAAACGTGAAGTTTCGGAACATAGCAGATTCTTTAGTCTCATTTCCGACACCTTGATGTTTGATTCAAGGCTGATATCGCAGGGAGAAATTAGATGCTCGTCACTCTAAAGGGAAAACGCGTTTAAGAATTACTTCAGCTACCATTTATAAGGAAGAAAAGTCGTCAGCTCCACCCAAATCGAAAAGTCGCTTCGTTGTTATGCAGCTATCTTCGATAATGGCTTCGGGATAAAACTGAAATACGTAAAGGAATAAATTTTAGTTTTTGAAATAATACTTACAAGTGTTTGTTGTAGCAAACCTCTACTGCTTTACTCCTGAAACCCTAAGAGTGATTGATGTCTTAACTCTCCTTACAATATCACTTCTACACAGAATGATTGTTGAATCAAACATTATGGTCGTGAGAATAAGGGAAATGATCACTCATCAGACAAGCTCTTGATTGCTGAACAAATTTTCTCTGTCAGTACCATTGGAAAAGTATGGAAAACAGTTTGGAAAATAAGCATTATCGATCTTAGGGGTTGAAGGGATAAACTGATATAAACCAAAACGTCATAAATGATTATTTGCAAATCCGGAATGACCCAGAGCACTTTAAGATCTAGATTGGTGCTTTGATTTCAACATACAGCCCTGATATCGAACAACCATGTTAGGTAAAATACTGCAAGTACTACTGTTAATACTGCAAGTTACAATATTTAAAATAAGCGAAATCATCTTGGATTGATATTAATTACGAAACACGATTTTCTAAAAATAAAGACAAACTTAAACTTAACTTTCTTTGAGACTAAAGTATTTTTGTCACACAGCAACCGTTCAAAATGTTTTATTTCGCTTTCCAGAACTCCGACGTTGTTTTCCGCTGCTTTCGAAACATCGTTTCGATTCCAATTACTAATCAATTACCAAAGGGTTTGTCCCAGGTAAACGAACATTTTTGAAAACATTTCCTTGAGATTGTGTTTTGTTTCTATGTTTTTACGTCTCCAGGACAATGCATTTTTAAGATATTTTTCACGGATGAGATGTCAGGAGATATTTTTGTGGTCTTAAAACTTACATGTCTTGAGAACGAGGATCCGGTACAAATTGTAAATTTGTTTACTTTTTAAAGCTGTTTTCATGTCAGTGCAAATAGGCCTGGTGTAAAAGAAAGTATAAATTTGGATTATTCTATCAAAATACGGTATAAATGCAAACTTAATACACAGTTACGAGTGTTTATTAAATTAACAAGCCTTCAAAACTCATTTACCCAATTTGATGGTTGTGGTATAAGTACTGTCGTAGTAAACGACCTTGAATTCATTAAGCACTTGCAAATAGGGACATTATCCGTATTAGTCCTTGAATTCAGAGGAATATTTTTAAGTATAATGAAGTTTTCTTCAGGGGTTTTAGAGCGAAAAAATCTAATAATCAACCGCATATTAACAACAATGTACGGTCAATCTGGTTTCTAGAGTTGTCGTTACCCTATTTCAGCGGAATACCCAAGAAAATGAGGATTCTAGTAACGAGATAATAACTTGGCCTACCTGAGAACTAGTTATTGATCAATAAATTCAATTTATTTTTATCTGTAAAGAGAAAGCTAAGACTGTATCATGAGAAGGTCTCGCGTACGAGTTATCACTGTTCAGAATTTGGGTAAAAATTATATCAACATCTAAACTTTGCTATGGGCGACAGTGACGAACCTGGGACGTGTGTTTTAAAGAGACCTGTAAGGAGCGTGGGTAGGGACGAAAATGGACGATGAAGGAATATCTCTATTTATATTTTCTGTCTTAAGACTTTTGTTTCATGTACGTCAACCATTGCAGAACGTGCTCTTCTGTCAATCACCTCATGAGTAAAAGAAGCGAATTTTCCAACAAACTGTCTGTTGTTAGTGATCCTATAAACATTAGCGCTCGCCGTCTGAGAGATCATCAGTTAAAAGTAAAATGAAACTCGTCCTCCTCTTCATTAATGTCGTTGATCCGAGCCTTTACACTTCTTTTTATTGGGCTTTGTTAGCAAGTTGTAAAAAAAAATGACCAAGGCCACCCTTGGATTTTGAATAGGGTCTCATGCGATTTGCAGATTACAAGTAGTCCCTCCTTCGCGTGAAGGTCCGTCACAAGAGTAAAAAAACTTAGCGTAAAACAAAACTGATCTCAGCGCGCTGCGCAAGACTCTGAGAGGGTAGCGCACGAAAAGTTTCGCGCGGCGCGCTAACATCAATTTTTTTTTTGGCTAATTTGTTTTTCACTCGCACGAAGGAGATGAGAATCTGCTATTAGTCTATGCGATTTGAAATTTCCGTAGTATTTGTAGTTTGCTTAGCTGGCGGTTTTGACGTGCGCTTTTGGCCGCGTGCGTTTATTATTACTGTTATGCGTCCTAAACCTCTCGTAGCTTCTCCGCTTGTGTCAACTGCTCCGTTACTTGACGCTTCTAAGAGCGCATGAAACCGTCAATTATTTTTCTGGCCAAGGTAATCAACCGTCTGAATTTCGTAAAATTTCATTTTCGACTCGTGGATACTGCGATTATTCGAGAGGATGCCAATTTACAAAAGGTGCATATTCCAATTTTTTTATATTAAAAAAAAAAAGGCATCGTGCCATTCAGTAATATTTCTGGAGTTTTTTTTTTTCGTTTTGTTGTATGACGACATCAAGAAGATACGAGGTCTTTGAACGTAGTAACAGACGCGAGATCAAAATCACAATGACAACGAACCCAGTCTCTTAAAAGTGAAAAAAGAAATCTAGTACTCGTCTAGATTGTCTCCTAATGTTCTCTTCACGACCGTATTAAAACTGCAAGCAGGCTTCCATTGGGGCTGCTACAAGAGCGGAAAAGCCCACGCGTTTCTCCTCCTGGAGAGATACGAACGCGCGAGAAGTCCGAGAAGGTCCGGGCACAAAATGCCAGACCTCGCACGCTCGATTCTCGCGTGCTTCAACTTCACTGCCACGTCGTAGCGCTAATTATAGCCTACGCGCAGCCTAGTCTGAGGAAGACACGGTTCTTCGTTCACTTGGATAACTAAGCCAAAATACATTGAAAGCCATTTCTTTTGCGCATTCGAGAAACTTAGAGAAAAATATTTGCTTCGATTCTTGTAAAATACTATATTAGAACACTTTTAAACTATCGCGCATAATAAAAATATTCAGATAGATAGTGAAATCACGAGTCCGACAATAGAAATAATCTCTGAGTTTATTTAAGATCTTTAAATAACTTCCATCAAACTCAGTTTGTATTTTGATCTCTTTATCACAGCTGCTGTAAAAATAGCTCTACTCAGTCAAATATCGTTCCATTTAATTCAAGACAAGAGGGAAACTTGTATTGAACAAATAATTTAATTCAATCTCAAAAACATGATTATTTACGTTTGTCGATATATTTTGTCAATTGACGCGTCATTTGCTGAACAATACTATTTATACTATTTATATTTTTTGTGTAAAACCTTGACGCATTCAAAGTATACTTAACGTAATATATTTTTCTTTGAATTAAGTATTGATATGTATTGATTATCCGAGCCAAAGTTACCAAGACGATCACTAAAAACAAAAGATTATAACAGTAGTGATCCAATTTAACTTGAAAAAATTTGACCAAATTGTGCGCCATTTTTTACCGCGCGAAAACGTGAGCTACCCAATTACGATTGAATTAAGTTTTGGTTAACAAGATGGCGCAAGTTTTCTGGACCAATCACAGAGCAAAGTAAAGTAAAACCAGAGCAATTCTGAATTATTTTGACACTCAATTTAAAAATTGCTCCGTAACTCGTATGTACAAATCTGCCTTACAATACTAATGCATTACTTGTATTGAATGACTTTAAGCTCTACATTTTATAAATAGATAGTTGGCATCCTGATATAAACTAAGCGGTCGAAGAAGGTAAGTATTCTTTTGCTCAATTATTGAACTTTATGGAGATGGTGAGAAACGTGAGAGATGGTGAGTGTCATTAATTTAAAAGAGAGGTGTCCCAAACGTCCTCCCTCTTCCAAATGGCTAATACCTTGAGCTATTTTTTGGGGGGAGGGGAGGGGCATTTGTAGGGGGGGAATGTCGAGGGATGTGAACAGTTTCGTACCCATACCTTGCATGGCCAAGCGAATGTAATTTATAGTTACACGGTAGGATCTGGGTACGAGATTAGGATGTGAGAAGATAACCCCTTAAAAAGGATCTCAAAACAAACCCAAGTTTACAACGTCGACTTTTCTTGATTCTAACATCTTTTTCTTCAGCCTTTTTCTCCGTTCATCGTCAGGAGTTTCTGTACTGACCGCAGGGCTTATGGTCGTTTCGTCTGTAGGCGAATTTGGTAACGAGCTTCTTATTTTCCTCGCGTCAATCCCCGAAGCTGCATTAGTACTTTTTTCAAACTGTTCCTGAATCTGCGCCGCTGCCTCCTCGCTGGTCAATCTTATGTACCGTCGCGGGAATCGTTTCAAATCAAACACCGGTCTTCTAAGAGGGGATTCCTGTGACTTATAGCTACCCCTGGTAAAGCTTGGTGACCTTGTGGCCCCAACTGCCTTTCCTGTGTCACTGTCTGGACTTTTGAATGGTCTATGAAGAAGTCTGTTTCGTTGCCTGGCAGCGGCCTTCTTAGGAAATTCTTCGTCCAAAACTTCCGGATATATCTCGGCGGCAGATTTCACCAGTAGCTGGAACTGTTTGTTGAGTGAAAGAAGCTGAGCTTTTAGGGAGCTTTCCTCGTCTTTGAGATAATTCTAATTGAAACAAAAACAAAAAAACCTTTTCAAACCATTATTTCAATGATGCGAACTTACGTGTGTTACTACCTGATAAAAAAAAACTTTCTCTTTACCCACTCTATATCATTTCCTCTGTTTCTGATCCGTGATTCTTTTTTTAACATTTTTCCAAATTCCCTGCTTTTAATTTGGCAGCGCCATTCGAATTCCAACGGTAATTGAAGCAAGGAATTTAAAAACAAATAAATCATTTCCTTGGACAAAGTTATTCCAAGGACATAAATTTTGGTCCCAATATTAAAACTTCCCATGACCCTGGTACATATTCTTTTACTGAAGCAACGCCTTCATTAAGAGGACACTTTTCCCCATCTCTTATCGTGCCCAAAGATTAAAATGTCCTATAGTTAAAACATCAAGTTTTAAAATTTATTTCGGTACCACATTATCGGCCAAAGTCAAACGGAAGTTATCTACAAATTTCCTTCATAGACTACAATTTTGCAAGACAACTCAGCTCTAATCAAAAACAGACTGCTAGTAAACAATAATAAATGTTTAGATTTATAGGTAAAGATAAATCTTAGAGAAACAGAAAACACTTCCAACTCTTGGCCAATAAGTCAATGGGGCAACCTTGTAAAACGTATTTAATTCATTGTGAATCCTTGAACCGTGTTAATGTTGTTGTTGTTTTTTGGTTGGATAATTTATTACAGTTTCTTCTAAGCTTCAGAACAAGCTGTTACGTCGACAGATTCTTTGCTCCTGACTGATCAAAATTTGATCAATATATAATTTCCCAACTATTTAAACGACTTCCTTTTTCCTTCGAGGAGGTCAAAAACTGATTCACTGGTTCAGTCCTCTTAATGTTCTTTCTATGACAGACTTCACTTGTGGTCAAGAAAGGTTTTGTTCCCGAAAAAAACCATTTAGCATAATGAGGTAAATTTCGTAAGAGTAAAATTTTTGTCACGAATGTCCATAGACAGTTTATAGATTTCATAGCACTTCATGGATCTTCTTACGAAATTTAGGCTTCCAAATTTTCCTTTAGAACTCGAAAGTTCTCAATGTACAGCGTGTTTCAGTATTGTGTGTGCGCATTAATGCAAATCTCGTTTGCTTTCAAAAAAAATAACATCAGTTCGATAAGAGAGAACAGAGAGTTTCCGTCATAACACTATGACCTTAAAATGAACGCTTAAAAAAGATTTTTGTCGAAATAGCACAATTTTCCTTCTGAATTTTCTTGTTAGGGATATTTAGCCAGGGACTTACCAAATTTACAGTCAGTCAATTTAACGCTGCGTAATTAACATTATTGAATTTGATTTCGTTAGATTTATTTTTTCCTCAACCAAATTATCCAACATTTTAATTACTTTCAAACGATCACAGCAAAGCTATTGTAACTATTAAAGAGTAATTTGATACTTTGTAGTGGAGAAAGTTCAAGAAAGGCCAGCAAAACTGTTCTACTTGGGCTCAGTAACGTTAAAATTGTAGTCTCGATTCATTCAACTCAAAATAACATATATCACGTACCATTTCTTTCTTCAAGGCCAATAACATCTCTTGCGGAGTTTCGTCTCTTTCCTCTGCTTGTGCTGTCATCTTAATCAGTGTGAATAATCTTTTAGTCCCAACAGTACGTCGACCAGTTACTCTGAAAGCTTAGTTGGCGAGATTTCACTCGGCTTTTCGTTCCCAATCTACATTTTAAGTCGTGATTCAACACATTCTCGTAGAACAACCGAATCTCGAGGGCGATGTCAAGAGTACTAAGTGTTGAGCGGCCAGTATCCGACGGTAAATTAAAAGAAAAAGACCGGAGATTAAATAGGTTTTGTCCTGTCTTTGGACTCGACGTTACAAGCTTTATGCGGCCCAGTAGGAAATTATATACACAACCGTTGGATTAACAAAAGATTTGAATGAAGCTAAGACGATGAATCCACAAAAAATATTGTAAACAGACTCAAGACAGAGGCAAGCCATTCAAAGTCAATGATGCTTTCAAAGACTGTCACTTGTTTTGATTGACAACTCACAGTTGCGCAGGTAAACTTGTGAGCGTTGATTCCCAAATATGTTCAATGTTTTGTTTAACTCGTAACGACAAGATTTATTTATGCAAAACAGTTTCTAGTTTGACACTTCACAATACAAAATGAAGTCAGCCCTAAAATTACCGAGAGACTGCGTCAAACATCATGAATGTTTTTGTGTCGAAATTAGTAAGTGCCAAAGAGGTGCAAAGTAACTCGAAGTCAGAAACTGAAAATGTACATCCAGGACGATCACTGCGATGAAGGCGCGACTCATCGATAATTAACTTTAAAACAATTATAAGACCAGAGCTTGTTGCAGGCATTGTTGCCGTAAGTTCCCCTCCCCTCCCCCATTGGGAGTTTTCAGTTCTCAGGCCTCCACACGAGCCAATCATTGGAGAAGAAGGCTTCTCATGATAAGAAACGATGAAAGATAAAAGATACGATGGAGAGAGGTGTGTTAAAAATGAGGTAAGCAGTATGTATTTCTTTGGTTGAGAATCTACAATAACCGAGACATAAACTTGTACAAGTTTACCAAAACAAGTATATTTTGAAATGGAAGGCGACTTAAGCCATATGATTACACAGGATTACTAACATGATTTATGTTTTTATTTTGGAATTGTTGTTTGGGGGAAAAAGGAGTTTGAACGGAACAGACACAAGTACTTGTGCTTATCTCGGGTCAGTTCTATTTTTTTCCTGTTTATTTCCCCCTTAACTGATAGTGCAAATTGGCCGTAAGGAGTTTCTAAAGCTAACTTTTCAAGCGTTAGCCCTTCGTCAAAGCGAATCGAGGAATTGTGGGTTGGGTGTGTTTTATATAAAGAAAAGTGGAGCTACGCTTTTAATCGGGGCACGGTAACGAGAAAAACAAACCGAAAAAAAAACCAATAATAAGTCAGTTGACTGAGAAGCATCCGTTGATGCCGCGAGCAATAGGAAGCTGATTTGAAAGATAAATTTTTGTTTTAGAGTTTTACAGCTTTAAAAACTAAATTATCTTGTGATAACCCAAGTGACGCAGCATCACAGTTTCTTTAGAAACTTACCTCCTTTATTCATGTGACCTGGTAGATCAACTAAATAAAACGTGTGTTATTATGTCTATGATATTGTAATCATATATCTTTTAATCAATCTACAGCCGGTTGTAACGGATCAAATCGCGCAGATTATGTTATTGAGAATATCATTAGAGAGAGTGGGCGTTTGATTAAATGAATGAGAATTTTCCGTGGGGAAATAAGTTCCTCTTAATTTTTTGAGCATGTTTTATCAGTGGCTGTACTGATAAGATAATTTGCTCACCATACTTAGTGATATTACACTGTGTATTTTGTTTATTGTTTATGTCGCCAACATGAAGCTTTAGAATGAGAACCGCTGCTGATTCATCTGAACACCGCTGGCTCTCGGTTACCATTCGAAGAGGAAAATCATTTTTTTGCGGTTTTCCTCCTTTAATCCCATTCTGAACGGCAAGGAAAAGCTGTCTTTCACGACGAAATCCTTAATGTTTGGTTTCTTGAAAACTCTCAGCCGTAATCCATCATTCTTTCGAGATTTATTTTTATAACTCCGCTGAGGAAAACAACAATATGGCTTCCGTTAGTAATCACGGAAACTCCATAGTCATTGAAGACGACAGCCAATTTCAGGAACAACTCAATCAAGCTGGGAACAGACTGGTCGTGGTAGATTTTAATGCATCTTGGTAAGATTATGGATCGCTGTTTTACTACATCAGTTGTCACAATAGACTCAAATTACTTTATTTAAATACGTAAAGTTGTAGTTTGTACTTGTCTGATTCCTGGATCGAAGGTTCTGTCTTGCACAGGAAGTTTTTTTTTCATGGAAGATTCTCGATCGTCTTTCACCTATGCGTGATTAAAATTTTTAGCGCATTGTTTTGTTTTGCTTCAGTTTTTTTGTAATCAGTTTTCTGGTTTTCCGCTGTAACACTGAAATATGAAACAGACGAGCTAGTGGCTACGCACGAGTAACCTAAATTGATTTGTTTAGGAGAACTGAATCACTAATGATTAGAATTATAGTGATCGTGTTTGAAATTACACCTTAGAAAAAGAAATTTGTCATCTTTACTGAAATTGTTTCTCTTTAAGTGTGTTTAAAAACTTGAGATTTGAGTTTCTGAGACCCACCAGATCATTCACGGTTCAAGTTGTTATCTATAAATTTCTAAGTTACTTTGGGTTGAAAACCACAAGTACATGGCTCTCGATACAAGGCGGGACCAGGTGATCGATCACTGCCAATAGCCGCCCATGTCTTGTTATTTGTGCTTTTGAAACTGTTCATTTCTTTTCATTATTTTAAGCCTTTACTTTTGTTTGGGAGACGCCTTCCTCAGATCATAATGAGAAAACTAGTGACAAAAAATCCTAATGTATGATATGATCTCTTTTTGAAATTAATACTTATAAATTGTAAACAATGTATGGATATGCTTTGATATCTGTAGACATGCTCTGAGCAAATAAACCTGAAGGCAAACTTCCCTATCAAATTTTATCTGTTCATATTCAAGAGATTCAGAATATCATAAATGAAGCAGCAGATGGTTAGACTTGAACTATTGTTGAGTGTCTATTGGCTGTTTGTGCAATTATTTGAAAATATGTGTATGTGTTTTCTTTTATTGAAGCCTTCTTTTCCATTTTTTTTGCTTGATCTTTTCAAGGAACTGAAGAAAAGTAACAAAGATGAAAGATGAATTTTTCAGTTTCCATCTTTATCTAAGGATGTTCCTGATTCATTAAATCTTGTTATATTTATTAGATCTTAGACTCTGGCAAGTTCTGTGATGATTAATTTTGTGATCTGTTCTGATTTGTTCATGTAGGTGTGGCCCATGCCGTATGATGGCCCCTGTGTTTTCAAAGTTGAGTGTGAAATATTCAGCAGCTGTTTTTCTGACTGTTGATGTTGAGAAGTGTCAGGTGAGCAATAAATGGAGTGTCATTCACTGTCTGATAATTTTTTTGCAGCATGCAAAGAGAAACAGATAATGAAGAAGGTTTGTCTATACAACCTCTGTACAGGCTTGCTACACACATGCAGAAACCTTGTATATGGTGTACCTCTGCTGTGGATCAATCGACAGAGGATCAGACAGTAAAGTTAGAATGTGTGTAGTTCAGATATGCACAGGAGACTGAGACCATTTCACCCATTTTTCTTCAGGCAAAATACAGATTCCATTTGTGCCCCTTGAGTGATATGCTTTGAACTGTAAATGCCAACTTAAACCTTTTTACACCCAAGACCTTATAGTTAATTCTCCCCTCTAGCTGCTACATATTTCCTCATAAATTAGTTACAAGAATTTGTTGTTAGATCAAGATAACAACCACCTGATAAGTTTGAGTATTCTCATTACCTGTTTGCTGAATAATCTATGGATATGATAGGGAGAAGTTACCTGTTAACCCTTTAACTACCCTGAGTGACCAAAACAGAATTTCTCCTTACAATGTCACTACAAAATCAAGAAGACAAGTGATGAGAACCAAGAAAAGTATCAATTAGGGGATTATAAGTTGATCCAATACCAAATTCTCAGAAGTAACTTCAGAATAATTGTATAGGAGACAGTAAGGAGAATTACTAATGAGATCTTGGGAGTTAAAGGTTTAGTCATGTCTAGGAGTTAAACGGATCAAGCAAATGTCTTCTCCCTTGAGTTAAGAGGTACTGTAAGTAGTTATTACCTTTTTATTGGTGTTAATTGTCTTTTTGTTTATTTTATTCTTTCTCTAGAGGACTGTTGTACAGCAGGGAATCAGTGCCATGCCAACATTCTTCTTCTTCAAGAACAGAAAGAAAGTGGATGAAATGCAGGGAGCGAACCCCAAAGGCCTGGAAGACAAAATCAATCAGTGGATTGGAGGCGCTGTGGAGACAATGGTAATTATGTCTTTATTAATTGTTTATTGCCAATTTTATTTGAAAGTCAGCAGGTAAGACACTAGTTTGTTTCTCAGCTGATACACAGGGCTGGGACAAGTCCAGGAGTGAGACAGGAGGGGGGTGGAGTAACCTTCTTTTGAACACAACAGGCTTGAACAATTTGAAGGGAACAAGGGGTAGTAGTCTTGTATACTGTGCTTTCCATCTTTCCTCAACTTTGATGCCAGCTGCTTACTCTTAAATTGAAAAACACTGCAAATTAATTCTGAAGCATTCTTGCAATTGTACATTTATTTTTCCCTTTCTGCACTCTCCTCACCAGTCACCTTAACCTAACCTGCCCCCTTCCCCCCACCTTTTCTACTGGGCTCTTGTTCCCTGTCCTCTCCTCTGTCCTCTAACTGGTTTTTACAGGTTTTTACATCAGAGACTGAGCTTCAGAAGATTTGTTGCAATCTGAAGTAAAACCTTCTTCTGATAGATTTGCAGGAACACATTTGGAGATCGCAAGGATCCCACCTTATACTATTACCCCTAAACTTTTGGACTAGAAAAACTTGATGAATTCTGGAGAAGGGTAGTCACCCCCACCTAGAAGCTGTGATACCAACTTTCACATCATGCTGTAGAGACTGGAATGAGCTACAGCACTGTAGCCTGCTTTGAATTTGTGTAATATCTGTCAGTGGTCTTCATCCTTTTTTTGCTTGTACTTTATGTTATTAATGTGACTTTCCATGTTTTATTTCAGTCTGTGGATCCTAAGAGAGTTGCAACAGGTCGTAGCTGGGACTGTTTTGAACAGCTCCTGGACAACCCGCAGGAAGTCTTCATGGATGTGTCACAGCTTCTGCTTAGGTTTGCATCCAACATCATCAACAATCCTGATAATCCAAAGTACCGAACCATTAAAGTCAGCAACAAGATTTTCCAGTCACGGCTTCTTCCAGTAAATGGAGCTGTGGAATGCCTCTTCACCATGGGATTCAAAGAGGTAGTACTGATCAAAACACTTGAGTTTTATCAGGGCTGTTGATATGTTTAAAGTAGGTGGCCATGTTATTGTGAGGCCATGTTGTTTCATAAGGTTATACTCACTAGTTTCAAAGGCTATAATAAGTTTGGAGGGAGACCACAAAACCCAAAATCCCTGTCATTTGGAAACTACTCAGTTAAAATTTTCTAGGCATTCCATAAAGTTTGGACCTACCTTTGAACAAATTCTAAATATTGAATTTAAAAAAAAGAGGTTACAGGTGAATTATGCATTCAGTTCCACTAAAAACTGGAAATTGGTTGTTGTGCAGATTTTGTGTATGGTATTTTGATAATTGTATGATTATTTTTAATAGCAATTATGGTAAGATTAGGTAAAAATAACTTGCTTAAGATGGCAATTAACAATTTGTGTCTAATTTTGCAGAGAGGTGATCAACTAGTGTGCCCACAAGGTGAATCCTTAGAAAAGATGTTGATTCTTCAGGATGCGTTGAATGACGAGAGAAGTCGTCATAGCACTGCACAGGAACTTGAACCTACTCCAACTCCAGCACCAGTCAACCAACCTCAAAGCAATGGTCCTTCCTGTGCACAACCAACTATTGTTTCCAGTCCAGCTGCTAATCCATCGGTAATGATTTTGTCTTCTCTTCAAATAACCCCTTGTTAAAAATAAGAAGAGGAAGGAGGCACGATGCCCCAGTTGTCCTTAAGATCAGGGGCACAGAACCAATCCCTGAATGATCATTTTGTTGGTGTTCCTTGATAAGATGCTCAATTATTGCAGTGCCTCTGTTACCCTAGGATTATAAACAAGTAGCGTTGTCAAATGAATTATCAAAGAAACCTGAATTCCATCCAGGAGAATCAGAAGTAGTCCAGAGTGCTCCATAATTAAAAGAATGTGATTCTAAGCAGTGGTAGATTCAGATGGTGGGTAGAGGTCGTTCAGAGTACACCAACCCCCCACTCCTGTCATATCTTTGGGTTTTTACACTACTTGTCTGACACCAAAATTCTTGCAATAGAAAGAAGGCTTCTTACTTCTCTATAGGCTGATTTTATAGTGAAATTGAGACTAAAAAGGGGGACTAGGAGGGGAGTGTTGGTTGAGAAGTAGTCTAGGACCCCTCCTGATTTCACTCTGTTTGAATAAAAATGTTTTTGGATGGAGATATTTTTATTTCTTTAAGAGGGTTTAACATCAGCACGGTGTCCAAGGGTTCTTTACTTTCAAGAACAATCCTAATGAAAAACTCTCTTCATTTTTTGTTATTATAGGACAAGGAAAGGGACTTTCTTTTGAGACTTCATAGCTCGTTACAACATGTGCTTCTTTACGAAGATAAAGATTTGCAACGAAGAGCGCGGGAAATGATTCCCCTGGCTGAGTTAGAGAGGAGAGCTAAAGAGGCCAGCGAGAGAACTAAGCAGGGAGGGGATGGTGGGGTAGATGAAAGAGATTGCCTTGTGTTAGAACTTCTCAATTGGTTTAAAGGTAAATGTACAAAAATAACAAATTATCAGCGGTCTAGCGTGGTCTGTACTCTTATCGACAACTGTATTCGTGATCACAGTGGTCAAAATGATTTGGAATTACGAGGTACAATCACAATCTTAACATCAAATGAAACGATTCTATCAGTACGTGACCATTGCGTGACACGTTGACGCGAGAGGCGTTGTTTGTACTCTTATTGACAACGCAAAATTGGCCGGTCAGATTGCGACTAATTGGCCAATCAGATTACAATCAATTGTGGTAGAATATGAATTTGCTTCATGTTCTATGTATCCGAGGTGGCATAGATCAGCTACAATGTAAATTGACAGCGTTTTCTTTCTTATGTTCCAGGTACTTTTTTCAAGTGGGTGGACAAACCTTCCTGCCCGTCATGTGGTTCTCTGACGTTCGCTATTGGTGTGGTTCCCCCGACACCTGAGGAAATGGCCTGGGGGGCTGGGAACGTGGAGAGTTATAAATGTGTTTACTGTGGAAAGGTTGCAAGATTCCCAAGATACAATCACCCTGCAAAACTTTTAGGTGAGAATGTGCGACAACATCTTTTCAGTCAACAATTCATTTTTATTGAACAAATAGATTCCCTGTTGCCGTATATCTGTACAGCAATAGATCACAGATGGCGTCAAAATGCGGTAGAAAAAAAAATGGCTTGCAAGGCGCAGCCGAGTGTGTCACTGAAATTCTTGTCATTGACTTTATGTTTTTATTCATTCATTTGTAGAAACACGCAGAGGCCGATGCGGTGAATGGGCCAATTGTTTCACATTATGCTGTCGAGCTGTAGGATTTGAGGCGCGACACATTTTGGATTGGACAGATCACGTATGGACAGAAGTGTATTCTGAAGCTCAGCAGAGATGGTTGCATTGTGACTCCTGTGAAAACGCCTGCGATAAACCGCTGCTTTATGAGGCTGGCTGGGGAAAGAGACTCAGTTATATCATAGCGTTCTCTCATGAGCAGGTTAGTATGATAGCTGCAGTTGTAGATCATTCAACAATAGGAATACTCGACATTTATTTTTCATGCTGTGCGTGTTTAATTTGGATATAGGTTTTGGATGTGACATGGCGATACTCTGCCAAGCATGAGGAGGTGAAAAAGGCGAGAAATTTAGTGTCAGAAGCCTGGTTAGTGGAGACGTTGAACAGAATGACTGAAGAGGTGAGATTCAGCGTGGGTAAACATGCGACAGTGAAAGGAAGGAAAACGAGAGAAAATAAGTCATTTGCGAAAAGCGCGGGGAAAGGATCAGCGGCGAGAAACAGAGGAACGAATAGCTGGTCAAAAGCGCAGGAAAATGAAGAACTGATGGTGATTGGTGAACTAAAAGCCTGTCGAAAACGCCAGAGATTGTGGGTAACGAATAACGGGCGAGAAAGGCGGGAAAACGAGTGACGGGTGAAAAAGGCGGGAAAACGAATAACTGGCGTCGAAGACAGGAAAGCGAGTAACTGGCGAAAAAGGCGGGAAAATGCATAAAAGGAGAGAAAAGTCGGAATACGAATAACTGGCGTAAAAGGCAGGAAAACATACAATATCCGAGTCAATGGTTGGAATTAACTCGTTAAAAGAACTGTTGAAAATAAATGACAAAAGGCGCTCATTCGCTAGTTTCTGGGATTAATAAGTAACTTTAAAAGCAGGAAAAACAGCTGACCGTGACAGTCAAATTAGTGTACATAATTTGGCTTTTGGAAAAGACGAGGGGATGTACTGTAAGCGTCAATTTTAGAGCAGGCGCGGACATCTGCATCAGCAGAAATTTATGGGTTATCCTTCACCACCTCCTTGCCACCTTCACCAGCTTACTAAAATATATCGTTAATTTTTAGCATCAAAGAAACCTTAGTGAAGCTAGGCGAAAAGTTTTGGCGGAGCGTCAGGTGAAGGAATTGGTTGAGTTCTTTACCATAAAGTCTGTGCGTCATGATGAACTGCAGGGTCGAGTGTCAGGTTCTTTGGCCTGGAGGCTGCTTCGAGGCGAAACAAAACAACAAGCAGATGAAGAGAAGGTGAATCATAAACTGCCTGTTTTCTGCCCTTTTCTGTTAATGCAAAATTACACCCACCTCGAGAAGGAGACTGTAAAACGTAAGTCTGTTAGGATAGAAAATTACAGCTGAGGCAGGAATAGACAAAGAAGGAAGAATGACGAAAAATAACTCGGATTACAAATGATGATTGAAAAAAATTCGCAAACGGAAATGTAGCTTCATCCACAGCCTTATTTCCAGCTCCCCTGTCTTTCCTTCCCCAAGTTATCATGTATGTGTATTTTGAATAAGTTCTTCTGCTCAGTTGCTTGAAAGATGTTTCCTGTCTTTTCTTCTTCCCTTTTAGCACGAGCCTTATATTTATAAACCTACTGACGAGGAAATCAAGGAAAAAAGGTAGGAACAGAAATATCAACGTAATCGAAACGAGTCGTTTGGTGACAAAGTCCAACGGCTTTATCGCACGAGCCCGGGTTGAATTACCGCAAAGAGTGCTGACAATGTTCAATCGTGAAACGAGCCTGAGTTGGCCAACTGGACAATAATCTTCACTCCCCCACTGTCGACCGCCAAATTACAAATTTCTTTCTCTCCACAGCCTTCCGTTGCTATTAAAATCAAAGATGGCGGTCATAATTTTCGTTAGGAAATCACTGAGCACTCTCTCGCCAAAATTACGCTTGCTCTGCAGGCCAGACTTACAAAGGGGTCTGGTTCTTTAACCCTTTGTCGCCTAAGAGTGATTAGAATCGAATTTCTCTTTACAACATCACCCATTAATAACACAATAAGGTCGCGAGAATGAAGGAAATGATTACCAACTAAAGAGGCTCTTGATTGTTAAACAAATTCTTCTCGTCGGCACCGTAGGAAATGTATAGAGAACAGTATAGAGAATATGCATACTGATGCCAGGGTGTGGAGAGTAAATTTAAACCCTGGTTGGTTTCAGTTTCGCTGTATGGCTGAGGAGAAAGTGTGCGTCTTCAAGATCAGCCAGGGAGTGTATTGAAGCGAAGTAATTGTAACCCGCTTTCTTATCAACACTCAATTGAAAATTGACCCTACTCGCTTTTTTTCTCTCCTTGTAGACTACGCCTGTGCTTTAATTGCGTGATGAATAAATATTTCCGAGGTTATGATAGAGAGTTAGATCTTTCTGGTTGGCAGTCGAGAGTGGCTTCATTCAGTTCTATCACACGTAAAGTCGAGAGGGACTGGAAAATGGTAAGAGTGTGCGTTAACAAATCTTCGGTTATTGAAAAACTACTTTATTAACACAGTTTATTGCGAACATTTGACATCTAAAATCTAAGTTCTTTCACTACCCTTTCAGGTTTACCTGGCGCGAACAGAAACTGTTTCAACTGGCCATATAACCTGGCAAATAGATTTAAATTCCTGTGATCTTGTGATCGACAGTGTTACAATAATAGCTAGGAGCGACACTTTTCAGACTGGACGGGTGGACTGGAAACTAAGTGGGGATGAGGAGAGTCAAGTAGAAATGCTATCAGGAGGTGTGTGTTCTCCTTACGTTATCTATGAATCTACTCAATAGATGAGTAATGAGGTGGATTAAGGAAATCGTCACTGAAAGGAACTCTTCATTTGCAATTTAATATTTGTACTTTTGTGCGTTATTTATACAGTAAATCGTGAAATGTTCGACGCGCTCTCCAGTGGCGGGAAAATCAATAACTGCAGACGCGTCCTGCCATGAGTGGGGGATTTGCAACGTGTTCTGCAATGGCGGAAAAATTCAGGCGGAAAAATTCAGGCGGAACGCTCCTTGCAAAGGCGGGAAATTTATGACGGTTTTCATTTTCTTGCACTGAGTTACTTTTTGGATAAAAAAAAAGAAAAAGATGAAGAAAGACAAACTGCTAAAGCGCCATAAGTTCGTGAATTATGGTTGTTTAAAATCAACAGCATGGTTTTTATTCAACATTCATCATCTACCTTTTAACAGGCCAGGAATCCACCATAACGTCCGTACTCAGTGGCTCCAAAACTCTCAAATTGACGGCCACGGTCAGTGGCGGGAAAGGAGACGTTGCTTGGCAACACGCTCAGATTTTCCGTCAGTCATTCAGCAGTCAAAGTGAATATCCCTTGGATATCTTAGTCTCTATGAAAGAACCTTCACGTAATACTCATCTTTAAGGCTTGTGACCCTAGAGTTTGTTGCTACAGTAAAATCCTACTGAAATAAGCTCGTCACACGAGCAAATTGTTAACAACACAGTTGTCAAACTCGAACATGCGAAAGGGCATTAATCCAGGCCGTCCGTGTGTCAATTTCCCGCGCAAAATTCTAAAGGAAAACCTAAGAAACAACCGTTGTCTTGCAGAATAAGGAAAAGAAAATTTAAACGTTCATCGATATCTGTAATTGGGAAAAAAAGTAAGGAAGGGGAAAACTCGTGACTTATCGAACACAAAACCTTTTCAAATACGGATATCCCGTTGAATTTAGCTTTACCAAAATTACTCTGTCAACTCTAAGATATCAGTTGGCTGAAGTAAATCAGTTTTTTTTTTTATAACGAACCCCGATATAACCAAGAAACTTCTTAAGACCAGCCATTCGTAAAAGCAATGTTTGAATGTCATAGAATGCTTTCGTTTCTTGTCAAACCGAACGAGTTTTTTACAGTAGGGTTTTACTGTAGTTTACATTTACTGTAGCTTATATTTAACAGATAGCGGAAAACTTAGTTCATTACATTTTATAGGAGTCAAAATATTTAGTTGTCTAGTCGAATTTACTCGTTTTAAGAATTCATTCTCGACTTTTTCTTTGCATTTTCTGTCTGCATTTATTCGTAACTTCTGTGGCAGTTTCCAGACTCATTAATAGTAAGTAGATATGATGCAAGTACAGTAAGATTTAAATTCACCAGAGTGTAGAGCTTAATGAAGAAAAGAAATTAAATTCTTAACAGGAGGAACTTGTGATATGCATATGGTAGGTTAATTAAAATGAAGTTTAGAATAAAGTATGTGATTTAAAAAAATTTGCGTGGGGCTTATTTATCTTCGGCCATCCTCCTCGGTTTCTTTTGGTAAAGGTAAATCGTTACCTTTTTCTTGTTTTATGTCTTACCGCACTGTAATTTTGTTGTCTTCTTCAAGCTGTTGTTTTGCACGACACAAATTCGAATTGGCCTCGTTAGCGGTACGTCTTTTATCTCATCGAGCTAAGGTTTTGTCGGCAAAGGCTTGGTAGGTGATGAACTAAACACTGGTCCCCAGTCCTTGAGCTACCTGGTTTGGCTACCCAAATGGACTATACCCTCTGAATCTTCGGTATTTCGCTAGCCATGGAAAAACGTCAATAAAATGAGGCGATTATTTTAAACTGTTTAAAAAGTTCTTCCTACAAAAAATAGCTCGAAGTCATGTAAACTCCCTCAGTATTGGTCATGAAGTAACGCGTGATATCGATAATATTCACTGTTTTGTGCTTCAGTGTGTAGATTGACGCAGATATCTGCCATGCACATCGGAGATTTTTCACAGGTAGCCATCTCACGTCTCTAGATTTAGTGATACATGTAGTCCACAGCAGCAAGGTGATCTAAAGCGAAACAAACAGACACGGCATGTTGTATGACCCGACACGTTGCTATTGCACTAAAAAAGAGTGAACGTGTTTACAAGCGACTTTGGAGGTGAAGCTCGAAGCAGAAACAATACGGTATTGTTTCCTTACTCGGAACTGGTTAGATCAAATGACCACCACAAACCGTATAATATCAAGCCAAGCTTTATTAATTATTCGATCTACAAGAAAAACATTTAGAATTCGCAATCAGAACAAAGGAAATCAAGTCGTAATCTCGTAGCTAAATTCAAAAACTTCAATGTAAACTTACTTCTGTGGCGGGTCGTTATAACAGTTTCACTTTACAGGTTAGCAGATTCTCCAGGTAAGCCGATTTAGAGACAGAAAAAATGACAACAGAATAACTTTTTCCTTACTTCGATTCCGCTGAAAAACTGACTTGAAACATTATAATCTAACACTTTTAAATCAATCTATAGAATTAATGTCAATCACGATTATTGTCATTGAGTAAATCTATAAACAAGAGGCGACGCCTATTTAATAGACGTAACAGGTAATAGCATTGAAGACCATTGAAGTGGACAAAAGTATTAAGTGAAATAAGGGGTACTGAAACTAAGTAGACAGCGGAAACGATTTATTGCCATTTCCCGCGCTGACTCGAAGTTGACATTTGACTTTAAACTAAAAAATATTGTATGTAAATAACGAGGCACGTGCAGTTTAAGTATAAGTATATAGATAGCAGTGCTTTCAATAGAACTCATTCGAAATAGGATTTTGTGAGGTTAGTCCATTTTAGGGTAGTTCATCTGAATAGTTCTTGGACCGGAGGTCAGTGTTTACTCCATCACCAGGCTTTGTAAGCCTTGGCTTTCATCTTACCGGTTGATGTTTAATCGAAATGTCACTGCATTGGGAGAGGTATATGCTGCCAGGGGTAAATGCTCAGCATTATTTCCCAGATTTACTTTGAGAGTACATCAAAAGTAGTAAATTCACTTATTTTACGACAGAAAACGTTAGTAATAATGACTTTAACTGCCTACCAAGCATGCTTCGTTAAGTAAGCGAGTCCACGCCCACGATTATCTGGGCCAGCAGTTTTGTGAAAGTTTCTAATGATATAAGTATGTCATGTATGAAGACTTATGTTGTACCGAATACACAGGTGCATTGTTGACGAAGATGATAAAGAATTTAATCTTTTGGCTGTTTAGATGGTAAAGTGTGAAGTTTTTTATGTCTTATTTGGTGAAGTAATTTTCATATTGTAATGATAAGCTTTTTGTTGTTCCATTTCCATTTCTTTGAAATTCAATTAGCTTTTTCCGTGGCAGTTTCTCAGCCTTTAAATTTTGCTATCTTTGGGTCTAGAGCGCAAATATACCGTAGTTCTACTTTGTTATCGTAGCTGGAAATGGAAATGTTTTCTTTGTATCCGTCATACCTTGTGATCTTTTTCTGAATGTTACAGGTTTTCCTATATTTCGTGATGATTTAGCATTCACATTACGTAAACTTTTGATATACGTGCAAATTATTTCACTTTCGAAGATTTTAGATTCGGATAATTTGTCATAATTCCAAATTTTCCTAAAAGAGGTCTACGTCATGTTTGGTGTTTATGTCAAATGTATTTCCACGTTAAAATAAAGTATGATACAGATTTTAACCGTCACTGCTTAACAAAAAATTTTGTCACGGATAATTTTAAGTGTCTTCTATAAATTGCAAACATTCGTCGAATACAAGGTTAATTTGAAATATCAAGGTAAGGTAAAGGTCAAGCTTGAGCCATCCGATTCATCATGAGTAGTAACTTCTAATCAGACTTTGTTTTCTTTACACGATCTGATCGTAGGTAAAACAAGATGGACGTTGTAACTTTAGACCGTCTTCAAGCAGAGGTATGGTCCCTTAAATAATTTTTTGTTCTTGTTACTTCAAGAGTTATAACTTTGTGTTAAAATGGTTTAGTCGTGTTGTGGTAAAGTTTCCGCACAGCCCCATACCACATTATGCATTTAGTTCTTGGATAGAGAAAACAATGACAAAAACAATACATTGCCATTGGGAAAACAGATTTGTTTAACAATAGTATGGGGCTGTGCGGAAATTTTACCAAACCAAATTTAACCAGAATTAAACCAGGGAAGTTCAAAAATGGGACAATTGTATAGAGGATATAAATGAAGACTGAATTACTGGTTATTACTTACATACAGTCAAACCTGTATCAAGAGGCATGGTTTTAAGCAACACTCTGTATTAAGCAATCAGTTTTCAAAGTCCTGAAAATTTTACCCAATAATTACAGCAATTTTTACCTTTGTTGACCCTTTAATACCTAAGAGTGACAATGTTCAAATTTCTCCTTCCAATATCACCCCTGAAAAAAGTTTTAAGGCACAGGAATAAAGTTCTCCTTGTTAACACGTTAGGAAATGTATAGAGAGCAGTATAGAGAATATGCATACTGATCTTAGGGTGTAAAGGGTGAAGCAGTCATAGTCTACTAGGTCCCAATGACCTGTTTCTATTGCCCTTCACTAGTATTCAATAATCTTTTTGATAAAACTAAATCAATATTTATCTCCGGAAATCGATGTTGGTGGTATTTTTTAGTGTTTTTTTGCATATTGAGTGTTCAATTATGGTATAAAATGATTATCATTTCTTGGTAATACCCTATTCTGTGGAACTCATATGAAGCCATTACCCAGCCATTGCCAGTGGATGATTGCATCATACTCAATTTCTGTAAATGTTGCATTTGTGATACTCTGACATATGTACATTAAAAAAATTTTATGTTCTTTAAAAACAGAATGAAAGATACTTTTTTGCAAGGCTTCAGAGCCAGGATGAAGTGGTTCAACTCTATGAACAACCTAGCTTACAGCAGCAAGCACTTGATTTGATGCCAGTATCTGCAATGAGAAAAGAGGCAAGAAAGGAAAGTGAACAAACGGGAAAGGATGAGAGGGATTGTTTAATGAATCAGGTCAACAAATGGTTTTATGGTATGTACACATAGCCTTTGGAATATTTTTAGTATTCATATTCTCCACACTGTTTTTGAAACATTTCTTATGGTACTGACAAGGTGAATTTGTTTGACAATCAAGAGCTTCTTAAATTCAGGTGATCATTCCCTTCAGTGACATGACCCAAAGTTTATATCTGATTCAAGTGCGAGGAGATATTAGAACTCAGTCACTATGAAAGGTTAAAGGAAATATTCTTCAAGACTGAGTTGGTAAATAGCTCAGGCACTCAAAATGCCTCTAGAGTTTCTTGTAGTATCTGAAGAGTTTTCCAATCTGATGCCTCATGAGTGTCCAACGACAGGCATTCTCTTTGTTTTTTAAAAATCCATATTCAGGCTGTCTTTAGATCAGATAATTTGCTTAGTCAACAGATTCACATCCATCCCAAAGATGCAAAAATCCTCGCACATGATGTGACAGAACATCACAAGAGGCTTTTTAGAGTTAGGGTTGTGTTTCTCTACTTTAAACAAGGATGCCACTAAGTAAAGGAAACTGCTTCATTGCTCTTAGATAAATTTTACTTATACATCATGTTTGAATTTAGGTTCATTTTTTCGCTGGCTGGATAAACCAAAGTGCTCATGGTGTGGCACAGTAACAAAAAACATAGGAATACTTCCCCCCACAATAGAAGAACAAAGGTGGTTAGTTGGACCTGTAGAGGGATACAAATGCCCTTACTGTGGGACAGATGAAAGATTCCCAAGATACAATCATCCAGCAAAGTTGTTAGGTATGTAAGTATAAAAATGTGTGGGTTAAAGAGTGAATCGCACCTCTTATGAAAAATTGGGATCATACCACTTTGAATCATGCATGTTATCAAATGTGAGATTACACATCTTTGTTTTTGCATGGGACTTAACCATCAAGCATTAATCCATGAGTGAAAAATTTTAAAATGATTAGATTTTATATTTTAGTGGTGTTATTCATATCCTACACACTGTTTTCTAAACATTTCTTATGGCAAGGCAGGTGAAAGAAATTTTCAAACTGACGGAGTAATCCTTTTATGTGTTGTGTCAGTATCTGAGAAACTGCATCCCTACCCCTCCCCAAGCTCAACATTAACCCTTTAACTCCCAGAAGTGATTAACATAAAACTTCTCCCTACAATATCCAAACATTCTTCAGCAAACAGGTAATGGGAATATTCAAACTTATCAGGTAGAAGCTGCAATCTTGATCTAGCACCAAATGCTCATAGCTAATTTACAAGGAAATGTGTAGCAGCTACAGGGGAGAATTAACAATCAGATCTTGGGAGTTAAAGGGTTAACCCTTCCTTGTTATCAGGTGATTGTTGTCAGATTGGGTGAGGGGTAAGTGTGCAGTTGCTCAGATACTGACATTGATCCTTAAAAAATATATAGTTCCTTAACCCTTTACACCCTAACATCAGTAAGCAAATTCTCCATACTGTTCTCTATACATTTCCTAAGGAGCTACCAAGAAGAATTTGTTTAACAATCGAGAGCTTATTCAGTTGATTATCATTTCCTTTATTCTCCAGACCTTAATGTTTGATTCAGGAGTGACTTTGAAAGGAGAAATTAGATGCTAGTCACTCTCAGGGATTAAAGTGTTAATAGTGACATGCTTCCAAGATTTTTGGCCTAACTGGATAAACATGCATGAACTCAGTACCAATGCAGTGCTAAAGAAATATAAACTTGAAAATTGGATAAGTCATGGACTAAGAATTATGCATTTTGGAGAGGCCTGCATGTTGTAATATACAATTAACTTCCCTCAGAAACCCGTTGTGGCAGATGTGGTGAACATGCAAACTGTCAGGCCTTGCTGCTTCGCTCCATGGGTTTTGATGTTCGTCATGTCACTGATTGGACAGATCATGTATGGGTGGAAGTTTATTCTTATAAGGAGCAGAAATGGGTTACTTGTGATAGAGATTACTTTAGCCGTGAGAGGGAAGGAAAGAAGTTGAGTTATATCATGGCAGTATCTAATGAAGAGGTATGCCGGTATATGTTGCATGTATTGCAATGAAAAGAAATTAGTAATGTTGCACTTTTTGTAATAGTAACTTAATCTTTTCTCTCCCCAGGTCTCTCTCCTCACTGTCTGTTACACAATTCTTATGATGTTAGTTCAGAGAATTAGCATTGGACTAAGTTTTAACCCTCTAACTGATATTTTTCTTTGTTCTCATCACTTGTCTGCTTGATTTTGTATCGGCATTGTTAGGAGAAATTCTGTCTTGATCACCAATGAGAGTTAAAGGGTGAATTAAACTGATGAACAGAATGTTAAACTTAGAATCAGCAGTTTTTACTGTTACATGTTTTGAATTTAATTTTGCTGCAGGAGTGTCATCATTTTCATTATTTTAAGCTTTTAGTTTTCTTTTCTACATATTGTTGTTACTTTTCAGTGTACAATAAATTGCAAATTCTGATTCTTTTTCCCCCTTCAGACTGTGGATGTGACATGGAGATATTCAACCAAACAGAATGAAGTCATGCAGCGAAGATTACATGTCAGCGAGGAATGGCTGGCAAGAGCATTAGCATTTCTAAATTACCAGGTCAGTTGCTCCTTTCAACCATCTTGCTGGGAATAATCACTACAAGGCTGTGACTAGCACAAAATTTTCCATGTTTTACCAAATTTGGACCATCAGGGCCTGTGCCTTGTCAGTCAACTCAGAGTGAAGCTTCAATTAAACTAAGGGAATTGTTCATCAACTGTGCACTTATTTCTTCCCTAATCCAATATTAAAACTACTCGTTATCACTTGACTATGGTGGGGTTAGGGGAGGGGTTGGTGCCTAGTGCTCAGAAACAGACATGGATGTGCTTTTGACAGGTTAAATGTGAACTGACCAATCACAATAAAGCTTAGCACGCACACACACTCACAAAAAAATATTTCTCAATTTCAAAAATGTTTCTGATGTTCATAGTTATCTTACAAAAAGTATATCTGTTAACCTAATAACTAGTTACTTTTCTGACTCATGGATATTAAACATGGCTATAATCACTGTTTCAATATTGTCTGTTTATAATTTTTATAGAAGCAACAAAAACTCTCCCCTGCAAGGCGTGAAACACTCAGGGAACGTTCAGCTCTGGAATTGGCTGAGTTCCTTTCAAACTATCAGAAACAACTTGAACCCAAGGTAAATTAAACTATTCTTTCTGTGTGACATATCTCTTTATCAAAGATAGGCCGGGCTCCTTTCCACAAACACAAGTTTTTATCTCACCAGAACAATGTATTCCCAGTTTGTAGCTGTTGCTTCTGCTTCACCCTTCATGCCCCAACATCAGTATGCATATTCTCCATACTGTTCTCTATACATTTCCCAATGGGCTGACAAGGAGATTTTGTTTTACTATCAAGAGCTACTTTAGTTGCTGATCATTTCCTTAATTCTCACAACATGAGCTAATGGATATGGTGCTATAGAAACCCTTCATTGTTGATATTGTTATTATTTTGCCTGTAAATGGGATTATAACCTTTTTGGTCAGAGTGAGATCCTTTGCTTTTTTGTCTTTGATTTTTTTTAACTCTTATGAACAGCTTTAGAGTTCTTTTTTAACTGTCTTTTGTTTTACTTTACGTTACAGTACACGCCTTATACATTTACACCCACTGATGAAGAAATCAACAGCAAAAGGTAATTTTTAACCTTATATAAACATGATTTACATTTTAAGGAATTTTTCTTGAACTCTTTGATCTGATTATTTAAACAAAGTTTGCCTTTTTTTTTAAAAAAAACTGCATCCTATTCAATCCTTGATTTAGCTGGACCTTTTATCTGTACATTTATTTTTGTGAACAGTGTCAAGAAGGCTGAAAGCTTACAGTAGAAGGACATTTATTGAACCCTTTAACTCCCATGAGTGACCAAGACAGAATTTCTCCTTACAATATATATACAATATCAACCGGATAAGTGATGAGAATAAAGAAAAATATCAATTTGGGGATAATTAGTTGATCCAATACAAAATTCTCTGATTAACATTAAAAGAATTGTATGGTTGACAGTAAGGAGAATTACAAATTTGATCTGGGAGTCAAAGGGTTAATTAATTCAACCCTCCTATGGAGAAAGCCTGAAGTTCACTGATTGTGTAAAACTGTGGTTTGGGTCAGAACTCCTGTGAATAACTGGCCCTTTGTATTTAATTTAGTTACCTCTGAAAAAAAGATTTTGTAATTCTTCCTGCTTCCTTCTGTGAATTCTCTTCTACATTAGTACATACATAGAATTTGGTGTTTTATCAAAATAACACCCTTAAGCTAATAACTTAGTATTTCTTTGCATTTTCTTTTTTCCCAAAAATTTGTTTCTCTGCATACATGAACCAACTTTTACTCTCAATTTTTCCCCTAAGTCCTCAATTACTGAAAAATTTATCGACACATTCATAAGTGTCAGCTGGATGATGTACCCATCATCTTCTTTCCTGATGTGAACAATGTCACCTAGGATTGTTTATCTCCAGGCATGCTTTGGTGAAACAGAACATGAAACTGGCTGAGAATCTAAATTATGAATTTTCCTTTTTAAGGTTACAGGTGCAGTATTGTTGTGCAAGTGACAAATACCGCAGGGGACCCAAAATGGAGACATTCTTGCAAGGTTGGAAGTCTGGGGCAGCAGCTGTGAAGTCAGTCTTCAGGAAATATGAACATGATTGGACAACAGTGAGTTTAATATCATATTTGTTGCATGAGAAATGCAGGTGTCATAGTCCACTTACAAGCAGAGTGACAGAATCTAACTTGAAGAATCTCCCCTTTTACTCATTTTACTCCTAATTATCTTCCTGTCAATCATCACCCTTCCTTCTTCCCCTGTCTTCTTTGCGTTTCTTGTTTTATTTTCTTTCCTCCCTTCCTCTTCCTCCTTCTCCTCATGTTGTTACTTTATACACTCCTCCTTCTTCCCCTATTGCACTTCTGGCTACTTTACCACCTCTTCCTGTATTTTTTTCTGCTCCAAAAGCTTTTCCTCTTTTTCTTCACCTCCTCCTCTTCCGCCTGCCCCTACTTCTCCTTGTTTTCATCTCCATCTATACCCCCTCTGTACCCCTTCTGTACCCCCTTCTGTACCCCCTTCTGTACCCATCTTTACCCCTTCTGTACCCCATCTTTACCCCTTCTGTACCCCATCTTTACCCCATCTTTACCCATTCTGTACCCCATCTTTACCCCTTCTGTACCCCATCTTTACCCCTTCTGTACCCCATCTTTACCCCCTCTGTACCCCTTCTACTGTTTTTCTTGCTTTATACTATCCCTTTCCTCTTCCTCTATCTTCTCTTTTCAGCATTATCATTATCTTAAAGCAATTATCATAAAAATCCATGCAGGTACTCAACTATCTTCGTTCTCGTGGAGTGAAAGAAGCTGATCTAACAACGTTAAGGAAAGGAAATGTAAGTAGACTAATGTAAGTGATTAGTATCTTATTTCTCGTTGCAATGTTACCCCTGAATCAAATGTCTAAGAACCAAGAATAAAGGAAGTGATCACCAACTTAAGAAGCTCTTGTTTGTTAAACAAAGTCTCCTTGTTAGGAACAAGCTTTAGAACCTTTTCAGTCAGATCCATATGACAAAACTTTGATCAAGATCTTACTCAACATTTGTTAATGTGGATATAAGACATTGTACCTAAAATCTCATTTTTTTGATATTATCGTATGATCTGTGAAAAAATCTTTATCAGGGTAAAAGAATCTGTGAAAAGAATCTTTTCCAGGGTTTATCTTCAAATAAGATTTTCCATGATATTTCCATAGAGCTAGGTTGAACTTGGAAGTAGTTAAGGATAGGATTAGGAAGGAGCAGATTATAATCGATTGAATGTAATCATTAGAATGAAATAATTATGTGAACTGAGACCTATGACAGATTTTAATTTTATCAAGTTTATACTATATTGTAGGAAAAGAATTTTAGTGAATTAAAATTTATATTATTTGCTTATTTATTTCTCATAATTACCAAGCAAGTGCATGAAGAGGTGAGGGAAATATTTTTGTATTTTTTTTTTTACAGGCCTTCCTCTCTCGTCTTCCTTCTTCGCCAACTGGTTTGGTTTCATGGGCAATGGATTTCTCTACCTCTGGTTTGGTGATCGACACTATCACCATAATAACTCATTGTGAGACAATGGAAAGTGGAAAGGTAGACTGGAAACTAGAGGGAGATGATGACGTCGTAGAGAATCTGAGCTTCAGCAGTCAGCGTGGTATGTGTTATTTACTGTCAAACTCAGAAAACCATGAGCACCTGAGATACATGTATGGTTGGAATGTTTATTTTGTCTTATATGTCACGGCTGTTTCTTAATATATTCTTGAGCTATGTCAAAGCAGAATTCTATGAACTTACACCTTGTGGAAATGTTAATCATTAAGTTTGTTGAAATTAATAATTATTTATTGACTCACTGCTAAATTATTAATGCAAAATATTCAATTGGAGTTGTCTTTTGAGAACACCAAATGTTCCCATCATTTCCTTGGAAATGGTATCTAAAAGTATGCAATAATGATTCAACAGGTTGTGATCTTTTTTGACGTGGAAAGTTACCATGCCAATGAAATAGCTTCTTATGAACATCCATAATTTTAGCGTAAGGTGTCCATACCTCAAGAGTGAGTTTAGTTTCCCCCTGTAAATTGCAATCAGCTCATCAAATTTTACTGATCTGAAAAGTCTAATAAACGATACCTTAGTTGCAGAACTCCCGAAATTTTTTTTTATGTTCTTGATCTAATTGAAAAATATTCAAATGCCTTTTTAGCGACTTAGTATGTTCCATTAAGTTTGCTTTTGTTTGTTTATTATGATTTCTAGATCACAAATCACACACGACTTCATCCCTCAGAGGCTGCAAGACTCTCAAACTGACAGCTGCCCTCAGCGGAGGAAGAGGCAAGTTGGCTTGGAAACATGCTCAGCTTTGCAGCCAGCCAATTGACAGCGAGGGAGACTCTTCCTTAGATATTGCTGTTACACTAAAGGAGTCAACAGCTTAGGATGTGTGTAACAAGTTTTAAAACGAGTAGTCTTAAGGCCACTGAGCCTCTGTAATTTTTACCATAAATTATACAGTACCATCTAGGTGCGATTTTGAAGGTATGAAGCATAATTTTCATGGCTATACTGCCATTTTACTACTTTCAGGGTCGGCCTTAGTAAGCTAGAGGAAAGAAATATTTATTGTGGTTTTCACATTTCAGCGGGGTAAATAAGTTAAATAGCTCTAATTTATATGTAATAGTATAGTTTGATCGTCCGGGTGAGTGTAGTCCTGAGAAGGACTGTTGTCGGTAATGGTGACTGACGTTTCGACAACCTGAGCGGAGTCGTCGTCAGAGTCAAGTGAAAGGTTGTTGTCAGTTGAATGTACTTAGTCCGGTTTGTGTAAACTGATTGGTCAGTTTTGCCGTGATATTATTGGCTGTAAGACCCAAGTGGCATAGGTCAGTCGTGATTGGTCGGTTTGGATCCGTTAGTGAAGTTAGGTCGTTCTGTTCGGTTCGTTTGTAATGTTAATTACATTACAACGTTAATTACATTACGTTAACCAAAACAAACCATTTACAGCTATAATTTAATAAGCTGATTTAAATAGAAAAATTGTTGATATTGACAAAATGATGTTGTGGATACATTTGGGATTGTTAGCAGGCTAACTTACAGAACGAACAAATTTTTATAAGCAGATTTATTTTTCGGGATTTTATCAGTCATATAGGTATTGGCGGATATTCATTCAAATGTTTGTTATGAATTTTTTTCTCGGTCTGAGAAAGTGGAATTGCTTTGTTTATTGCACAAAGCGGCATTTCTTAGATAAGGTAATAACTTATTTGTAAATGGAAAAGGATGCGGTATGTGAATTCAAAAGTGAACGAATTTTTAGGGAGTTAAAACGGATTTAGTTATCAACTGCAAATTTTAATGTTTTTTAAGGAGATCAATGATTGTAGAAATTTTCTATAAATATTCTCCCGAAATGTTTTAATTCTTATCAGCTTTGTGTTGTAATAAGCAAGTACGAGGTATGAATAAAGGTATCAAACGTTGATTTTGTTCTGTGGTTTCATCTTGCAAGCATGTTCATGGTATTGATACGCATGTTCTTTATACAACCAGCTGCTGCCTCCTGGACTCTTTCATCTTCTGAGCCCGTCAATGCCAGTAAAGTCTGATGGGATCAGATGAGGAGAAAGGATTATTTTAGAATTAAGCACGTGTACAATGATGTTCTACATAAAGTACTATGAAACACACAAGTCTGAAGAACGTTCCTGAGTTGAATACGAGGGATTGTTAATTAACCGTGAAAATTCCTGATCGGGTATTTACCAGTGAGATAAAGGGAGTAAGTTTCTAAAGAAACTGTGGTGCTGCGTCGGTGGGAGAGTATAGCAGGGTAATTTAGTGTTATCAACTGAGTTGAAAACGTAAACCTTTCGAGCGTTAGCCCTTCGTCAGAGCGATACATGACAAAGGACTAACTCTCGAAACGTCAGCCTCTAAACTCTTAACAGTGACCAATATACGTTTTCAACTCAATTGATAACACTAAATTGAACAATGAGAGACTTGTATGCTGTTACGTGGTCTAAAGTGCTTTTTTTTACGTCGCATGAAATGCGAAATTAGACTGCAACGTTAATTAAGGCGTTAGAGACGTGCAAATGCCATACTATTGGTTGAACAGTGACAAACCCTGTAAAATACAAAAATTTGCTTTACCTTCAGTGCGTCATGTTGATGAATAATAAAACAGTTATACGGGTCACGTGACAGTCTTTCCAGCGCGCAAGCGATCGCTCGCTTTACCGCTACGTCAGAGGATCGTTTGAGGCTGTCAGCCAGAGGAACGACCGCTGATGAGAAGGACTTCACATTCTTGTCCAATCCACTGCAACTGAAAGAGTGCCAAACAAGACTACTTATCAACTCTACTTTTACCAATGATGCCTTTCTGTTGGTGACTGTTTGAAAATGTCGCAGTCTCATCGCTTGTCACGTTTGTCACGCTTGTCACACTTTCCGTCTCGGTGTTGTGTGACCAAGAATGTCACTCTGTGCTTTGTTTGTTACTACTTACGTTGCTATCGCCTCTGCCACCCATCGCTTTAACTCTTCGTCTTTCTGAAAGGTAAGGATCCTAAAAATTATTCCAGCGATAATTTAGGGTCATGATCGATTGCTATACTGCAGTCTTCGTCAAGTAATTCGGTCGAAGATTATGCGCCGCTATTTAAATGGCTTGTTTTCATTGACACCTTTCTCCTTAGCGCAGAGAGTAAGAAAACGGCTAAGGAGGGTAGACCCGCTCTTCCTAGACCAAACCCTCTTTGCTTTGTCAAAGGGGCAGCTCTCGTGCGATTTTTATGCAGAATTTATTGTCAAAGGAAGACACGAAAAAAAGCGGAATCTACTGTCTATTGACGGCTAAACCTTTATATACTGACCGTGTACACCAGTGATACGAGAAGAGGTACCACTTCGTAATCTGTCAGGATGGACAAGTTCTCTCGATCTCTGCCAATGCTGATTATTGCTTTGTTTACACTTATTAGCACCTGAGGGAGGAAAAATACTTTTACTTTTCCAAAAAAGACTGTTTAAAAATATCTTAGGTTAGGGTGAATTTTAACAAGATTTAGCCCAGGTTGGGACTATCTTAGCGAGTTCCTGGCAGAAAAATTAATCCTAGGGTCCGAGTGTGTTTTAAAATGAATACCGATCAATTACCTCCTTATCGTCGGATCTCAGTAGACTGGTAATGAGTTCTAGACCTCCGACGAATGAGCGCACCATTTCTGCTGACTCCTAGAGGACAGATAAGGACATGTTACATGACATTAACCTCTGAGGAGACATTGTTTCGTAATTCATGCGTTGGGCCATGGAAAAATGCAGCTGACTCCAAAAAACAATTTTCCTTCAATTCTCTTTCCACCCTTTGAAACATGGGTTTTAGAGGTAGCTGCAGTGTTTGGGAGTGAAATTTCAGCAGTATTAAATTTTATCAAATTTCAATTCTCAATCGCGGGTGAAAAGTAAAGAACTTTGAGCCCATTGAATCGAGGGAAATTATTGAACAAGCTCTCGCGAGAAAAACCTGGTATGAACAATTCATATTGAATTCAGGTTGCATTTGATTGGTTGAGTATGGACAGGACAAACCAATTACAGAACGTGGAATATCAGAGAAAAATTCTTCATCACGATGGACTCTCAAACTAACTATTAATAAACGACTCTGTCTGACCTCTTTTTTCACAACACACTCACTGATCGCCTCTGCCGCAGCTGCTACAACCTGGGAAAACAAATTCTCCTTGTCAGTATTAAAGGAATGTCAGTATTATAGAGAACAGAGAATACGGATATTGATGTTGAATGCAAACATCGTATAGATACTGTCATTGTCGGTTACTGTGTGAAATTAAAAGAAGATACGTTGTGCGAGAAAGCTCTGGAAGTAAATCGATTGATTTGCAAAGATCAAAAAGATTGCAAACGGCAGATAGGTCCGTAGCTTATTAACGGTCTTTATTTTTAGATTCTAAACAGTAAAACTCAACCAATTACGTCTGAGTCGGGAAACTTCAATAAGGACCAGAGAAGCCGTAATCCGTCTGTTTGAAGAATTGTACTGCAACAAAGTTACAAAATATATTAGTCAATAGAAACCAAAAATGATTACATCAAACTGGAATGAAAATTGAGGTAACACGGCTTTTAACAACAGCAACAATAACTTACAAACCTTCTACAGGAGTCCTCTTTAGCACAAATCGCGAGGAGCCTGGTAGCGTTAATTTGTACGGCACGTTCCGTGATGCTCAGCGCTCGCACAACAACTGGGATGACTTTATCCTCTTTGAGTGTCAGAACTGTCCGTTTACTGTACGCAAACTCGTGCATAGCACCCATAGTATTAGCCAAGACCTGGTGAGTTAAAAAGAGGTGTCAGAGCGCTTTACAAGTGAACGAAAAAAGGAATCCTAAAAAGCATTGGTGCACTGTTTATACGAGTTACTCCGCTCCATGATTGGTCACTAGAATTTCGCGTCATTCTCTCAACCAATCAGTAGCTGTATGATATTTTCCTCTTTTGTGATTGGCTCTCGTAAAAATAAATACAACACAATTTTGATGCAGTGATATTCAATAATATGACTTTTCAACTATCACAATATTTTGTACCTCGTTAGTTTGCTCTGGAGTCTTCAACAATAGGATCAAAGCTTTGACTGCACCAAATTGCTCAAGCCTGAGATCGAAAAAATTAATAGTATCAAAAGAAAACACCTCTTACTGAGGGGAATTTGATGTCAGTTCTTTTAATAAAAGCGTAACGTGACCTTTGACTGTTTTTTATTTGGGAAATTTTTTTCAGTTATTCTGGTTATGCGCTCCGAGTAAAATAAAAGCTTAAGAGGGCTCAATAATTGATACTTTGAAAATAAACTTGGAAATACACAGTAAAAAAATTTCCACATGCAACGATCGGATGCTTATGGCAGCTCAAATGGCAGAGAAGCCTACTACGAAATTGGAATTGACTGGAGTTCGATTCCTCACATAAGAGGACTGAGTTTTTTTTTTTGCACTTCGTTTCGTTTCCTGTCCATTGCAAAAATGAATTCCTCTTTCTGTGTCTTCCTTTACCTTCTGACGTTGTTTTTGTTCAATGCGCACTTCCAAAGGGCGCCGACTGTGGCCGCGAGGAGTTGCGTGTTCTCAGAGGACCTGGATTCCATCGTTATTTGGACGAGCAGTTCCAGGCCACCAAAGCGGAAAATCAGTTCGCGAGTGGAATCATCTTCGGCGCACTATAAAATGGGAAAGTTAAAAGAAAATCAGGTTTTGACATTAGATTGAGTCCAAAAGTTTCCGCAGTTTGTGTAGTATAATCGTCTTGCGTTGAGGTGTAGAGAAAAAAACTATTGGTGACCCAAGTTTTGACAACCTAAGCAGAAGTCATTTGTCGGAGTCGGAAGGCAATGGTTGGTTGGTTCATGATGGTTTGACGAGGTTGATTGGTCATTAATTGGCTAATTTTCGTATCCTTATCCGTCTCTAGAACACTAGATTTATCAAAGAAAAATACTGATTTGACAAACCTTGAACAAAGCATTGGCACATAGAGTCTGCAAAGCTGTGTCGCCCTTTTTCAAGTGCTTAACAATCGCCTCCACCATCCCCTCCCTGCGGATATCATCACGAAAAGTGGGCTGAAGAAGATCAAAGAAAATCCTTAACGCTGCAGTAACTCTGTGATGATATCAAAAGGGTCATAAATAAGTCATTTATCAGCGGCAGGAAAGTCGTCATGCTTGCCACGTTTATTTCGACGCATGGTATGTCATTGCGGCCCCTTTAAACCAAAGCTAAACTGTTTAAAAATCCTTTCAACGATATGCATAACTACAGATTAGTTGTTTGCACACATGCTGAATTGAACGTTAGTTCGTCGTATTTAACCCCCAGAATTTTCACTGGTAAAAATTTGTAGTTTTCACGAATACTCCCAAGAGAGTAAAGTGCTTCGTTAAAGAACAAAGTATAGCGACTCCAGTCGGTCTCGAATCCAGACCTCTACTCTGAAGGCCAAAACACTCACTGACAGGTCACCAGGTCTCCTGCAAATATCCTTACTTGTCTCAATAGCTGGAAGCTCGAGACATTTTCCCCATGTCAAGTAACTGAACCAATTGCAACGTTACATTGTTACCCATCCTGCATTTCGTACCTCGCTAGCACATTCCATAAGAATTCCCATGGTGGGTAAAATGACATCATCCGTCCCGCTGACCAATAGGGAGGCGAGGATGGGCACGGCACCGGCCAAACGGATGGCTTGAATATTTTTAGGGCTTCTGCTGCAGCTCCACAAAGCCATGCATGCATTGTGGGTAAGCCCGAAGTTGCTGTCTACTTTCGATGGGAGCCTAGTGCGTTTCCTGTTTTCTGGTTGAATCATGTTCACCTGAAACAGGCATGACCACAGAAAAGCTTTTAAATAAACTTTTCATGACTATTTTTTTATTAAATTTTCGTCAAATGAAAGACGTCGACAGAGATTTTAACAATCAGAACACTTAATAGCCGCGTTTGTTGTCGCCCGCGAAGCAGTTTGTTGGGTTATACTTCGAGTTCTCGTTGTCTCTTAGTGGCATTTTCCCTTCTTCTGATCGGCCTTTGTGGAGGGGAACAGGGGGCGGGAGCCCGGGAGAACAGGGAGCGGGAACGTTAAGTTTTGGCACAATTCAAAAGAGGCGGGAGAACGTGGTACAGGAAGCGGGAGACTCTGACTCCCCTGTCCCCCCCCCCCCCCCACTGATTACTTCAGTTTTGGTTTTACTATGGTTTTACTTAATTCAATCAGAAAGAACTCAACTTCGAATGTCGTTGATTTAAGGTCCCTCCTCTAGGAGAGGTTCCAATCTCTAACACTTTTAAACATATGCTGGATCCTTTGATGTTGAAATTGTACAGAAAAACATCTCTCACCAAATGTTTTATCCCTCTGCCACGCCGAATAGCTCTGTAAGCCAATCGGAATGTAACCACGTGACTAAGAGTTTCAGCAGCGAGGGACTGGATCTCTTTCGAGTCTTGTCGAAGGCAATCAATAAGCTGCTGAATGCCTGAAAAGAACAGAAAAGAAATGCTATGAAACGCATATCATAAAAAAATCCTTCTATTGAGATAATTCCTCCGCTTGGGGTTTACACCTCGCTACATGTTAAGAAAAACTATCTAATCATTTTATCCACGCCATTAAAGAAATAAAAGACAAAGCCAGGTCTTTTGGCGGGAAAACAGGGTAACTAACCCATGAGAACTCAAAGCCCGGGTACGCAACTGAAGATTTCAGAGCGCGGGAAATCATGCGACCGGTAGGAATCGCGGGAAATCAAGCCACCCACCAGCTGGAAAGCGCGGGAAACCAGTTGTGAACCGAGTTGAGCGCGGGAAAGTGAAGAGACCAATGTAAGAAACTGGTATAAAGTGTTGATTTGCAATTATCCCAGGCGTCATTGATATATCAACGATGACTTCAACAAGAACGTTCCAACGAGAAAAACCTTAATTAGTAAAACAAAAGCTCAGCACGTGCATTTGGAAGTTTATACATTTCGTGGCCGTCTTGTACAAAATAAGTATTTGAAATTACCATATCTTGTGCAGCATGAGAATGGGAACCCCCTACGAACAATCGGTAGTTCGAGTTTTCGTTGGAACAAACGTAAAGCTACCTTCGCTAGTTTAGCTGAAGGGAAAGTCTGGGGAGTAATTGACGGGAAACTCTTCGAGTAACTGTGAATTTCTCAAGGAAAAAGTAAGTTGTTGTAAACGCTTAAGCTCTGTTGTGAGTTCAACCTTGTTTCTAGCGCTTCGCAGGGGTTTTTTGATCTTTAAGTCGTGTTGGTATTTAATCACATCTAGTATTAATTAGTATTAACTAAGAAAAGACATAAGCATTGCTTTTCAAAGTAAACTAACTCATAAGTAGTCTTCGTAGTAGACCCGATTAAGAGCGGAATGGGTCGATTTTGTGTCAAATTTTCCATCCTCACTCTCGTTATTATGATAATAACAGCTCAGTCACACCTTCATTCGATTAAAAACATTTTCACCATTTAACAAAATAACCGAGATAGTACGCACCCTCTCATTGGTCAAAAGCCTTTCGGGTACCCACAGCATAGCTATTTTAGGAAAGCAAGATATCGCATACCCAATGCCGATTATTAATGAACGGTCCCTTAAATAGCCTTTTCTTACGTCTACACTAAAGTATCGTATAATAATTAATCTTTTATAAATATTTCTTATATTTTATGCGCATAGTTTTGGGCAGATAGCCACAATATTTTACCTCCCAGACGACAAATCTCAGTATTTATCCTCTTAGTATTCGTTATCACTCTTAGTATTTTGAGAGAACCAACCTAAAAGACAAAATCACCGACATGCTTGTATTATTGACACTTCAGCACCTACGTGATTTTTTGTTAGGATTAGATCCGTCCTCCAAATTAAAGTATTTCAATTATTTTTCCTTCTATGCATATTTTTCCTATGTATTCAGCTCAAGTTGACGCCTTTTTGCTGCACAAGTCAGTGTCGGTTAACAAGCTACTTCGTGATACGAGTTATTCTGTCTGAATATTGCGAGGAAGAAGCACCAAATTTTTATTACGTATGTGAAACTATGAAGTGTCTGGCCACCCACATATCTAACGTTTCTCCTCCAGCTTTCTCTAACCGTTCAAAATGGTTAGGAACTTTTGCAGTTCTACTTACTTTTGGGGCGTATGGAGCTGCTAAAGCAAGGCTTTCCCCTTTTCCTTTAAATTAATGTGTTAATAAATCCAAAATGAAAGAAACAATTCCCAGTCCCCATTTCAAGAATTAATCACCCTTGATCTAATTTTCGATTTACCCCTTAAGGATACAAGTTAGGTAGGACACAAAATGTACAAATCATACCACACAGCGCCAAAAATCTGTTTTTAGAATGTTAAGGAGGATAGTGATTCCACCGAGATCCAGAATGGCCAGCTGACTTGATTCCTGTTCCAGGCTAAGATCACGAAGGGCGCATAGCGCTATCACTGTAGCTGTTGGGTTCCCCAGCTTAAAATGACACATATGTTTTATTTGAGTTTAAACCAAAAATGGATTGTAGGATTAAATACTCTTAAACGACACGAATCTATCAGAAGTTAGGATGAGTGATAATGAACTGAATGGAAGCTGATTGTGACGGGAATTAGATGAAAAATTGATGACATTTCCTTCAGGCGTGAAATCTTAAACCAAAGCTCTTTGATTGAACTAAAATAATCACGTCATCCCCTTAACCAATCAAAGCGGACTAAAACCAATTCAAACTTGATCGCGCGCATTTTCCCGCGCTTTCTTTGAGTTATCATTGGCTCTCTGTAATGTTTTTTTCTTTGCTCTAATTGGCCATCGTTGTCACTTTGTTCTCGACTTAATGACACTCATTTGATCAGTGTTCTGATAGTTCTTGTTCCTTTAGCTCTTACTTAAGGATGTCTTCAATATCAAAATATTTACGAGGCATTTGCACTTACCTTCAAAAATTTGATTAGTTTGTGAATGTCCCAATACTCCGTAGTTAGTTCAGGTTTTACCTTAAAAATCCAAACACAGAAAATTTGTCGTTAAAAAAGATCATAAACCTTGGACACTGCTGCAGTAAAATGTAAAAATCCTTAGCTGCACTCTTATTTTTCAAACTCCTATTATATAGTCGTGGTTTTTCACTAACTTCTCAAAACTAACCTTATAGTAAATTTATAGTGATCAGTAACGAGAATTTATGATTTCATGATTTACCTTTCTTGACAACTCCTCATCTTCTTCACTGTCGCAACTACTTGACGACGATTCACTCTGGTACTTGTCAGCGGCATTCCTGAATGAGCTTCTGTGTTGTATACTTCTTGTTTTGCCACTGGAATTGGATACAGAAAATAGCTTCATATATAAAAGGTTTTTAGAGTTTGGTAACTGAATTTCTGATTATCTGATGATAACGATGAAAACGCACCCGACAGAAATCTTGTCCTTTGTTCTGTTCTTGGCATTGTTCTTTCGTTCTTGAGCACTATAGACAACAAAGATACCATTACGTTTTTAAAGCCATTTAAGTCTGTTAAAAGTTGGAACATATTAAAAAGGAAAACATCGAAGGAAAATGTTGTTATAGTTGAAAAAGAAGAAAAAAAATGGGGGGGGGGGGGAGCGAGGAAAAAACCTCATTCTTCTGCATGACACTTTCCAGGAGCAATATTTTCTTCTTGGGCCGTCACTTAGCCATCTAACCCCTAAGAGTGACCAGCATCTTATTTTTCATTCAATGTCACCCCAGAATCAAACATTGAGGTCAGGAGAATAAAGGAGATGATCACCAACTTAAGAAGCTCTTGATTGTTTAACAAATTCTCCTTGTGAGCGTTTAGGGAAATGTGTAGAGAAGAGTATGGAGAATTTGCATATTAATCTCGTACCCAGATCCTATCATGTTACTGTAACTTGCATGCACAACCGCTTGGCCGTAAAAGGTCTGGGTACGAGATCAGGTTAACACATCTAGAGTAGGGATTGTGTGACTACATACAGATAACAGCTACAATTTACCTTCGGCTCTCATCAAAAAGATTCATGTGATTGGTTTTCCATAGTGTCTTGTAAGTCTTCTCTCGTGATGGTTTAAAATCAAGTTTTTCTCCTCCGTTTTTCCTAGGAGACTGTTCACGTCTTTTAGAGTCTCTCTTCCGTTCTTGCTTCTTAGAACTTGCTACTTCTGGTCGGCCTGACCTCTTAGAGGTCTGGGGAGAAGTCTTTTGATTGGCATTTTTCTCTTGTGATTTGCTAAAGATGGAAGTAGTAAAACGATAATTTTGAGTCGCATGTAATATAATGATCAGTGCTCTGATCATTATCTTTAAATGTCCCTGAAGATTTTCTTACAAATATTTGGTACTTGTGATCTAGAGCCAGGCCTTACTGAATCAGCTGTGAAAATATCTATTAATCACTGTTTAAAAGTGTATATTACAGAGCTTATTTAAGAACAATAACTCAGAGGGAGAGAGAGAGGTTGAGACCGAAATAACAGGACAATAGATAACCCTTTACGTATGGGTACGTACGGGAGGTCCTCGAGCCTTAGAACACACTTCAAGAGCGCTTTTTTTTTATCGAAGCTGACATTTAAATTCCTTAATCGGAAAATCTTCTTAAATTGGGGTTCTTATCAGAAACAATGAAACCTTTCCCACGCGAATATTTGTTTAAATGGATATATGTGCGATATGAGTTTTATGTAATAGAACGCTTCAGGGTGTAAGAGCGCATTACCCCCCCCCCCCCTCCCACTTTCCTTCCCATCAGACGCGCAGCTTCAAGCCCTTTACCGGATCGTGTTTCCTTATAACGTGTTCAACTGATTGAGCAAGTATATCGCAAGGGTGGGAAAAAAAATCTACCGTTGGTCAGCTGTTTTCCTGTCGTTCTCCTTTGTTTCCAGTTGTTCTTCATTTTTATTTAATTCTGCGTCATCGTCTCCTTTTGCTTGTGGTGGGTGTTCCTCTCCATCTAGACCTGTCCTTTCGTCCTCAGAATACTCTTGTCCCTCCACCTCACGTGAAAGTTTTTCCTTCAACAACAACAAATCGCTTGATAATTAAGATACTACGTGCGCACCGGTCGGTCACAAACCTATCGCTTATTGGGCCGTGTTAGCACACTGTAAAATATATTTTTCCAATTAAAGGGGTACACCACACTTTGAATCGATTATCTGCCATATTATTTGGTAGAAAAAGTGAGTAAATCCTTTCGCATCAGCCTGATATTTGTAGGCTTTTCTCTTGTACTTCACAGATTATTCCATTATTAAACTGTTCAGTTTATGCCTTATCTCATTGTTCATCAAATTTTTTTAACAAACTTTTCAATACTTACCACATGATCTTCAATATTGTCACTGTTTTTTTCTTCTTGCACCTGATTGGTCAGACCTTCACGGGATTCTTCCGGTGACGTCATATTTGAGTGGTCTGAGAACACAATTGGACTTGTAGACCGATTACAGGTGGCTGTAGATGTCCTTTCTGGCCAGTCATAAAGTGGGTCCGTGCCTGTGGTGCACAAAGCAGTCAAACGCCCAGACGAGGAGGGCCTGTAAATGACCTGTGGGGTGGACACCGAGTCACTCGCTCCCTCAGGGGTCAGTGAGCCTCGTCCTGATGTTGAGGAGGTATTAGCTGAGCCTGTTTGCTGCCGAAGTTCGGTAAGTTCTGCCTGTTGCTTTTCTACCAAATCTTCCAGGCTATAAAAACACAGAGAGAGAAAACGACCATTATGCAGAGGGTCTTATTGGGATGATGGCTTTTACAGCTAACGGTTAAAATGTTGGCCAATTTACGGCTAACTATTAATACCTTTTCATTGTCGTCAACAGATTTGTTTCTTAAAGTTATTTCAATTTTACAACTAACGGTTAAAATTTGCCAAATTTTACGCCATACGGCTAAACTTTTGGTTGTTTTACGGATAACGGTTAACCCCATTGAGACCCTCCATGAATTTAGAATTTTATTTTGTGATAAAGGATTTGAAGGAAAACTCCCTAACTACCTTATACTCCCCACCCCCAGGGGATACCCAGTCAACTTCCGTAGTTTATATCAAGGGAATGCTCTGGGGAGGGGTGAGGAGAAAGGGACAATGATGACGTTAGAACACACTGACGAATTACAGGAAATATGGTATCCTTGCATGTATGTTTTACCTCAAAACCACAAATTGTAGTTTAAGAACATTCACCCCTACTATAAGTCATTAATTTTACTTTTACAAGAAATTGAGAGCATGAATTCAATTCATTTTCGTAAAACGATGCAGATGCCTTATCAATGAATCAATTCTAGATCCCAAAGCTTCTCTCTACTACGCATGCGCAAACATTATACTCGAGGCTCCTGAGTTAAAAATGCATAAGACTGGGGAAGAGATTGTCTTGAAAACAATTACACATGCTACAAGACGTTCACACGGCACGAGTCTTGTGTGACGCTTTTCTTTCATGGGCAACCAAAATTTGCACACACTCCCTAAATAAACATTAGGTGCTAATGTCCTTCCCGCTGAAATGGATTTTCTTCAGTGAACACCTCGCAGCGATGAACTCAATTAAAAATATTCTCGTTAGATTTATTCACCCTCATTTTGCTCCTTATCAATTTTCATAAACAAAAAATTGATTCGCACGATCATTTTTCTGCCTCGAAAATGTTCGCAAAATGTTTTTCCTCATTTGCTAATGAGCGCAATGTCGCCTTTGTTTTTCATCTCACCACAAAAAGATAGAAACAATGAATTCATAATGACATGGTTATGTCTTCTTTATGGCCCTCCCATCACTCATCATGAAACTCATTTAATGTAACAAAAAAAAGCTCGGGGAAAAAGGTGAGACTTCCTTCTCAAACCTTGAGAATGATTTTCTTCCAAACTAACCTTCAAACGAATTTATAATTTAAATACATGCGAAGTTAACGACCTAAGCAATCCAATACTTGTCTAATTTTTATGACAAATGACAAAATAAGTTTCCGTAATGGTATCAAAATGATTTCGCTTTTCCCAACGCGATGTTTGCCAAGCAAGTCGTACATTTCAATTTTACTACTTATGCATAAAATAAGATCTAGTTGGAGCGGTAATTGCAGAATATTTCAAGTAAGAGAGCATGTTATCAGCTTGTGATTAGATGACATCACGACAGTCTTACGAAAGAGAACTCACCAAAATATATAGTCTTTAAAAAACGTGCGAAGGATTTGCGAAATAAGAATCAGATTCGAGAAGATCTTCGTCTGTATGTAACTCACCAAAGAATCCTTCAAGGCAAAAGATCACTTAGATATTAAAAATTGAACGAATTTATACGCTTTCAATATTATGGCTTGAAAAACTACTTAATTTTCGATTAGTCTAGCTTACCGTATCTTCCTTTTTCCTTTCTTCGTCGCTCTGTTCTTAAAAAATCAGCTTAAAGGCTTGTACCGAATGCTTAAGTAATTATAGATCTCTTTAACGATCGAATGCCGAGCTAAAAATTTCCTCGCCAAACGGATGTTCAAACTTCATAAATAAAGCTTGAGTTCTCTATGGCAACCTTGTAGCAACTCAGCTGTGTACATATTCAAGTTTGATGTCATGCAGCTTTCCCTCATTTGAATAAAAGTGTTTTTTATTTGTAGTTGTTGATAGTCTGGCCGACCATTGAGAAAACAGCCTGTGTGCGCATGTGCATTTCAATGTCACCTGTTGGCTTAACGGGTAACACGAGGTGATAAGCTATTGAGCATGGTTCTACTTTTTTTTCTTTTTTTTTTTTTTTTTTAGCCTTGTAAAAATTTCTACACCGGGCTCTCCTAGTTTCTATCGTCTTTACACTTTTAACAGTGAATAAGAGAGATCACGAGTTCAAACTATGGATAAACATGTGTCTCTGGCGCTCACAAGGAGCAGTTTTTTTTCTCGGTCCGTTCAAAAACAAGAGAAATTCTGATCCCTCAGGCGGTAATTTCAACAGAAAAATATATCATCTCATAGTATTACTATGGTGTTTTTCCTTTTTACTTCGAAAAACAGAAAAAAAGGACTTAAAACGAAGCCCCACAAAGACACCAAAGGCGACGAGATAATTTCTAATAAAATTCCATAATAGATTTTTCTAGGTAAGTTCAACCGCTGCAAGAACGTCACGCGCGCAGCTACAATCCCTTACTGAAGCGGCGACCACCGTCAAGTTTCTTACATGGCTAAGTGCCTTACAAAAACAATTCGTCGGAACGCTCACTTATCAGTTTTATGATTAAGAGATGGCCTGAAAAAACTCCAGCTAAGATAATTGTCCTAAGTTAAGTAGTCACATAAAGTAAAATGAAATTTCTGGGGGAATGTACTTATATGAGTTTTGCATATTTAATTTGAACATCCTTGGAAAAAGTAGAAAGGAAAAGTATAATCTTGATCCCCGAGAAAAATAACAGTTGTTATGTCTTAAACACTCAAAAAATCCATTATTTTGTCTAACAGATATCACCAATAGTGACTTTTTCTATTCAAGTGTTAATGCAATTACGACAGTTCGGTTTCATGTGCAAATTAAAACAATGTTCTCGAGAATTTGCATTTAAATGAGCAGTAGCTATTAATAATATTTACTGCCTACAAAAGCTATTCAAAGGGTCAAGTTATTCTTACGAAACATTAAAAAAAAAAGCTAAGCAAGCAAATGAATTAAAGAACCAGGCATAATCACTTAAGAAAAAGCCGTCGCATTGGTTTATCAACATTAAAAATGACAATTTTTCTTGTTTCACGTCTGCGTCAACGACTGAAGTGCATCTTTCCTTGATAATCAGCCACATGTTTCCTTTTCCAGCCTCTTTTTGTGTACGCGCGCTATTTCTGTGAACAATCTTGTTTCTACTTTCGTTTTTAAGTCAGGAAAGCTTTTTTCTTGAATTGATTTTCAAACTTATATAAGTTTGCTTGCGCACGAATTTCTGTTAAGTGACTACCAGTTTTTAAATAAACAATCTTGAAGAACATCATCCCTGTTTGAGTGAATCCGTGTTTTATCTTCCGACTTGAAGGATGCTGATCATGAACTGAACCCTAGCATATGTTTTGCAATTTAAATTTGTAAGAACAAAATCCTCTCTTACTAGTCGAAGATAAACTAACTCCTTACGGAGTGCAGAGCTACAACATAACATGTTTGTAGATAACAAATGTTGTTACCACAGGGTTTACACTTTATCGTTTAAAGAGCAAACTAGCCGAAATGAAACACGACTAACATGTTTAGTTCATCTTCTATGTCAACAAAACATTTACTAGCTTGTGTGAAATGAATGTACCGTCGTTTTGCGTCGAGAATGTCTGCGATGTCTGTGCATAACTCAATTATTTTCTTCTGCCGGTCTTCCTTGTCCTTCCCCAACGTATTGAATCTTCTAACGATCCGCACAGCTTCTTCGGCTACCTGTAAGCGGCCGAGGTCATTCACTTCTTTCTCAGTTGCCATCTTTAATTTTTAATCCTGTGTATAAGAGCATTTTGTTTTAGCAATTCGTGCAGTCGAAGACAAACATCTACCTACAGTATTCTTAAACCTCCTTCCAGCGGAAAATAAAACATCAATTAAAGCAGATGGTTCTATCTCATTCGTGCATCTTAACTACAGGATAAATTCAAATCATTTCGCACCCTTTTTTCTGCTTGGAAAATGTATCAATTTTCCATGAAGGACGCGTCATAAATTAAAACAACTCACGTTTGTTTCCTATTCGTCAGAAACAACCAGAAAAAACAGGGAGCCGTGAATCGTTTATGGACCATATGCTTAGTATTGTTTTCGTAAACGAGACATCACTAAGGGGCTGTTTCAATATGATGCTGAGGGCACTTGACTAATATTTGGCGTCTCTGGACTTCGCCATTGTAATGAGTTTAATTTCACTCGCCTATATGAATTTCATTGTATGCAGTGCGTTTAATATGATACCATTCTATCTGTTCTAATGGAAAATCACTAAAAAATCTTACCAAAGTATTCTATGATTCTGGTTCCTGAATTAGAAGAGTCGTGTTTACAATAACACACCGCAGAGATTTTAAAACATATTGTTAATTGCTTGAGGCCAATGCTAATTTAAGAATGTAATTTTCAACAAATGTTACGAGTTTCACAAAACATTTAAGCATACATTACCTCCATATATACATATATATATATATATATATGTATTTTTCCTTTTTTTCAGGGAACTGAGATGTGCACGAAAAATTAAAACATTTTCAACAGGTTGATATATTCACCTACATTTTCATGGCACCTGCAAAATGAGCCTTAAATTGCAACGCGACTCTTCGAAATTTGTCTATTTACTTTTAACACCTTTTTACTGCAAAGATAATTGCTTCTAATAGCGCATCATTCCAAGAATGAATTAATAATGTGACATGCATTTGTCCATTAAATCGTTGCGTGTTCACAGCGCGTTTCCATGTGAGTTCGATACTTTCATTAATGACATTTCACTCTTTCAAATAAATTGTTTACAGCTTGTTAACAAAGATCTTCTCGACTATGAGTCACATGACCAAAACCAGAGTCATCAAAACAGCCAATGAGAAGCAAACTGAGTCGGACGCGGGGAAACGAAGTAACCAACGGGTGGTTCGTTTTAGTTGAAAATTTGGCACGAGTTTTCTGAATTAATCACAAAGCGTAGAGAGGTGAAACTTAAGCAATCCTAATAACTTTTGAGACTCAATCGAAAATTACTCTGAAAATTCACTCTGGAGAGGGCATGAAGACAAAACTACCCCGTTGAACTACTGGATATTTTTGAAAATATTTGGTTTTCACTAGCTGATTATCAGGATGTATTTCCATAGTAAAATATCCTACAATTATTCAACGAAAGCGAGATAAACATTGTCCAATATTTATAGATATAAATTGTTTTTTTTCGAATTTCAGGGCTGCACCTCCTAGTCTCCTAGTAACCGATCAAATATTGAAAATGAAGCTTTGCGAAGCACTTCTATCTCAGTTTTGTTTTTCACGTGCGATACAATTTGACTTTATTCCGCTTTGTCCTGTGTATAAATAACACACTCAAAATTGAGCTAACGTCTGATAAATTTGAAACAGATCACGCCTTGTAAATGACATGACTTGTTTGTCTGCGTGTGTTGTCACTCAGGTACGATATACTATAATTATGTATTCAATGCTGGCTGTTCCTATCAGTCATAATCAATTGTTTATAAAATGTATTGTCCTTAGTCGCTGCTAGTATTAGTGCACGTAATCAGATTAACCTTCACATTTAATACACACAGTCATTAGAAAAATAAGACATAAACAGGCTGCGGTGAAAGGCCTGAAAAATAACCCACTTAGAATTATAATCATTTTCGCTAAGCTTCTCTTCAATGCGAGTGCAAAATGAGTTCTGACAGTTTTAGAATATTATTCTTTATAAGGGCGAACAATTATACAACCGGTATAAACAAGTTTCGGTTCCTATGGACACAACTTCTTCGGCAAGTACGAGAAAAATCGACATGCTTTTTCTGTTCATCCGGTTGAAATCGCGTGAGCAGAAAAGTGGTAATATCCAATTTCAAATTTTATATATCTTCGGCATTGCTTTTTGATAAAAATGGAATTTCAAGAAGCGCAGGAAGCGTTTTAAAACCGAAATCAAAGTCTTCAAATTAACTTCTTCTCCGCATATCTTCCCACTAAAAAATTTAGCCCTTAAAGTGAGGAAAATCAAGCAAAATGCATACCACGAACGAATATGAAAACTGATTTAAAACAGCTTTGATTACTCTTTTGTAACGATTTACTGTTCGTATCAAGACGGAACTGCCCGTGAAAAATATATACATGCTGCTATAATATACATTCTACGCGTTGCAATACATAAAATATTATGGTTAACCATAAAGGTAAGATTCACTGAAATTACCTTGGAAAGAAAGGGAAATCGGTGGATTTTCAGATGTTACATCCGAGACGATATTGAAAGCAAACCGTCAGTCTTTTGTGACTGGAAGACGCCAGCTGCAAATACGTTTTATAACTTTAAATATGCGTTGCGTTTAATTTAATATTTCTATCCAATTATCTTAATACAAACACGACCACAGATAGTTAAATCACACTTCTTTGTTCCAGACAAAGGATCTTAGAGAACTGCTAAAATATATGGCGGTAAAATAAATGAAACGCCGTAATGAAAATTCAGATGGAAATTACAATTCTAAAATTCCTGTTTACTTCAGAAGATTTCAAACAAAAAAAAATATATCAGGCATAAATCTGTCTGGTTGATATTAATGATCGACAAAAACAGTTTTTATGTGTAATGTAGTCATTTTAACGACTAAAACATCACGAATAAAAACGGGGAGATTTTCCATTCCCTAAAACAACTTATTAGCAACATCATTGATGTATTTATGGTATTAGATCTTTGCGGGCTTTTTTCAAGAGGTAATTTTTTTAGGCACAAATGGAATTAATGGTTTAAAGCCGTTTATCACTAAGTGTGGTGTCGATGTTTGTATGGGGCCATGGAAAGAAAATGAAATCCTTTAAGGAGTGAATAATGTCCAGTTAAAAGCTTTGTTTCCAAATCAGTTTCTCCAGGTAGTTTTTAGAATTTGCCACTATCAGGAGGCAAAGAGACATGGCTGACAAAAACGTTCATAACTACAACTATATGAGAAGACCAGATAAAGTCAACTATCTTTACCTCGATATTTGAAGTTTTCCTGTATTAGTGTGACTTACAGCATCTCGGGATTAAAAAATTTCGTTATATGATGCTTATTAAATTCACTGCAAAGCTTCTGAAACCTTCATTTGCTCTTGAATCTGCTGTTACCCTGCGACCCCTCTACGATAGCGTATAGTTCATGATAAAACGCTCATTTTCAAGATAAATAAACTGATAGCGGATATGCTCAAACAAGAAAGCCCTGATCCGCAAAGTAAAAAACATGACAGAAAACCATGAACAAAATGCAGTCTAAGACAGCCGAAAGACAAATACTTCCTTTACGAAATGTTTTGACAGGTAGATCATTCATTCATTGAAGAACCCTGACTGTTATGAATGCTTTTCCTCCTTTTTGAATCGTTCATACGCGAAATTCAAACGATGTCATGACAACAGTCATGTTTAATAATCAGAAACGTAGGATACCCGGCAAACTGAGTATGATTTGGCCAAATATTAGAATATAACTTGTTTCAGTATTGTTTTTTGGTATTTTTTTTTATTAATATAAACAACCGTTTTGAAAATAACCAAAAAATTTAAATAAGATTGAAAACCTTGTTTTCCAACATCAGACACGCACGACGGGCGATCAAATCCATAGCCCACAAATCAGTGCGGTCATTCTCAGCTGGTCACAGTAATTACATCTTTAGATTTTTTTTGTAAACAAAATAATTGTTTGCCATTAAAATCCGCCTAAATCTAGATGAACTTCATACTATGATATTGCCAAAATAAATAAGTAGTTCAGGTTGTGTGTACAACTTAACTACAACCGAAAACGATTTATACGTTTAGGGCAATTTAGGTGTCAAAACATTGTCATCCGAATTACTTTTAGAATTCTGATTCAAATGGAGATTTCTCGGTTTCAATTTCACGTTTTTGCGCAGTGCTGAGCCGCAAATATCGGCAATTCTTAATGGCTTCTGTATCAACCGGTTCTTTCTTGGCTGTTTTAACTTTTTCTTGCATGGTTTGTTTTTGTTTTAAATCTTTTTCGACGTTTTGGTATAAAGGTGGGAAATAATATGGCGATCTCTCCAATGGCGGCGGCTTATCTTCGTCAACAGCCACCACATGTTTTTCTTGGGCTTTTTCGGGGGACCTTGATTCTTTGAAGTTCATTTTATGTTCTCTGCCCCTACTCCCAGAACTTCGTCTCGAAGACAGTTCACTTCGTTCCCTAAAAAGCAAATTACTCCGTAGAAAGCCTTTTCTTTCCAACGACAGCCGTTGAGACATTTCGTGTTTCTCCATTTGGATTTGTCTCTCCAGATTTTCGAATCGTCTTTGCTCCGCACAAAATGAACTGTTAAACTTTTTCTTTGTTGAATTTTCAAGGGATGGCAAAACAACGTCTATATCACTCCTCGTGAAAGTCATCTCTTCGCCCTGTAAATACTGTTTATCCATATTTACTGTAATTCCAAGGAAAAATCTTCACTTTACACATTCAACACAACCACTGAAATCAACCCATCCGAAGCCGGCAAAAAGCTATTGGCACAGTTACGAACTGTTTATAAATACTGACACTAATTGTGCTCCTTATTTGCAAATGTTTTTGCGTTTCGACGAGAGGTAAATAATCTCAGTAGTATTCTTAAAGTGGTTCTGTATTTGCATATTGAAGAAGAATATTTTCATTCAGATCACCCAGGTGTTATGTTGCTAAAGGCGTCCTTAGGACCAAAGATAGCAGGCGTGAATTCTCACA